CATTTGGTATTTGTAAGCCTTCACCCATCGAGATACTGACCTGACATTACATTGCTTAACTTCGGTGAGCGTACGAGAACCGGTGTTTCACGTGAAAATGACTGTGAGCTATCCATCAGCACTTCCATGTTTTCGGCATTTGGTATTTTGTAAGCCTTCACTTCGGTGATCGAGATACTGACCTGACATTACATTTGGTATTTTTCACCCATCGAGATACTGACATTACTTAACTTCGGTGAGCGTACGAGAACCAGTGTTTCTACGTGAAAATGACTGTGAGCTATCCCATCCATTTCCATGTTTTCGGCATTTGGTATTTGTAAGCCTTCACCCATGATTTTACGGCTTAATTTGGTACGAGAACCAGTGTTTTGTGAAAATGACTGTGAGCTATCCCATCATTTCCATCGAGAGCCTTCACCCATCGAGACCTGACATTACATTGCTTAACTTCGGTGAGCGTACGAGAACCGGTGTTTCTACGTGAAAATGACTGTGAGCTATCCCATCAGCACTTCCATGTTTTCGGCATTTGGTATTTGTAAGCCTTCACCCATCGAGATACTGACCTGACATTACATTGCTTAACTTCGGTGAGCGTACGAGAACCAGTGTTTCTACGTGAAAATGACTGTGAGCTATCCCATCAGCACTTCCATGTTTTCGGCATTTGGTATTTGTAAGCCTTCACCCATCGAGATACTGACCTGACATTACATTGCTTAACTTCGGTGAGCGTACGAGAACCGGTGTTTTACGTGAAAAAATGAGCTATCTATCCCATCAGCATTTCCATGTTTTCGGCATTTGGTATTTGTAAGCCTTCACCCATCGAGATACTGACCTGACATTACATTGCTTAACTTCGGTGAGCGTAAGAGAACCAGTGTTTCTACGTGAAAATGACTGTGAGCTATCCCATCAGCACTTCCATGTTTTCGGCATTTGGTATTTTGTAAGCCTTCACCCATCGAGATACTGACCTGACATTACATTGCTTAACTTCGGTGAGCGTACGAGAACCAGTGTTTCTACGTGAAAATGACTGTGAGCTATCCCATCAGCATTTCCATGTTTTCGGCATTTGGTATTTGTAAGCCTTCACCCATCGAGATACTGACCTGACATTACATTGCTTAACTTCGGTGAGCGTAAGAGAACCAGTGTTTCTACGTGAAAATGACTGTGAGCTATCCCATCAGCACTTCCATGTTTTCGGCATTTGGTATTTGTAAGCCTTCACCCATCGAGATACTGACTGACATGACATTGCTTAACTTCGGTGAGCGTAAGAGAACCAGTGTTTCTACGTGAAAATGACTGTGAGCTATCCCATCAGCACTTCCATGTTTTCGGCATTTGGTATTTGTAAGCCTTCACCCATCGAGATACTGACCTGACATTACATTGCTTAACTTCGGTGAGCGTACGAGAAACCAGTGTTTTCTACGCCTTCACCAAAGATAAAATGACTGTGAGCTATCCCATCATCATTTCCATGTTTTCGGCATTTGGTATTTGTAAGCCTTCACCCATCGAGATACTGACCTGACATTACATTGCTTAACTTCGGTGAGCGTACGAGAACCGGTGTTTCTACGTGAAAATGACTGTGAGCTATCCCATCAGCATTTCCATGTTTTCGGCATTTGGTATTTGTAAGCCTTCACTCATCGAGATACTGACCTGACATTACATTGCTTAACTTCGGTGAGCGTACGAGAACCAGTGTTTCTACGTGAAAATGACTGTGAGCTATCCCATCAGCATTTCCATGTTTTTCGGCATTTGGTATTTGTAAGCCTTCACCCATCGAGATACTGACCTGACATTACATTGCTTAACTTCGGTGAGCGTACGAGAACCAGTGTTTCTACGTGAAAATGACTGTGAGCTATCCCATCAGCACTTCCATGTTTTCGGCATTTGGTATTTGTAAGCCTTCACCCATCGAGATACTGACCTGACATTACATTGCTTAACTTCGGTGAGCGTACGAGAACCGGTGTTTCTACGTGAAAATGACTGTGAGCTATCCCATCAGCACTTCCATGTTTTCGGCATTTGGTATTTGTAAGCCTTCACCATCAGATATACTGACATTACATTGCTTAACTTCGGTGAGCGTACGAGAACCAGTGTTTCTACGTGAAAATGACTGTGAGCTATCCATCAGCACTTCCATGTTTTCGGCATTTGGTATTTGTAAGCCTTCACCCATCGAGATACTGACCTGACATTACATTGTTTAACTTCGGTGAGCGTACGAGAACCAGTGTTTCTACGTGAAAATGACTGTGAGCTATCCCATCAGCATTTCCATGTTTTCGGCATTTGGTATTTGTAAGCCTTCACCATCGAGATACTGACTGACATTACATTGCTTAACTTCGGTGAGCGTACGAGAACCAGTGTTTCTACGTGAAAATGACTGTGCTATCCCATCAGCACTTCCATGTTTTCGGCATTTTTGTATTTGTAAGCCTTCACCCATCGAGATACTGACCTGAACATTGCTTAACTTCGGTGAGCGTACGAGAACCAGTGTTTCTACGTGAAAAAAAATGAGTGAGCTATCCCATCAGCACTTCCATGTTTTCTGGCATTTGGTCGAAAATGTGAGCTATCCCATCAGCACTTCCATATTTTCGGCATTTGGTATTGGATACTAAGCCTTCACCCATCAGATGTTTTCGGATACTAAGCCTTCACCACCTGACCTGACATTACATTGCTTAACTTCAGTGAGCGTACGAGAACCAGTGTTTCTACGTGAAAATGACTGTGAGCTATCCCATCAGCATTTCCATGTTTTCGGCATTTGGTATTTGTAAGCCTTCACCCATCGAGATACTGACCTGACATTACATTGCTTAACTTCGGTGAGCGTACGAGAACCAGTGTTTCTACGTGAAAATGACTGTGAGCTATCCCATCAGCATTTCCATGTTTTCGGCATTTGGTATTTGTAAGCCTTCACCCATCGAGATACTGACCTGACATTACATTGCTTAACTTCAGTGAGCGTACGAGAACCAGTGTTTCTACGTGAAAATGACTGTGAGCTATCCATCAGCACTTCCATGTTTTCGGCATTTGGTATTTAAGCCTTCACCCATCGAGATACTGACCTGACATTACATTGCTTAACTTCGGTGAGCGTACGAGAACCAGTGTTTCTACGTGAAAATGACTGTGAGCTATCCCATCATTTCCATGTTTTCGGCATTTGGTATTTGTAAGCCTTCACCCATCGAGATACTGACCTGACATTACATTAACTTCGTGAGCGTAAGAGAACCAGTGTTTCTACGTGAAAATGACTGTGAGCTATCCCCATCAGCACTTCCATGTTTTCGGCATTTGGTATTTGTAAGCCTTCACCCATCGAGATACTGACCTGACATTACATTGCTTAACTTCGGTGAGCGTACGAGAACCAGTGTTTCTACGTGAAAATGACTGTAAAGCTATCCCATCAGCACTTCCATGTTTTCGGCATTTGGTATTTTGTAAGCCTTCACCCATCGAGATACTGACCTGACATTACATTGCTTAACTTCGGTGAGCGTACGAGAACCAGTGTTTCTACGTGAAAATGACTGTGAGCTATCCCATCAGCACTTCCATGTTTTCGGCATTTGGTATTTGTAAGCCTTCACCCATCGAGATACTGACCTGACATTACATTGCTTAACTTCGGTGAGCGTACGAGAACCAGTGTTTCTACGTGAAAATGACTGTGAGCTATCCCATCAGCACTTCCATGTTTTCGGCATTTTGGTATTTGTAAGCCTTCACCCATCGAGATACTGACCTTACATTGCTTAACTTCGGTGAGCGTACGGAGAACCAGTGTTTCTACGTGAAATGACTGTGAGCTATCCATCAGCACTTCCATGTTTTCGGCATTTTATTTGTAAGCCTTCACCCATCATCGAGATACTGACCTGACATTACATTTTATCGGTGAGATACGAGAACCAGTGTTTTACTGAAATGACTGTGAGCTATTCCCATTTCATGTTTTCAGCACCTGGTATTTGTAAGCCTTTACCCATCGAGAACTGACATTACATTGCTTAACTTCGGTGAGCGTACAGAACCGGTGTTTCGTGAAAATGACAGTGCTCCCATCAGCACTTCCATGTTTTCGGCATTTTGGTATTTGTAAGCCTTCACTCATCGAGATACTGACATTACATTGCTTTTGGTGAGCGTACGAGAACCAGTATTTTACGTGAAAATGACTAATATCATCAGCACTTCCATGTTTTCGGCATTTGGTACCATGTTTTCAGCTATAACCCTTCACTCATACGACCTGACATTACATTGTTTTGAGCGTAAGAGAACCAGTGTTTCTACGTGAAAATGACTGTGAGCCTCCATCAACATTTCCATGTTTTTCGGATTTGGTATAAGCCTTCACCCATCGAGGATACTGACATTACATTTAGCCTTCCCGGTGAGCGTACGAGAACCAGTGTTTCTGAAAATGACTCAGAGCTATCCCATCCACTTCAATGTTTTTCGGCATTTGGTATTTGTAAGCCTTCACTCATCGAGATACTGACATTACATTTGCTTAACTTCGGTGAGCGTACGAGAACCAGTGTTTCTACGTGAAAATGATGAGACTATCCATCAACATTTCCATGTTTTCGGGCATTTTGGTATTTGTAAGCCTTCACCCATCGAGATACTGACCTGACATTACATTGCTTAACTTCGGTGAGCGTACGGAACCGGTGTTTTCTACGTGAAAATGACAGAGCTATCATCAGCACTTCCATGTTTTCGGCACCTAAAAACGGAAGAAGATACGGTACCAGGTGTTCCCAACCGGACATGACCTTGATCTTAACTTCGGTGAGCGAACGAGAACCGGTGTTTTCAGCGTGATTTGACCGTATCTGAAGACGTTTGCCCCCAATTTCCGCTCGCGGTGTCAGTTATCATTCCCGATCCCTAAAACGGATTTGGTCTGGCTTTGTACCAGGTGTTCCCAAGCGGTCCCCCATCGAGAAGTACTGACCTGGCTCTACGATTGACGTTTCGGTGATCGAACGAGAACCGGTGTTTTCAACGTGATTTGACCGTAAGCGAAGACGTTTGTCCCAATTTCCGCTCGCGGAGTGTCAGTTATCATTTGATAACCCTAAAACGGAAGAACCGGTCTGGCCTGACAGTACCATTGTTTAAGCGGTCCCCATCTAAGTACTGACCTGGCTCTACGATTAAATAACTTCGGTGATCGAACGAGCAACCGGTGTTTTCAACGTGATTTGACCGTAAGCCAAGACGTTGCCCCAATTTCCGCTCATGAGTGTCAGTTATCATTCCACGATAACCCTAAAACGGAAGAACCGGTCTGGCTTCATCAGTACCAGGTGTTCCCGGCATTTGGTAAGCGGTCCCCATCGAGACTGACCTGGCTCTACGATGCTTAACTTCGGTGATCGAACGAGAACCGGTGTTTTCATTGATTTGACCGTAAGCGAAGACGTTTGCCCCAATTTCCCTCATATAGTGTCAGTTATCATTCCACGATAACCCTAAAACGGAAGAACCGGTCTGACTTACGGTACCAGGTGTTTCCCAAAGCGGTCCCCATCTAAGTACTGACCTGGCTCTACGATGCTTGACTTCGGTGATCGAACGAGAACCGGTGTTTTCAACGTGATTTGACCGTAAGTTAAGACGTTTGCCCCAATTTCCGCTCATGAGTGTCAGTTATCATTCCAAAATAACCCTAAAACGGAAGAACCGGTCTGGCTTACAGTACCAGGTGTTTTAAGCGGTCCCCCATCTAATACTGACCTGGCTCTACGATGCTTAATCTCGGTGATCGAACGAGAACCGGTCGTGATTTGAAAGGACGTTTGCCCTAGAGGTGTCCAGTTATCATTCCGATAACCTAAAACGGAAGAACCGGTCTCCCCATCCCAAGCGGTCCCCCCCATCTAAGTACTGACCTGGCTCTACGATGCTTAACTTCGGTGATCGAACAAGAACCGGTGTTTTCCAACGTGATTTGACCGTAAGCGAAGACGTTTTGCCCCAATTTCCGCTCAAGAGTGTCAGTTATCATTCACGATAACCTAAAACGGAAGAACCGGTCTGGCTTACAGTACCAGGTGTTCCAAGCGGTCCCCATCTAAGTACTGACCTGGCTCTACGATGCTTAACTTCGGTGATCGAACGAGAACCGGTGTTTTCAGCGTGATTTGACCGTAAGCGAAGACGTTTGCCCCAATTTCCGCTCATGAGTGTCAGTTATCATTCCACGATAACCCTAAAACGGAAGAACCGGTCTGGCTTACAGTACCAGGTGTTCCCCAAGCGGTCCCCATCTAAAAGTACTGACCTGGCTCTACGATGCTTAACTTCGGTGATCGAACGAGAACCGGTGTTTTCAGCGGATTTGACCGTGGCAGAAGATCGTGTTTGCCCCACTTCCGCTCAGGAGGTCAGTCGTCATTCCACGATAAACCTAAAACGGAAGAACCGGTCTGGCTTACAGTACCAGGAAAATTCCAAGCGGTCCCCCATCTAAGTACTGACCTGCTCCACGATGCTTAACTCAGATCGAACGGAGAACCGGTGTTTTCAGCGTGACGGACCGTAAGCGAAGACGTTTGCCCCATTTCCGCTCATGAGTGCTTCGCCATCATTCCACGATAACCCTAAAACGGAAGAACCGGTCTGGTTTACAGTACCAGGTGTCTCCCCATCCCCCATCTAAGTACCGGACCTGGCTCTACGATGCTTAACTTCGGTGATCGAACGAACGAGAACCGGTGTTTTCAGCGTGATTTGACCAGCGAAGACGTTTGCAATCACTTCCGCTCATGGAGTGTCTTATCATTCCCACGATAACCCTAAAACGGAAGAACTGGTCTGGCTTACAGTACCAGGGTGTTCCCGCGGTCCCCCATCTGGCACTGGGACCTGGTTTCTACGATGCTTTACCCCTCGGTGATCGAACGAGACCGGTGTTTTCAGCGTGATTTGACTAAGCGAAGACGTTTGCCCCTAATTTCCAGGAAAGTGTCAGTTATCATTCCACGATAACCCTAAAACGGAAGAAACCGGTCTGGCGCACAGTAACCAGGTGTTCCAAGCGTCCCCATCTAAGTACTGACCTGGTTTCACGATGCTTAACTTCGGTGATCGAACGAGAACCGGTGTTTTCAGGTGATTTTGACCGTAAGCGAAGACGTTTGCCCTCCTCGCTCATGAGTGTCAGTTATCATTCCACGATAATCCCTAAAACGGAAAGAACCGGTCTGGCTTACAGTACCAGGTAGCTCCCCAAGCGGTCCCCATCTAAAATACTTCCTCGACCTGGCTCTACGATGCTTAACTTCGGTGATCGAACGAGAACCGGTGTTTTCAGCGTGATTTGACCGTAAGCGAAGTCGTTTGCCCCAATTTCCGCTCATGATGTGTCGGTATCATTCCACGATAACCCTAAATGAAGAACCGGGTCTGGCTTATAGCACCAGGTGTTCGCAAACGGTCCCCATCTGGGTACTGACCTGGCTCTACGATGCTTAATTTCGGTGATCGAACGAGAACCGGTGTTTCAGCGTGATTTGACCGTAAGCGAAGACGTTTATTTCCGGCTCATGAGTGTCGTAGTTATCATTCCACGATAACCTAAAACGGAAGAACCAGTGGTCTTACTGGTACCAGGTGTTCCTGCCTCCCCATCTAAGTACTGACCTGGCTCTACGATGCTTTAACTTCGGTGATCGAACGAGAACCGGTGGTTTTCAGCGTGATTTGACAGTAAGTTGAAGACGTTTTGAATTTCCGCACATGAGTGTCAGTTATCATTCCACGATAACCCTAAAACGGAAGAACCGGTCTGGCTTTTACAGTACCAGGTGTTCCCAAGCGGTCCCATCCTAAGAGTACTGACCTGTTTCACGATGCTTAACTTCGGTGATCGAATTGAGAACCGGTTTTCAGCGTGATTTGACCATAAGCGAAAGAAGTTTGCCCCAATTTCCGCTCATGGTGTCAGTTATCATTCCACGATAACCCCAAAAACGGAAGAACCGGTCTGGCTTACAGTACCAGGTGTTCTCAAGCGGTCCCCCATCAAACCTGGCTCTTGATGCTAACTTCGACCTGGAACGAACTGGTGCTAACTTCGGTGATCGAACGAGACCGGTGTTTTCAACGGATAACCCTAAACCGTAAGCGAAGACGATTGCCCCAATTACCAGGTCCAGGAGTGTCGGTCGCCCATCTAAGCACTACCTCGATAACTCTGATGCTAAAACGGAAGAGAACCGGGTTTTCAGCCTTATTTGACCGCAGAAAGATCGCTGACCTGACGTCCTTCGGTGATCGAGAGGAGAACCATTCTTCGTGTTGACGGTAAGCGAAGACATTTGCCCAATTTCCGCTCATGAGTGTACATTCCACGATAACCTAAAACAGAAGACCGGTCTGGCTCACAGTACCAGGTGTTCCCAAAGCGGTCCCCCATCTAAGTACTGACCTGGCTCTACGATGCTTAACTTCGGTGATCGAACGAGAACCGGTGTTTTCAGCGTGATTTGACCGTGCGAAGACGTTTGCCCCAATTTCCGCTCATGAGTGTCGTTATCATTCCACGATAACCCCAAAACGGAAGAACTGGTCTGGCTTACAGTACCAGGTGTTTGCAAGCGGTCCCCATCTAAAGTACTGACCTGGCTCTACGATGCTTAACTTCGGTGATCGAACGAGAACCGGTGTTTTCAGCGTGATTTGACCGTAAGCGAGCGTTGCCTAATTTCCGCTCATGAGTGTCAGTTATCATTCCACGATAACCCTAAAACGGAAGAACCGGTCTGGCTTACAGTACCAGGTGTTCCAAGCGGTCCCCCATCTAAGTACTGACCTGGCTCTATTGATGCTTAACTTGGTGATCGAACGAGAACCGGTTTTTTCAAGACGTTTGATTTGACCGGTGTCAAAGACGTTTGATAACCCTAAAACGGAATTCCGCGCTCTATGAGTGTCAGTTATCATTCCACGATAACCCTAAACGGAAGAACAGGTTTTCTCTTACAGTACCAGGTGTTCCCAAGCGGTCCCCCATCTAAGTACTCGGACCTGGCTCTACGATGACCTTAACTTCGGTGATCGAACGAGAACCGGTGTTTTCAGCGTGATTTGACCGTAAGCGAAGACGTTTGCCCCAATTTCCGCTCATGATGAGTGTCAGTTATCATTCCACGATAACCCTAAAACGGAAGAACCGGTCGCTTACAGTACCAGGTGTTCCCAAAGCGGTCCCCATCTGGGTACTGACCTGGCTCTACGATGCTTAACTTGGTGATCGAACGAGAACCGGTGTTTTCAGCGTGATTTGACCGTAAACGAAGACGTTTGGCCCCAATTTCCGCCTTCATGAGTGTCAGTTATCATTCCACGATAACCCTAAACGGAAGAACCGGTCTGGCTTACAGTACCAGGTGTTTTAAGCGGTCCCCCATCTAAGTACTGACCTGGCTCTACGATGCTTACCGGTGATCGAACGAGAACCGGTGTTTTCGTGATTTGACCGTAAGCGAGGACGTTTGCCCCAATTTCCGCTTATGAGTGTCAGTTATCATTTCCACGATAACCCTAAAACGGAAGAACTGGTCTGGCTTACAGTACCAGGTGTTCCCAAGCGGTCCCCATCTAAGTACTGACCTGGCTCTACGATGCTTAACTGGTGATCGAACGAGAACCGGTGTTTTCAGCGTGATTTGACCGTGTGAAGACGTTTGCCCCAATTTCCGCTCATGAGTGTCAGTTATCATTCCAACGATAACCCTAAACGGAAGAAACCGGTCTGGCCTGTACCAGGTGTTTAAGCGGTCCCCCATCTAAGTACTGACCTGGCTCTACGATGCTTAACTTCGGTGATCGAACGAGAACCGGTGTTTTCAGCAATGATTTGACCGTAAGCGAAGACGTTGCCCCAATTTCCGCTCATGAGTCAGTTATCATTCCACGATAACCCTAAAACGGAAGAACCGGTCTGGTTTACAGTACCAGGTGTTCCCAAGCGGTCCCCATCTAAGTACTGACCTGGCTCTACGATGCTTAACTTCGGTGATCGAACGAGAACCGGTGTTTTCAACGTGATTTGACCGTAAGCGAAGACGTTGCCCAATTTCCGCTCATGAGTGTCAGTTATCATTCCCGATAACCCTAAAAACGGAAGAACCGGTCTGGCTTACAGTACCAGGTGTTCCCAAGCGGTCCCCATCTAAGTACTGACCTGGCTTACGATGCTTAACTTCGGTGATCGAACGAGAACCGGTGTTTTCAAGTGCGATTTGGACCGTAAGCGAAGACGTTTGCCCCAATTTCCGCTCATGAGTGTCAGTTATCATTCCACGATAACCTAAAACGGAAGAACCGGTCTGGCTTACAGTACCAGGTGTTCCCAAACGGTCCCCATCTAAGTACTGACCTGGCTCTACGATGCTTAACTTCGGTGATCGAACGAGAACCGGTGTTTTCAGCGTGATTTGACCGTAAGCGAAGACGTTTGCCCAATTTCCATCATAGGTGTCAGTTATCATTCACGATGCCCCTAAAACGGAAGAACCGGTCTGGCTTACAGTACCAGGTGTTCCCAAGCGGTCCCCCATCTAAGTACTCTCGACCTGGCTCTACGATGCTTAACGTCGGTGATCGAACGAGAACCGGTGTTTTCAACGTGATTTGACCGTAAGCGAAGACGTTTGCCCCAATTTCCGCTCATGAGTGTCAGTTATCATTCGATAGCCTAAAACGGAAGAACCGGTCTGGCTTACAGTACCAGGTGTTCCCAAGCTGTCCCCCATCTAAGTACTGACCTGGCTCTACGATGCTTTAACCGGTGATCGAACGAGAACCGGTGTTTTTCAGCGTGATTTGACCGTAAGCGAACGTTTGCCCCAATTTCCGCTCATGAGGTCAGTTATCGTTCCACGATAACCCTAAAACGGAAGAACCGGTCTGGCTTACAGCAAGAGTACCAGGTGTTCCCAAGCGGTCCCCATCTAAGTACTGACCTGGCTCTACGATGCTTAACTTCGGTGATCGAACGAGAACCGGTGTTTTCAACGTGATTTGACCGTAAGCGAAGACGTTTGCCCCAATTTCCGCTCATGAGTGTCAGTTATCATTCCACGATAACCCTAAAACGGAAGAACCGGTCTGGCTGGTACCAGGTGTTCCCAAGCGGTCCCCATCTAAACACTGACCTGGCTCTACGATGCTTTAACTTTGGTGATCGAACGAGAACCGGTGTTTTCAGCGTGATTTGACCGTAAGCGAAGACGTTTGCCCCAATTTCCGCTCATGAGTGTCAGTTATCATTCCCGATAACCCTAAAACGGAAGAACCGGTCTGGCTTACAGTACATTAGGTGTTCCCAAGCGGTCCCCATCAAAGTACTGACCTGGCCACGATGCTTAACGGTGATCGAACGAGAACCGGTGTTTTTCAGCGTGATTTGACCGTAAGCGAAGACGTTTGCCCCAATTTCGCAGGAGTGTCAGTTATCATTCCACGATAACCCTAAAACGGAAGAACTGGTCTGGCTTACAGTACCAGGTGTTCCCAAGCGGTCCCCCATCTAGTGCGGCCCTGGCTCTACGATGCTTAACTTCGGTGATCGAACGAGAACCGGTGTTTTCAACGTGATTTGACCGTAGCGAAGACGTTTGCCCCAATTTCCGCTCAGGAGTGTCGGTTATCATTCCACGATAACCCTAAAACGGAAGAACCGGTCTGGCTTTACAGTACCAGGTGTTCCCAAGCGGTCCCCATCTAATACCGACCTGGCTCTACGATGCTTAACTTCGGTGATCGAACGAGAACCGGTGTTTCAGCGTGATTTGACCGTAGCGAAGACGTTTGCCCAATTTCCGCTCATGAGTGTCAGTTATCATTCCCGATAACCCTAAAACGGAAGAACCGGTCTGGCTTACAGTACCAGGTGTTCCCAAGCGGTCCCCCATCTAAGCACTGACCTGGCTCTACGATGCTTAACTTCGGTGATCGAACGAGAACCGGTGTTTTCAGCGTGATTTGACCGTAAGCGAAGACGTTTGGCCCCAATTTCCGCTCATGAGTGTCGGTTATCATTCCCGATAACCCTCAAACGGAAGAACCGGTCTGCTTTACAGTACCAGGTGTTCCCAAGCGGTCCCCATCTAAGTACTGACCTGGTTTCGATGCTTAACTTCGGTGATCGAACGAGAACCGGTGTTTTCAACGTGATTTGACCCGAAGTGTTTTCATGAGTGCAGTTATCATTCCACGATAACCCTAAAACGGAAGAACCGGTAAGCTTAAGTACCAGGTGTTTCAAGCGGTCCCCATCTAAGTACTGACCTGGCTCGATGCTTAACTTCGGTGATCGAACGAGAACCGGTGTTTTCAACGTGACGGATTCCGCTCATGAGTGGCAGTTATCATTCCACGATAACCTAAAACGGAAGAACGGTCTGGCTTACAGTACCAGGTGTTCCCAAGACGGTCCCCATCTAAGTGATCTATCAAAACACGTACCCTAAATCGGAAGAACTGACCTGGCATCTACGATGCTTAACTTCGTGATCGAACGAGAACCGGTGTTTTCAGCGGATTTGACATCAAGCGAAGACGTTTGCCCCAATTTCCGCTCATGAGTGTCAGTTATCATTCCACGATAACCCTAAAACGGAAGAACCGGTCTGGCTTACAGTACCAGGTGTTCCCAAGCGGTCCCCATCTAAGTACTGACCTGGCTCTACGATGCTTAACTTCGGTGATCGAACGAGAACCGGTGTTTTCAACGTGATTTGACCGTAAGCGAAGACGTTTGCCCCAATTTCCGCTCATGAGTGTCAGTTATCATTCCACGATAACCCTAAAACGGAAGAACCGGTCTGGCTTACAGTACCAGGTGTTCCCAAGCGGTCCCCCATCTAAGTACTGACCTGGCTCTACGATGCTTAACTTCGGTGATCGAACGAGAACCGGTGTTTTCAGCGTGATTTGACCGTAAGCGAAGACGTTTGCCCCAATTTCCGCTCATGAGTGTCAGTTATCATTCCACGATAACCCTAAAACGGAAGAACCGGTCTGGCTTACAGTACCAGGTGTTCCCAAGCGGTCCCCATCTAAGTACTGACCTGGCTCTCACGATGCTTAACTTCGGTGATCGAACGAGAACCGGTGTTTTCAGCGTGATTTGACCGTAAGCGAAGACGTTTGCCCCAATTTCCGCTCATGAGTGTCAGTTATCATTCCACGATAACCCTAAAACGGAAGAACCGGTCTGGCTTACAGTACCAGGTGTTCCCAAGCGGTCCCCCATCTAAGTACTGACCTGGCTCTACGATGCTTAACTTCGGTGATCGAACGAGAACCGGTGTTTTCAGCGTGATTTGACCGTAAGCGAAGACGTTTGCCCCAATTTCCGCTCATGAGTGTCAGTTATCATTCCACGATAACCCTAAAACGGAAGAACCGGTCTGGCTTACAGTACCAGGTGTTCCCAAGCGGTCCCCCATCTAAGTACTGACCTGGCTCTACGATGCTTAACTTCGGTGATCGAACGAGAACCGGTGTTTTCAGCGTGATTTGACCGTAAGCGAAGACGTTTGCCCCAATTTCCGCTCATGAGTGTCAGTTATCATTCGACGATAACCCTAAAACGGAAGAACCGGGTCTGGCTTACAGTACCAGGTGTTTCTGAGCGGTCCCCCATCTAAGTACTGACCTGGCTATACGATGCTTAACTTCGGTGATCGAACGAGAACCGGTGTTTTCAGCGTGATCTGACCGTAAGCGAAGACGTTTGCCCCAATTTCCACTCATGAGTGTCAGTTATCATTCGACGATAACCCTATAACGGAAGAACCGGTCTGGCTTACAGTACCAGGGGTTCCCAAGCGGTCCCCCATCTAAGTACTGACCTGGTTCTACGATGCTTAACTTAGTGATCGAACGAGAACCGGTGTTTTCAGCGTGATTTGACCGTAAGCGAAGACGTTTGCCCCAATTTCCGCTCATGAGTGTCAGTTATCATTCCACGATAACCCTAAAACGGAAGAACCGGTCTGGCTTACAGTACCAGGTGTTCCCAAGCGGTCCCCATCTAAGTACCGGACCTGGCTCTACGATGCTTAACTTCGGTGATCGAACGAGAACCGGTGTTTTCAGCGTGATTTGACCGTAAGCGAAGACGTTTGCCCCAATTTCCGCTCATGAGTGTCGTAATCATTCCACGATAACCCTAAAACGGAAGAACCGGTCTGGCTTTACAGTACCAGGTGTTCCCAAGCGGTCCCCATCTAAGTACTGACCTGGCTCTACGATGCTTAACTTCGGTGATCGAACGAGAACCGGGGTTTTCAACGTGATTTGACCGTAAGCGAAGACGTTTGCCCCAATTTCCGCTCATGAGTGTCAGTTATCATTCCACGATAACCTAAAACGGAAGAACCGGTCTGGCTTACAAACAGGTGTTCCCAAGCGGTCCCCCATCAAGTACTGACCTGGCTCTTACGATGCTTAACTTCGGTGATCGAACGAGAACCGGTGTTTTCGTGATTTGACCGTAAGCGAAGACGTTTGCCCCATTTCCGCTATGAGCGAGTGTCGTTATCATTCCCGATAACCCTAAAACGGAAGAACTGGTCTGGCTTACAGTACCAGGTGGCGGTCCCCCATCTGAAAAGTACTGATCTACGATGCTTAACTTCGGTGATCGAACGAGAACCGGTGTTTTCAACGTGATTTGACCGTAAAGCGAAGACGTTTGCCCCAATTTCCGCTCATGAGTGTCAGTTATCATTCCACGATAACCCTAAAACGGAAGAACCGGTCTGGCTTTACAGTACCAGGTGTTCCCAAGCGGTCCCCCATCTAAGTACTGACCTGGCTCTACGATGCTTAACTTCGGTGATCGAACGAGAACCGGTGTTTTCAACGTGATTTGACCGTAAGCGAAGACGTTTGCCCCAATTTCCGCTCATGAGTGTCAGTTATCATTCCACGATAACCCTAAAACGGAAGAACCGGTCTGGCTTACAGTACCAGGTGTTCCCAAGCGGTCCCCATCTAAGTACTGACCTGGCTCTACGATGCTTAACTTCGGTGATCGAACGAGAACCGGTGTTTTTCAGCGTGATTTGACCGTAAGCGAAGACGTTTTGCCCCAATTTCCGCTCATGAGTGTCAGTTATCATTCCACGATAACCCTAAAACGGAAGAACCGGTCTGGCTTACAGTACCAGGTGTTCCCAAGCGGTCCCCCATCTAAGTACTGACCTGGCTCTACGATGCTTAACTTCGGTGATCGAACGAGAACCGGTGTTTTCAGCGTGATTTGACCGTAAGCGAAGACGTTTGCCCCAATTTCCGCTCATGAGTGTCAGTTATCATTCCACGATAACCCTAAAACGGAAGAACCGGTCTGGCTTACAGTACCAGGTGTTCCCAAGCGGTCCCCCATCTAAGTACTGACCTGGTTTCTACGATGCTTAACTTCGGTGATCGAACGAGAACCGGTGTTTTCAGCGTGATTTGACCGTGCGAAGACGTTTGCCCCATTTCCGCTCACGAGTGTCAGTTATCATTCCACGATAACCCTAAACGGAAGAACCGGTCTGGCTTACAGTACCAGGTGTTCCCAAGCGGTCCCCATCTAAGTACTGACCTGGCTCTACGATGCTTAACTTCGGTGATCGAACGAGAACCGGTGTTTTCAGCGTGATTTGACCGTAAGCGAAGACGTTTGCCCCAATTTCCGCTCATGAGTGTCAGTTATCATTCCACGATAACCCTAAAACGGAAGAACCGGTCTGGCTTACAGTACCAGGTGTTCCCAAGCGGTCCCCATCTAAGTACTGACCTGGCTCTACGATGCTTAACTTCGGTGATCGAACGAGAACCGGTGTTTTCAGCGTGATTTGACCGTAAGCGAAGACGTTTGCCCCAATTTCCGCTCATGAGTGTCAGTTATCATTCCACGATAACCCTAAAACGGAAGAACCGGTCTGGCTTACAGTACCAGGTGTTCCCAAGCGGGTCCCCCATCTAAGTACTGACCTGGATTTCTACGATGCTTAACTTCGGTGATCGAACGAGAACCGGTGTTTTTCAGCGTGATTTGACCGTAAGCGAAGACGTTTGCCCCAATTTCCGCTCATGAGTGTCAGTTATCATTCCACGATAACCCTAAAACGGAAGAACCGGTCTGGCTTACAGTACCAGGTGTTCCCAAGCGGTCCCCCATCTAAGTACTGACCTGGCTCCACGATGCTTAACTTCGGTGATCGAACGAGAACCGGTGTTTTCAGCGTGATTTGACCGTAAGCGAAGACGTTTGCCCCAATTTCCGCTCATGAGTGTCAGTTATCATTCCACGATAACCCTAAAACGGAAGAACCGGTCTGGTTTACAGTACCAGGTGTTCCCAAGCGGTCCTCCATCTAAGTACTGACCTGGCTCTACGATGCTTAACTTCGGTGATCGAACGAGAACCGGTGTTTTTCAGCGTGATTTGACCGTAAGAAGAAGACGTTTGCCCCAATTTCCGCTCATGAGTGTCAGTTATCATTCCACGATAACCCTAAAACGGAAGAACCGGTCTGGCTTACAGTACCAGGTGTTCCCAAGCGGTCCCCCATCTGGGTACTGACCTGGCTCTACGATGCTTAACTTCGGTGATCGAACGAGAACCGGTGTTTTCAGCGTGATTTGACCGTAAGCGAAGACGATTAACCCCAAAAACGGAAGAACCGGTCTGGAAGTACCAGGTGTTCCCAAGCGGTCCCCATCTAAGTACTGACCTTCTACGATGCTTAACTTCGGTGATCGAACGAGAACCGGTGTTTTCAGCGTGATTTGACCGTAAGCGAAGACGTTTGCCCCAATTTCCGCTCATGAGTGTCAGTTATCATTCCACGATAACCCTAAAACGGAAGAACCGGTCTGGCTTACAGTACCAGGTGTTCCCAAGCGGTCCCCATCTAAGTACTGACCTGGCTCTACGATGCTTAACTTCGGTGATCGAACGAGAACCGGTGTTTTCAGCGTGATTTGACCGTAAGCGAAGACGTTTGCCCCAATTTCCGCTCATGAGTGTCAGTTATCATTCCACGATAACCCTAAAACGGAAGAACAGGTCTGGCTTACAGTACCAGGTGTTCCCAAGCGGTCCCCCATCAAAGTACTGACCTGGCTCTACGATGCTTAACTCGGTGATCGAACGAGAACCGGTGTTTTCAGCGTGATTTGACCGTAAGCGAAGACGTTTGCCCAATTTCCGCTCATGAGTGTCAGTTATCATTCCACGATAACCCTAAAACGGAAGAACCGGTCTGGCTTACAGTACCAGGTGTTCCCAAGCGGTCCCCCATCTAAGTACTGACCTGGCTCTACGATGCTTAACTTCGGTGATCGAACGAGAACCGGTGTTTTCAGCGTGATTTGACCGTAAGCGAAGACGTTTGCCCCAATTTCCGCTCATGAGTGTCAGTTATCATTCCACGATAACCCTAAAACGGAAGAACCGGTCTGGCTTACAGTACCAGGTGTTCCCAAGCGGTCCCCATCTAAGTACTGACCTGGCTCTACGATGCTTAACTTCGGTGATCGAACGAGAACCGGTGTTTTCAGCGTGATTTGACCGTAAGCGAAGACGTTTGCCCCAATTTCCGCTCATGAGTGTCAGTTATCATTCCACGATAACCCTAAAACGGAAGAACCGGTCTGGCTTACAGTACCAGGTGTTCCCCAAGCGGTCCCCCATCTAAGTACTGACCTGGCTCTACGATGCTTAACTTCGGTGATCGAACGAGAACCGGTGTTTTCAGCGTGATTTGACCGTAAGCGAAGACGTTTGCCCCAATTTCCGCTCATGAGTGTCAGTTATCATTCCACGATAACCCTAAAACGGAAGAACCGGTCTGGCTTACAGTACCAGGTGTTCCCAAGCGGTCCCCATCTAAGTACTGACCTGGCTCTACGATGCTTAACTTCGGTGATCGAACGAGAACCGGTGTTTTCAGCGTGATTTGACCGTAAGCGAAGACGTTTGCCCCAATTTCCGCTCATGAGTGTCAGTTATCATTCCACGATAACCCTAAAACGGAAGAACCGGTCTGGCTTACAGTACCAGGTGTTCCCAAGCGGTCCCCATCTAAGTACTGACCCTGGCTTCTACGATCGAACGAGAACCACTGGTGATCGACCGTAAGAAGACGTTTGCCCCAATTTCCGCTCAGAGTGTCAGTTATCACACGATAACCCTAAAACGGAAGAACCGGTCTGGCTTTCCCCATCTAAGTACCTTGACCTGGCTCTACGATGCTTAACTTCGGTGATCGAACGAGAACCGGTGAGTGATTTGACCGTAAGCGAAGACGTTTGCCCCATCATTCAGTTATCATTCCACGATAACCCTAAAACGGAAGAACCGGTCTGGCTTACAGTACCAGGTGTTCCCAAGCGGTCCCCCATCTAAGTACTGACCTGGCTCTACGATGCTTAACTTCGGTGATCGAACGAGAACCGGTGTAATTTTTCATGAGTGTCAGTTATCATTGACCTAAAACGGAAGAACCGGCGAAGACGGTCCCCATTGTAACTGACCCCCTACGAATTTCCGATCACGAGTGTCAGATTTGATCGAAGATTCCACGATAACCCTAAAACGGAAGAACCGGTCTGGCTTACAGTACCAGGTGTTCCCAAGCGGTCCCCATCTAAGTACTGACCTTCTTCCTCTACGATGCTTAACTTCGGTGATCGAACGAGAACCGGTGTTTTCAACGTGATTTGACCGTAAGCGAAGACGTTTGCCCCAATTTCCGCTCATGAGTGTCAGTTATCATTCCACGATAACCCTAAAACGGAAGAACCGGTCTGGCTTACAGTACCAGGTGTTCCCAAGCGGTCCCCCATCTAAGTACTGACCTGGCTCTACGATGCTTAACTTCGGTGATCGAACGAGAACCGGTGTTTTCAGCGTGATTTGACCGTAAGCGAAGACGTTTGCCCCAATTTCCGCTCATGAGTGTCAGTTATCATTCCACGATAACCCTAAAACGGAAGAACCGGTCTGGCTTACAGTACCAGGTGTTCCCAAGCGGTCCCCATCTAAGTACTGACCTGGCTCTACGCTTCGGTGATCGAACGAGAACCGGTGTTTTCAGCGTGATTTGACCGTAAGCGAAGACGTTTGCCCCAATTTCCGCTCATGAGTGTCAGTTATCATTCCACGATAATCTAAAACGGAAGAACCGGTCTGCTTACAGTTTCAAGCGTCCCCCATCTAAGTACTGACCTGGCTTTGATGCTTAACTTCGGTGATCGAACGAAAAACGGTTTGCCCGTGATTTGACCGTAAGCGAAGACGTTTGCCCCAATTTCCGCTCATGAGTGTCAGTTATCATTCCACGATAACCCTAAAACGGAAGAACCGGTCTGGCTTACAGTACCAGGTGTTCCCAAGCGGTCCCCCATCTAAGTACTGACCTGGCTCTACGATGCTTAACTTCGGTGATCGAACGAGAACCGGTTTTTTCAGCGTGATTTGACCGTAAGCGAAGACGTTTGCCCCAATTTCCGCTCATGAGTGTCAGTTATCATTCCACGATAACCCTAAAAACGGAAGAACCGGTCTGGCTTACAGTACCAGGTGTTCCCAAGCGGTCCCCATCTAAGTACTGACCTGGCTCTACGATGCTTAACTTCGGTGATCGAACGAGAACCGGTGTTTTCAGCGTGATTTGACCGTAAGCGAAGACGTTTGCCCCAATTTCCGCTCATGAGTGTCAGTTATCATTCCACGATAACCCTAAAACGGAAGAACCGGTCTGGCTTACAGTACCAGGTGTTCCCAAGCGGTCCCCATCTAAGTACTGACCTGGCTCTACGATGCTTAACTTCGGTGATCGAACGAGAACCGGTGTTTTCAGCGTGATTTGACCGTAAGCGAAGACGTTTGCCCCACTTCCGCTCATGAGTGTCAGTTATCATTCCACGATAACCCTAAAACGGAAGAACCGGTCTGGCTTACAGTACCAGGTGTTCCCAAGCGGTCCCCCATCTAAGTACTGACCTGGCTCTACGATGCTTAACTTCGGTGATCGAACGAGAACCGGTGTTTTCAGCGTGATTTGACCGTAAGCGAAGACGTTTGCCCCAATTTCCGCTCATGAGTGTCAGTTATCATTCCACGATAACCCTAAAACGGAAGAACCGGTCTGGCTTACAGTACCAGGTGTTCCCAAGCGGTCCCCATCTAAGTACTGACCTGGCTCTACGATGCTTAACTTCGGTGATCGAACGAGAACCGGTGTTTTCAGCGTGATTTGACCGTAAGCGAAGACGTTTGCCCCAATTTCCGCTCATGAGTGTCAGTTATCATTCCACGATAACCCTAAAACGGAAGAACCTGGTCAGTGGCTTACACAGTACCAGGTGCTTAACGGTGATCGAACGAGAACCGGTGTTTTTCAGCGTGATTTGACCGAAGACGTTTGCCCCAATTTCCCCATCTAACCCTAAAACGGAAGACCTGGCTCAGTACCAGATGCTTAACGGTCCCCATCGGTGACCTCGAACGAGAAACGGTGTTTTCAGCGTGATTTGACCGTAAGCGAAGACGTTTGCCCCAATTTCCGCTCATGAGTGTCAGTTATCATTCCACGATAACCCTAAAACGGAAGAACCGGTCTGGCTTACAGTACCAGGTGTTCCCAAGCGGTCCCCATCTAAGTACTGACCTGGCTCTATGATGCTTAACGGTGTTTTTCGGTGATCGAACGAGAACCGGTGTTCCGCTCAGCGTCAGTTATGATCCACGACCGTAAAACGAAGACGTTTTGCCCCAATTTCCCCCTCTCATGAGTGATGCTTAAAGTTCGGTGATCGAACGAGAATCATTCCACGATAACCGTAAGCGAAAACGGAAGAACCGGACGATGCTTAACTTCGGTCTGGCTTACAGTACCAGGTGTTCCCGGAAGCGGTCCCCATCTAAGTACTGACCTGGCTCTACGATGCTTAACTTCGGTGATCGAACGAGAACCGGTGTTTTTCAGCGTGATTTGACCGTAAGCGAAGACGTTTGCCCCAATTTCCGCTCATGGAGTGTCAGTTATCATTCCACGATAACCCTAAAACGGAAGAACCGGTCTGGCTTACAGTACCAGGTGTTCCCAAGCGGTCCCCCATCTAAGTACTGACCTGGCTCTACGATGCTTAACTTCGGTGATCGAACGAGAACCGGTGTTTTTCAGCGTGATTTGACCGTAAGCGAAGACGTTTGCCCCAATTTCCGCTCATGAGTGTCAGTTATCATTCCACGATAACCCTAAAACGGAAGAACCGGTCTGGCTTACAGTACCAGGTGTTCCCAAGCGGTCCCCCATCTAAGTACTGACCTGGCTCTACGATGCTTAACTTCGGTGATCGAACGAGAACCGGTGTTTTCAGCGTGATTTGACCGTAAGCGAAGACGTTTGCCCCAATTTCCGCTCATGAGTGTCAGTTATCATTCCACGATAACCCTAAAACGGAAGAACCGGTCTGGCTTACAGTACCAGGTGTTCCCAAGCGGTCCCCCCATCTAAGTACTGACCTGGCTCTACGATGCTTAACTTCGGTGATCGAACGAGAACCGGTGTTTTCAGCGTGATTTGACCGTAAGCGAAGACGTTTGCCCCAATTTCCGCTCATGAGTGTCAGTTATCATTCCACGATAACCCTAAAACGGAAGAACCGGTCTGGCTTACAGTACCAGGTGTTCCCAAGCGGTCCCCATCTAAGTACTGACCTGGCTCTACGATGCTTAACTTCGGTGATCGAACGAGAACCGGTGTTTTCAGCGTGATTTGACCGTAAGCGAAGACGTTTGCCCCAATTTCCGCTCATGAGTGTCAGTTATCATTCCACGATAACCCTAAAACGGAAGAACCGGTCTGGCTTACAGTACCAGGTGTTCCCAAGCGGTCCCCCATCTAAGTACTGACCTGGCTCTACGATGCTTAACTTCGGTGATCGAACGAGAACCGGTGTTTTCAGCGTGATTTGACCGTAAGCGAAGACGTTTGCCCCAATTTCCGCTCATGAGTGTCAGTTATCATTCCACGATAACCCTAAAACGGAAGAACCGGTCTGGCTTACAGTACCAGGTGTTCCAGCGGTCCCCCCATCTAAGTACTGACCTGGCTCTCACGATGCTTAACTTCGGTGATCGAACTAAAACCGGAAGAACCATGAGGTCAGTTATCATTCCACGATAACCCTAAAACGGAAGAACCGGTCTGGCTTTACAGTACCAGGTGTTCCCAAGCGGTCCCCATCTAAGTACTGACCTGGCTCTACGATGCTTAACTTCGGTGATCGAACGAGAACCGGTGTTTTCAGCGTGATTTGACCGTAAGCGAAGACGTTTGCCCCAATTTCCGCTCATGAGTGTCAGTTATCATTCCACGATAACCCTAAAACGGAAGAACCGGTCTGGCTTACAGTACCAGGTGTTCCCAAGCGGTCCCCCATCTAAGTACTGACCTGGCTCTACGATGCTTAACTTCGGTGATCGAACGAGAACCGGTGTTTTCAGCGTGATTTGACCGTAAGCGAAGACGTTTGCCCCAATTTCCGCTCATGAGTGTCAGTTATCATTCCACGATAACCCTAAAACGGAAGAACCGGTCTGGCTTACAGTACCAGGTGTTCCCAAGCGGTCCCCATCTAAGTACTGACCTGGCTCTACGATGCTTAACTTCGGTGATCGAACGAGAACCGGTGTTTTCAGCGTGATTTGACCGTAAGCGAAGACGTTTGCCCCAATTTCCACGATAACCCTAAAAACGGAAGAACCGGTCTTACAGTACCAGGTGTTCAAGCGGTCCCCCATCTAAGTACTGACCTGGCTCTACGATGCTTAACTTCGGTGATGTCGGGTTTTCAGTTATCACGTTTCCACGATAACCCGATAACCCTAAAACGGAAGAACCGGTCTGGCTTACAGTACCAGGTGTTCCCAAGCGGTCCCCATCTAAGTACTGACCTGGCTCTACGATGCTTAACTTCGGTGATCGAACGAGAACCGGTGTTTTCAGCGTGATTTGACCGTAAGCGAAGACGTTTGCCCCAATTTCCGCTCATGAGTGTCAGTTATCATTCCACGATAACCCTAAAACGGAAGAACCGGTCTGGCTTACAGTACCAGGTGTTCCCAAGCGGTCCCCCATCTAAGTACTGACCTGGCTCTACGATGCTTAACTTCGGTGATCGAACGAGAACCGGTGTTTTCAGCGTGATTTGACCGTAAGCGAAGACGTTTGCCCCAATTTCCGCTCATGAGTGTCAGTTATCATTCCACGATAACCCTAAAACGGAAGAACCGGTCTGGCTTACAGTACCAGGTGTTCCCAAGCGGTCCCCCATCTAAGTACTGACCTGGCTCTACGATGCTTAACTTCGGTGATCGAACGAGAACCGGTGTTTTCAGCGTGATTTGACCGTAAGCGAAGACGTTTGCCCCAATTTCCGCTCATGAGTGTCAGTTATCATTCCACGATAACCCTAAAACGGAAGAACCGGTCTGGCTTACAGTACCAGGTGTTCCCAAGCGGTCCCCCATCTAAGTACTGACCTGGCTCTACGATGCTTAACTTCGGTGATCGAACGAGAACCGGTGTTTTCAGCGTGATTTGACCGTAAGCGAAGACGTTTGCCCCAATTTCCGCTCATGAGTGTCAGTTATCATTCCACGATAACCCTAAAACGGAAGAACCGGTCTGGCTTACAGTACCAGGTGTTCCCAAGCGGTCCCCCATCTAAGTACTGACCTGGCTCTACGATGCTTAACTTCGGTGATCGAACGAGAACCGGTGTTTTCAGCGTGATTTGACCGTAAGCGAAGACGTTTGCCCCAATTTCCGCTCATGAGTGTCTAAAACGGAAGTTATCATTCCACGATAACCCTAAAAACGGAAGAACCGGTCTGGCTTACAGTACCAGGTGTTCCCAAGCGGTCCCCCATCTAAGTACTGACCTGGCTCTACGATGCTTAACTTCGGTGATCGAACGAGAACCGGTGTTTTCAGCGTGATTTGACCGTAAGCGAAGACGTTTGCCCCAATTTCCGCTCATGAGTGTCAGTTATCATTCCACGATAACCCTAAAACGGAAGAACCGGTCTGGCTTACAGTACCAGGTGTTCCCAAGCGTCCCCCATCTAAGTACTGACCTGGCTTCTACGATGCTTAACTTCGGTGATCGAACGAGAACCGGTGTTTTAAGCGTGATTTGACCGTAAGCGAAGACGTTTGCCCCAATTTCCGCTCATGAGTGTCAGTTATCATTCCACGATAACCCTAAAACGGAAGAACCGGTCTGGCTTACAGTACCAGGTGTTCCCAAGCGGTCCCCATCTAAGTACTGACCTGGCTCTACGATGCTTAACTTCGGTGATCGAACGAGAACCGGTGTTTTCAGCGTGATTTGACCGTAAGCGAAGACGTTTGCCCCAATTTCCGCTCATGAGTGTCAGTTATCATTCCACGATAACCCTAAAACGGAAGAACCGGTCTGGCTTACAGTACCAGGTGTTCCCAAACGTCCCCCATCTAAGTACTGACCTGGCTCTACGATGCTTAACTTCGGTGATCGAACGAGAACCGGTGTTTTCAGCGTGATTTGACCGTAAGCGAAGACGTTTGCCCCAATTTCCGCTCATGAGTGTCAGTTATCATTCCACGATAACCCTAAAACGGAAGAACCGGTCTGGCTTACAGTACCAGGTGTTCCCAAGCGGTCCCCCATCTAAGTACTGACCTGGCTCTACGATGCTTAACTTCGGTGATCGAACGAGAACCGGTGTTTTCAGCGTGATTTGACCGTAAGCGAAGACGTTTGCCCCAATTTCCGCTCATGAGTGTCAGTTATCATTCCACGATAACCCTAAAACGGAAGAACCGGTCTGGAGTACCAGGTGTTCCCAAGCGGTCCCCATCTAAGTACTGAATTTCACGATGCTTAACTTCGGTGATCGAACGAGAACCGGTGTTTTCAGCGTGATTTGACCGTAAGCGAAGACGTTTGCCCCAATTTCCGCTCATGAGTGTCAGTTATCATTCCACGATAACCCTAAAACGGAAGAACCGGTCTGGCTTACAGTACCAGGTGTTCCCAAGCGGTCCCCCATCTAAGTACTCGACCTGGCTCTACGATGCTTAACTTCGGTGATCGAACGAGAACCGGTGTTTTCAGCGTGATTTGACCGTAAGCGAAGACGTTTGCCCCAATTTCCGCTCATGAGTGTCAGTTATCATTCCACGATAACCCTAAAACGGAAGAACCGGTCTGGCTTACAGTACCAGGTGTTCCCAAGCGGTCCCCCATCTAAGTACTGACCTGGCTCTACGATGCTTAACTTCGGTGATCGAACGAGAACCGGTGTTTTCAGCGTGATTTGACCGTAAGCGAAGACGTTTGCCCCAATTTCCGCTCATGAGTGTCAGTTATCATTCCACGATAACCCTAAAACGGAAGAACCGGTCTGGCTTACAGTACCAGGTGTTCAAGCGGTCCCCCATCTAAGTACTGACCCCTACGATGCTTAACTTCGGTGATCGAACGAGAAACCGGTCGTGATTTGACCGTAAGCGAAGACGTTTGCCCCAATTTCCGCTCATGAGTGTCAGTTATCATTCCACGATAACCCTAAAACGGAAGAACCGGTCTGGCAGTACCAGGTGTCCCCCATCTAAGTACTGACCTGGCTCTACGATGCTTAACTTCGGTGATCGAACGAGAACCGGTGTTTTCAGCGTGATTTGACCGTAAGCGAAGACGTTTGCCCCAATTTCCGCTCATGAGTGTCAGTTATCATTCCACGATAACCCTAAAACGGAAGAACCGGTCTGGCTTACAGTACCAGGTGTTCCCAAGCGGTCCCCATCTAAGTACTGACCTGGCTCTACGATGCTTAACTTCGGTGATCGAACGAGAACCGGTGTTTTCAGCGTGATTTGACCGTAAGCGAAGACGTTTGCCCCAATTTCCGCTCATGAGTGTCAGTTATCATTCCACGATAACCCTAAAACGGAAGAACCGGTCTGGCTTACAGTACCAGGTGTTCCCAAGCGGTCCCCCATCTAAGTACTGACCTGGCTCTACGATGCTTAACTTCGGTGATCGAACGAGAACCGGTGTTTTCAGCGTTATCATTCCACGATTTGACCGTAAGCGAAGACGTTTGCCCCAATTTACCGCTTCATGAGTGTCAGTTATCATTCCACGATAACAGTTATCATTCCAAAACGGAAGAACCGGTCTGGCTTACAGTACCAGGTGTTCCCAAGCGGTCCCCCATCTAAGTACTGACCTGGCTCTACGATGCTTAACTTCGGTGATCGAACGAGAACCGGTGTTTTCAGCGTGATTTGACCGTAAGCGAAGACGTTTGCCCCAATTTCCGCATTCATGAGAACCGGTCTGGCTTATACATTCCATCTAAGTACTGACCTGGGCCCCTTAAAACGGAAGAACCGGTGTTTTGGCTGATTTGACCGTAACGAAGACGGTGTTCCCAGTTATCATTCCACGGTCCCCCATCTTACAGTACCAGGTGTTCCCAAGCGGTCCCCCACTGACCTGGCTCTACGATGGTTAACTTCGGTGTTCGAACGAGAACCGGTGTTTTCAGCGTGATTTGACCGTAAGCGAAGACGTTTGCCCCAATTTCCGCTCATGAGTGTCAGTTATCATTCCACGATAACCCTAAAACGGAAGAACCGGTCTGGCTTACAGTACCAGGTGTTCCCAAGCGGTCCCCCATCTAAGTACTGACCTGGCTCTACGATGCTTAACTTCGGTGATCGAACGAGAACCGGTGTTTTCAGCGTGATTTGACCGTAAGCGAAGACGTTTGCCCCAATTTCCGCTCATGAGTGTCAGTTATCATTCCACGATTACCCTAAAACGGAAGAACCGGTCTGGCTTACAGTACCAGGTGTTCCCAAGCGGTCCCCCATCTAAGTACTGACCTGGCTCTACGATGCTTAACTTCGGTGATCGAACGAGAACCGAATGAGAACCGGTGTTTTCAGCATGATTTGACCGTAAGCGAAGACGTTTGCCCCAATTTCCGCTCATGAGTGTCAGTTATCATTCCACGATAACCCTAAAACGGAAGAACCGGTCTGGCTTATAGTACCAGGTGTTCCCAAGCGGTCCCCCATCTAAGTACTGACCTGGCTCTACGATGCTTAACTTCGGTGATCGAACGAGAACCGGTGTTTTCAGCGTGATTTGACCGTAAGCGAAGACGTTTGCCCCAATTTCCGCTCATGAGTGTCAGTTATCATTCCACGATAACCCTAAAACGGAAGAACCGGTCTGGCTTACAGTACCAGGTGTTCCCAAGCGGTCCCCCATCTAAGTACTGACCTGGCTCTACGATGCTTAACTTCGGTGATCGAACGAGAACCGGTGTTTTCAGCGTGATTTGACCGTAAGCGAAGACGTTTGCCCCAATTTCCGCTCATGAGTGCCAGTTATCATTCCACGATAACCCTAAAACGGAAGAACCGGTCTGGCTTACAGTACCAGGTGTTCCCAAGCGGTCCCCCATCTAAGTACTGACCTGGCTCTACGATGCTTAACTTCGGTGATCGAACGAGAACCGGTGTTTTCAGCGTGATTTGACCGTAAGCGAAGACGTTTGCCCCAATTTCCGCTCATGAGTGTCAGTTATCATTCCACGATAACCCTAAAACGGAAGAACCGGTCTGGCTTACAGTACCAGGTGTCCCAAGCGGGTCCCCCATCTAAGTACTGACCTGGCTCTACGATGCTTAACTTCGGTGATCGAACGAGAACCGGTGTTTTCAGCGTGATTTGACCGTAAGCGAAGACGTTTGCCCCATTTCCGCTCATGAGTGTCAGTTATCATTCCACGATAACCCTAAAACGGAAGAACCGGTCTGGCTTACAGTACCAGGTGTTCCCAAGCGGTCCCCCATCTAAGTACTGACCTGGCTCTACGATGCTTAACTTCGGTGATCGAACGAGAACCGGTGTTTTCAGCGTGATTTGACCGTAAGCGAAGACGTTTGCCCCAATTTCCGCTCATGAGTGTCAGTTATCATTCCACGATAACCCCTAAAACGGAAGAACCGGTCTGGCTTACAGTACCAGGTGTTCCCAAGCGGTCCCCATCTAAGTACTGACCTGGCTCTACGATGCTTAACTTCGGTGATCGAACGAGAACCGGTGTTTTCAGCGTGATTTGACCGTAAGCGAAGACGTTTGCCCCAATTTCCGCTCATGAGTGTCAGTTATCATTCCACGATAACCCTAAAACGGAAGAACCGGTCTGGCTTACAGTACCAGGTGTTCCCAAGCGGTCCCCATCTAAGTACTGACCTGGCTCTACGATGCTTAACTTCGGTGATCGAACGAGAACCGGTGTTTTCAGCGTGATTTGACCGTAAGCGAAGACGTTTGCCCCAATTTCCGCTCATGAGTGTCAGTTATCATTCCACGATAACCCTAAAACGGAAGAACCGGTCTGGCTTACAGTACCAGGTGTTCCCAAGCGGTCCCCATCTAAGTACTGACCTGGCTCTACGATGCTTAACTTCGGTGATCGAACGAGAACCGGTGTTTTCAGCGTGATTTGACCGTAAGCGAAGACGTTTGCCCCAATTTCCGCTCATGAGTGTCAGTTATCATTCCACGATAACCCTAAAACGGAAGAACCGGTCTGGCTTACAGTACCAGGTGTTCCCAAGCGGTCCCCCATCTAAGTACTGACCTGGCTCTACGATGCTTAACTTCGGTGATCGAACGAGAACCGGTGTTTTCAGCGTGATTTGACCGTAAGCGAAGACGTTTGCCCCAATTTCCGCTCATGAGTGTCAGTTATCATTCCACGATAACCCTAAAACGGAAGAACCGGTCTGGCTTACAGTACCAGGTGTTCCCAAGCGGTCCCCCATCTAAGTACTGACCTGGCTCTACGATGCTTAACTTCGGTGATCGAACGAGAACCGGTGTTTTCAGCGTGATTTGACCGTAAGCGAAGACGTTTGGCCCAATTTCCGCTCATGAGTGTCAGTTATCATTCCACGATAACCCTAAAACGGAAGAACCGGTCTGGCTTACAGTACCAGGTGTTCCCAAGCGGTCCCCCATCTAAGTACTGACCTGGCTCTACGATGCTTAACTTCGGTGATCGAACGAGAACCGGTGTTTTCAGCGTGATTTGACCGTAAGCGAAGACGTTTGCCCCATTTCCGCTCATGAGTGTCAGTTATCATTCCACGATAACCCTAAAACGGAAGAACCGGTCTGGCTTACAGTACCAGGTGTTCCCAAGCGGTCCCCCATCTAAGTACTGACCTGGCTCTACGATGCTTAACTTCGGTGATCGAACGAGAACCGGTGTTTTCAGCGTGATTTGACCGTAAGCGAAGACGTTTGCCCCAATTTCCGCTCATGAGTGTCAGTTATCATTCCACGATAACCCTAAAACGGAAGAACCGGTCTGGCTTACAGTCCCAGGTGTTCCAAGCGGTCCCCCATCTAAGAAGACGTTTGCCCCAATTTCCGCTCATGAGACCTCATTCCACGATGCTTAACGGTCTGGTGACCAGGTGAACGAGAACCTGGGTGTTTTCGAACGAGAACCGGTGTTTTTGACCGTAAGCGAAGACGTTTGCCCCAATTTCCGCTCATGAGTGTCAGTTATCATTCCACGATAACCCTAAAACGGAAGAACCGGTCTGGCTTACAGTACCAGGTGTTCCCAAGCGGTCCCCCATCTAAGTACTGACCTGGCTCTACGATGCTTAACTTCGGTGATCGAACGAGAACCGGTGTTTTCAGCGTGATTTGACCGTAAGCGAAGACGTTTGCCCCAATTTCCGCTCATGAGTGTCAGTTATCATTCCACGATAACCCTAAAACGGAAGAACCGGTCTGGCTTACAGTACCAGGTGTTCCCAAGCGGTCCCCATCTAAGTACTGACCTGGCTCTACGATGCTTAACTTCGGTGATCGAACGAGAACCGGTGTTTTCAGCGTGATTTGACCGTAAGCGAAGACGTTTGCCCCAATTTCCGCTCATGAGTGTCAGTTATCATTCCACGATAACCCTAAAACGGAAGAACCGGTCTGGCTTACAGTACCAGGTGTTCCCAAGCGGTCCCCCATCTAAGTACTGACCTGGCTCTACGATGCTTAACTTCGGTGATCGAACGAGAACCGGTGTTTTCAGCGTGATTTGACCGTAAGCGAAGACGTTTGCCCCAATTTCCGCTCATGAGTGTCAGTTATCATTCCACGATAACCCTAAAACGGAAGAACCGGTCTGGCTTACAGTACCAGGTGTTCCCAAGCGGTCCCCATCTAAGTACTGACCTGGCTCTACGATGCTTAACTTCGGTGATCGAACGAGAACCGGTGTTTTCAGCGTGATTTGACCGTAAGCGAAGACGTTTGCCCCAATTTCCGCTCATGAGTGTCAGTTATCATTCCACGATAACCCTAAAACGGAAGAACCGGTCTGGCTTACAGTACCAGGTGTTCCCAAGCGGTCCCCATCTAAGTACTGACCTGGCTCTACGATGCTTAACTTCGGTGATCGAACGAGAACCGGTGTTTTCAGCGTGATTTGACCGTAAGCGAAGACGTTTGCCCCAATTTCCGCTCATGAGTGTCAGTTATCATTCCACGATAACCCTAAAACGGAAGAACTGGTCTGGCTTACAGTACCAGGTGTTCCCAAGCGGTCCCCCATCTAAGTACTGACCTGGCTCTACGATGCTTAACTTCGGTGATCGAACGAGAACCGGTGTTTTCAGCGTGATTTGACCGTAAGCGAAGACGTTTGCCCCAATTTCCGCTCATGAGTGTCAGTTATCATTCCACGATAACCCTAAAACGGAAGAACTGGTCTGGCTTACAGTACCAGGTGTTCCCAAGCGGTCCCCCATCTAAGTACTGACCTGGCTCTACGATGCTTAACTTCGGTGATCGAACGAGAACCGGTGTTTTCAGCGTGATTTGACCGTCGAAGACGTTTGCCCCAATTTCCGCTCATGATGAGTGTCAGTTATCATTCCACGATAACCCTAAAACGGAAGAACCGGTCTGGCTTACAGTACCAGGTGTTCCCAAGCGGTCCCCATCTAAGTACTGACCTGGCTTTACGATGCTTAACTTCGGTGATCGAACGAGAACCGGTGTTTTCAGCGTGATTTGACCGTAAGCGAAGACGTTTGCCCCAATTTCCGCTCATGAGTGTCAGTTATCATTCCACGATAACCCTAAAACGGAAGAACCGGTCTGGCTTACAGTACCAGGTGTTCCCAAGCGGTCCCCCATCTAAGTACTGACCTGGCTCTACGATGCTTAACTTCGGTGATCGAACGAGAACCGGTGTTTTCAGCGTGATTTGACCGTAAGCGAAGACGTTTGCCCCAATTTCCGCTCATGAGTGTCAGTTATCATTCCACGATAACCCTAAAACGGAAGAACCGGTCTGGCTTACAGTACCAGGTGTTCCCAAGCGGTCCCCCATCTAAGTACTGACCTGGTTTCTATTGATGCTTAACTTCGGTGATCGAACGAGAACCGGTGTTTTCAGCGTGATTTGACCGTAAGCGAAGACGTTTGCCCCAATTTCCGCTCATGAGTGTCAGTTATCATTCCACGATAACCCTAAAACGGAAGAACCGGTCTGGCTTACAGTACCAGGTGTTCCCAAGCGGTCCCCATCTAATACTGACCTGGCTCTACGATGCTTAACTTCGGTGATCGAACGAGAACCGGTGTTTTCAGCGTGATTTGACCGTAAGCGAAGACGTTTGATGCTTAGTGTCAGTTATCATTCCACGATAACCCCTAAAACGGAAGAACGGTCTGGCTTACAGTACCAGGTTTTCCCAAGCGGCGGTCCCCCATCTAAGTACTGACCTGGACGATGCTTAACTTCGGTGATCGAACGAGAACCGGTGTTTTCAGCGTGATTTGACCGTAAGCGAAGACGTTTGCCCCAATTTCCGCTCATGAGTGTCAGTTATCATTCCACGATAACCCTAAAACGGAAGAACCGGTCTGGCTTACAGTACCAGGTGTTCCCAAGCGGTCCCCCATCTAAGTACTGACCTGGCTCTACGATGCTTAACTTCGGTGATCGAACGAGAACCGGTGTTTTCAGCGTGATTTGACCGTAAGCGAAGACGTTTGCCCCAATTTCCGCTCATGAGTGTCAGTTATCATTCCACGATAACCCTAAAACGGAAGAACTGGTCTGGCTTACAGTACCAGGTGTTCCCAAGCGGTCCCCCATCTAAGTACTGACCTGGCTCTACGATGCTTAACTTCGGTGATCGAACGAGAACCGGTGTTTTCAGCGTGATTTGACCGTAAGCGAAGACGTTTGCCCCAATTTCCGCTCATGAGTGTCAGTTATCATTCCACGATAACCCTAAAACGGAAGAACCGGTCTGGCTTACAGTACCAGGTGTTCCCAAGCGGTCCCCCATCTAAGTACTGACCTGGCTCTACGATGCTTAACTTCGGTGATCGAACGAGAACCGGTGTTTTCAGCGTGATTTGACCGTAAGCGAAGACGTTTGCCCCATGAATCATTCCGATAACCCTAAAAATGAGTGTACCAGTTATCATTCCACGATAACCGGTAAAACGGAAGAACCGGTCTGGCTTACAGTACCAGGTGTTCCCAATTTCCGGTATCCCCATCTAAAACGGACTGACCTGGCTTCAGTACGATGCTTAACTTCGGTGATCGAACGAGAACCGGTGATCGAACGCAGAACCGGTGTTTTCAGCGTGATTTGACCGTAAGCGAAGACGTTTGCCCCAATTTCCGCTCATGAGAGTCAGTTATCATTCCACGATAACCCTAAAACGGAAGAACCGGTCTGGCTTACAGTACCAGGTGTTCCCAAGCGGTCCCCCATCTAAGTACTGACCTGGCTCTACGATGCTTAACTTCGGTGATCGAACGAGAACCGGTGTTTTCAGCGTGATTTGACCGTAAGCGAAGACGTTTGCCCAATTTCCGCTCATGAGTGTCAGTTATCATTCCACGATAACCCTAAAACGGAAGAACCGGTCTGGCTTACAGTACCAGGTGTTCCCAAGCGGTCCCCATCTAAGTACTGACCTGGCTCTACGATGCTTAACTTCGGTGATCGAACGAGAACCGGTGTTTTCAGCGTGATTTGACCGTAAGCGAAGACGTTTGCCCCAATTTCCGCTCATGAGTGTCAGTTATCATTCCACGATAACCCTAAAACGGAAGAACCGGTCTGGCTTACAGTACCAGGTGTTCCCAAGCGGTCCCCATCTAAGTACTGACCTGGCTCTACGATGCTTAACTTCGGTGATCGAACGAGAACCGGTGTTTTCAGCGTGATTTGACCGTAAGCGAAGACGTTTGCCCCAATTTCCGCTCATGAGTGTCAGTTATCATTCCACGATAACCCTAAAACGGAAGAACCGGTCTGGCTTACAGTACCAGGTGTTCCCAAGCGGTCCCCCCATCTAAGTACTGACCTGGCTCTACGATGCTTAACTTCGGTGATCGAACGAGAACCGGTGTTTTCAGCGTGATTTGACCGTGCGAAGCGAAGACGTTACAGTACCAGGTGTTCTAAGCGGTCCCCAATTGACCTGGCTCTACGATGCGCTTCGGTGATCGAACGAGAACCGGTCAGCGTGATTTATCATTCCACGATAACCCTAAAACGGAAGAACCGGTCTGGCTTACAGTACCAGGTGTTCCCAAGCGGTCCCCCATCTAAGTACTGACCTGGCTCTACGATGCTTAACTTCGGTGATCGAACGAGAACCGGTGTTTTCAGCGTGATTTGACCGTAAGCGAAGACGTTTGCCCCAATTTCCGCTCATGAGTGTCAGTTATCATTCCACGATAACCCTAAAACGGAAGAACCGGTCTGGCTTACAGTACCAGGTGTTCCCAAGCGGTCCCCCATCTAAGTACTGACCTGGCTCTACGATGCTTAACTTCGGTGATCGAACGAGAACCGGTGTTTTCAGCGTGATTTGACCGTAAGCGAAGACGTTTGCCCCAATTTCCGCTCATGAGTGTCAGTTATCATTCCACGATAACCCTAAAACGGAAGAACCGGTCTGGCTTACAGTACCAGGTGTTCCCAAGCGGTCCCCCATCTAAGTACTGACCTGGCTCTACGATGCTTAACTTCGGTGATCGAACGAGAACCGGTGTTTTCAGCGTGATTTGACCGTAAGCGAAGACGTTTGCCCCAATTTCCGCTCATGAGTGTCAGTTATCATTCCACGATAACCCTAAAACGGAAGAACCGGTCTGGCTTACAGTACCAGGTGTTCCCAAGCGGTCCCCCATCTAAGTACTGACCTGGCTCTACGATGCTTAACTTCGGTGATCGAACGAGAACCGGTGTTTTCAGCGTGATTTGACCGTAAGCGAAGACGTTTGCCCCAATTTCCGCTCATGAGTGTCAGTTATCATTCCACGATAACCCTAAACGGAAGAACCGGTCTGGCTTACAGTACCAGGTGTTCCCAAGCGGTCCCCATCTAAGTACTGACCTGGCTCTACGATGCTTAACTTCGGTGATCGAACGAGAACCGGTGTTTTCAGCGTGATTTGACCGTAAGCGAAGACGTTTGCCCCAATTTCCGCTCTCTGATGAGTGTCAGTTATCATTCCACGATAACCCCTAAAAAAACGGAAGAACCGGTCTGGCTTACAGTACGAACGAGAACCAGAACGGTTGAAAGCGGTCCCCCATCTAAGTACTGACCTGGCTCTACGATGCTTAACATTCGGTGATCGAACGAGAACCGGTGTTTTCAAGCGGTCGTGATTTGACCGTAAGCGAAGACGTTTGATTTGACCCAATTTCCGCTCATGAGTGTCAGTTATCATTCCACGATAACCCTAAAACGGAAGAACCGGTCTGGCTTACAGTACCAGGTGTTCCCAAGCGGTCCCCCATCTAAGTACTGACCTGGCTCTACGATGCTTAACTTCGGTGATCGAACGAGAACCGGTGTTTTCAGCGTGATTTGACCGTAAGCGAAGACGTTTGCCCCAATTTCCGCTCATGAGTGTCAGTTATCATTCCACGATAACCCTAAAACGGAAGAACCGGTCTGGCTTACAGTACCAGGTGTTCCCAAGCGGTCCCCATCTAAGTACTGACCTGGCTCTACGATGCTTAACTTCGGTGATCGAACGAGAACCGGTGTTTTCAGCGTGATTTGACCGTAAGCGAAGACGTTTGCCCCAATTTCCGCTCATGAGTGTCAGTTATCATTCCACGATAACCCTAAAACGGAAGAACCGGTCTGGCTTACAGTACCAGGTGTTCCCAAGCGGTCCCCCATCTAAGTACTGACCTGGCTCTACGATGCTTAACTTCGGTGATCGAACGAGAACCGGTGTTTTCAGCGTGATTTGACCGTAAGCGAAGACGTTTGCCCCAATTTCCGCTCATGAGTGTCAGTTATCATTCCACGATAACCCTAAAACGGAAGAACCGGTCTGGCTTACAGTACCAGGTGTTCCCAAGCGGTCCCCATCTAAGTACTGACCTGGCTCTACGATGCTTAACTTCGGTGATCGAACGAGAACCGGTGTTTTCAGCGTGATTTGACCGTAAGCGAAGACGTTTGCCCCAATTTCCGCTCATGAGTGTCAGTTATCATTCCACGATAACCCTAAAACGGAAGAACCGGTCTGGCTTACAGTACCAGGTGTTCCCAAGCGGTCCCCATCTAAGTACTGACCTGGCTCTACGATGCTTAACTTCGGTGATCGAACGAGAACCGGTGTTTTCAGCGTGATTTGACCGTAAGCGAAGACGTTTGCCCCAATTTCCGCTCATGAGTGTCAGTTATCATTCCACGATAACCCTAAAACGGAAGAACCGGTCTGGCTTACAGTACCAGGTGTTCCCAAGCGGTCCCCCATCTAAGTACTGACCTGGCTCTACGATGCTTAACTTCGGTGATCGAACGAGAACCGGTGTTTTCAGCGTGATTTGACCGTAAGCGAAGACGTTTGCCCCAATTTCCGCTCATGAGTGTCAGTTATCATTCCACGATAACCCTAAAACGGAAGAACGGTCTGGCTTACAGTACCAGGTGTTCCCAAGCGGTCCCCCATCTAAGTACTGACCTGGCTCTACGATGCTTAACTTCGGTGATCGAACGAGAACCGGTGTTTTCAGCGTGATTTGACCGTAAGCGAAGACGTTTGCCCCAATTTCCGCTCATGAGTGTCAGTTATCATTCCACGATAACCCTAAAACGGAAGAACCGGTCTGGCTTACAGTACCAGGTGTTCCCAAGCGGTCCCCCATCTAAGTACTGACCTGGCTCTACGATGCTTAACTTCGGTGATCGAACGAGAACCGGTGTTTTCAGCGTGATTTGACCGTAAGCGAAGACGTTTGCCCCAATTTCCGCTCATGAGCGTCAGTTATCATTCCACGATAACCCTAAAACATGACCAGGTGGACCTGGCTCTACGATGCTTAACTTCGGTGATCGAACGAGAACCGGTGTTTTCAGCGTGATTTTACGTTTCATTCAGTTATCATTCGATAACCCTAAAACGGAAGAACCGGTCTGGCTTACAGTACCAGGTGTTCCCAAGCGGTCCCCATCTAAGTACTGACCTGGCTCTACGATGCTTAACTTCGGTGATCGAACGAGAACCGGTGTTTTCAGCGTGATTTGACCGTAAGCGAAGACGTTTGCCCCAATTTCCGCTCATGAGTGTCAGTTATCATTCCACGATAACCCTAAAACGGAAGAACCGGTCTGGCTTACAGTACCAGGTGTTCCCAAGCGGTCCCCCATCTAAGTACTGACCTGGCTCTACGATGCTTAACTTCGGTGATCGAACGAGAACCGGTGTTTTCAGCGTGATTTGACCGTAAGCGAAGACGTTTGCCCCAATTTCCGCTCATGAGTGTCAGTTATCATTCCACGATAACCCTAAAACGGAAGAACCGGTCTGGCTTACAGTACCAGGTGTTCCCAAGCGGTCCCCATCTAATACTGACCTGGCTCTACGATGCTTAACTTCGGTGATCGAACGAGAACCGGTGTTTTCAGCGTGATTTGACCGTAAGCGAAGACGTTTGCCCTTAATTTCCGTGTTTTCATGAGTGTCAGTTATCATTCCACGATAACCCTAAAACGGAAGAACCGGTCTGGCTTACAGTACCAGGTGTTCCCAAGCGGTCCCCCATCTAAGTACTGACCTGGCTCTACGATGCTTAACTTCGGTGATCGAACGAGAACCGGTGTTTTCAGCGTGATTTGACCGTAAGCGAAGACGTTTGCCCCAATTTCCGCTCATGAGTGTCAGTTATCATTCCACGATAACCCTAAAACGGAAGAACCGGTCTGGCTTACAGTACCAGGTGTTCCCAAGCGGTCCCCCATCTAAGTACTGACCTTCCTTAACTTCGGTGATCGAACGAGAACCGGTGTTTTCAGCGTGATTTGACCGTAAGCGAAGAAATTTCCGCTCATGAGGTCAGTTATCATTCCACGATAACCCTAAAACGGAAGAACCGGTCTGGCTTACAGTACCAGGTGTTCCCAAGCGGTCCCCCATCTAAGTACTGACCTGGCTCTACGATGCTTAACTTCGGTGATCGAACGAGAACCGGTGTTTTCAGCGTGATTTGACCGTAAGCGAAGACGTTTGCCCCAATTTCCGCTCATGAGTGTCAGTTATCATTCCACGATAACCCTAAAACGGAAGAACCGGTCTGGCTTACAGTACCAGGTGTTCCCAAGCGGTCCCCCATCTAAGTACTGACCTGGCTCTACGATGCTTAACTTCGGTGATCGAACGAGAACCGGTGTTTTCAGCGTGATTTGACCGTAAGCGAAGACGTTTGCCCCAATTTCCGCTCATGAGTGTCAGTTATCATTCCACGATAACCCTAAAACGGAAGAACCGGTCTGGCTTACAGTACCAGGTGTTCCCCAAGCGGTCCCCCATCTAAGTACGGTGATGCTTAACTTCGGTGATCGAACGAGAACCGGTGTTTTCAGCGTGATTTGACCGTAAGCGAAGACGTTTGCCCCAATTTCCGCTCATGAGTGTCAGTTATCATTCCACGATAACCCTAAAACGGAAGAACCGGTCTGGCTTACAGTACCAGGTGTTCCCAAGCGGTCCCCCATCTAAGTACTGACCTGGCTCTACGATGCTTAACTTCGGTGATCGAACGAGAACCGGTGTTTTCAGCGTGATTTGACCGTAAGCGAAGACGTTTGCCCCAATTTCCGCTCATGAGTGTCAGTTATCATTCCACGATAACCCTAAAACGGAAGAACCGGTCTGGCTTACAGTACCAGGTGTTCCCAAGCGGTCCCCCATCTAAGTACTGACCTGGCTCTACGATGCTTAACTTCGGTGATCGAACGAGAACCGGTTTTTTCAGCGTGATTTGACGTAAGCGTAAGCGAAGACGTTTGCCCCAATTTCCGCTCATGAGTGTCAGTTATCATTCCACGATAACCCTAAAACGGAAGAACCGGTCTGGCTTACAGTACCAGGTGTTCCCAAGCGGTCCCCATCTAAGTACTGACCTGGCTCTACGATGCTTAACTTCGGTGATCGAACGAGAACCGGTGTTTTCAGCGTGATTTGACCGTAAGCGAAGACGTTTGCCCCAATTTCCGCTCATGAGTGTCAGTTATCATTCCACGATAACCCTAAAACGGAAGAACCGGTCTGGCTTACAGTACCAGGTGTTCCCAAGCGGTCCCCCATCTAAGTACTGACCTGGCTCTACGATGCTTAACTTCGGTGATCGAACGAGAACCGGTGTTTTCAGCGTGATTTGACCGTAAGCGAAGACGTTTGCCCCAATTTCCGCTCATGAGTGTCAGTTATCATTCCACGATAACCCTAAAACGGAAGAACCGGTCTGGCTTACAGTACCAGGTGTTCCCAAGCGGTCCCCCATCTAAGTACTGACCTGGCTCTACGATGCTTAACTTCGGTGATCGAACGAGAACCGGTGTTTTCAGCGTGATTTGACCGTAAGCGAAGACGTTTGCCCCAATTTCCGCTCATGAGTGTCAGTTATCATTCCACGATAACCCTAAAACGGAAGAACCGGTCTGGCTTACAGTACCAGGTGTTCCCAAGCGGTCCCCCATCTAAGTACTGACCTGGCTCTACGATGCTTAACTTCGGTGATCAAACGAAAACCGGTGTTTTCGGCGTGATTTGACCGTAAGCGAAAACGTTTGCCCTAATTTCCGCTCATGAGTGTCAGTTATCATTGCACGATAACCCTAAAACGGAAGAACCGGTCTGGCTTACAGTACCAGGTGTTCCCAAGCGGTCCCCCATCTAAGTACTGACCTTACGATGCTTAACTTCGGTGATCGAACGAGAACCGGTGTTTTCAGCGTGATTTGACCGTAAGCGAAGACGGAATTTCCGCTCATGAGTGTCAGTTATCATTGCACGATAACCCTAAAACGGAAGAACCGGTCTGGCTTACAGTACCAGGTGTTCCCAAGCGGTCCCCCATCTAAGTACTAACCTGTCTCTACGATGCTTAATTTCGGTGATCGAACGAGAACCGGTGTTTTCAGCGTGATTTGACCGTAAGCGAAGACGTTTGCCCCAATTTCCGCACATGAGTGTCAGTTATCATTCCACGATAACCCTAAAACGGAAGAACCGGTCTGGGTTACAGTACCAGGTGTTCCCAAGCGGTCCCCCATCTAAGTACTGACCTGGCTCTACGATGATTAACTTCGGTGATCGAACGAGAACCGGTGTTTTCAGCGTGATTTGACCGTAAGCGAAGACGTTTGCCCCAATTTCCGCTCATGAGTGTCAGTTATCATTCCACGATAACCCTAAAACGGAAGAACCGGTCTGGCTTACAGTACCAGGTGTTCCCAAGCGGTCCCCCATCTAAGTACTGACCTGGCTCTACGATGCTTAACTTCGGTGATCGAACGAGAACCGGTGTTTTCAGCGTGATTTGACCGTAAGCGAAGACGTTTGCCCCAATTTCCGCTCATGAGTGTCAGTTATCATTCCACGATAACCCTAAAACGGAAGAACCGGTCTGGCTTACAGTACCAGGTGTTCCCAAGCGGTCCCCCATCTAAGTACTGACCTGGCTCTACGATGCTTAACTTCGGTGATCGAACGAGAACCGGTGTTTTCAGCGTGATTTGACCGTAAGCGAAGACGTTTGCCCCAATTTCTGCTCATGAGTGAGTGTTATCATTCCACGATAACCCTAAAACGGAAGAACCGGTCTGGCTTACAGTACCAGGTGTTCCCAAGCGGTCCCCCATCTAAGTACTGACCTGGCTCTACGATGCTTAACTTCGGTGATCGAACGAGAACCGGTGTTTTCAGCGTGATTTGACCGTAAGCGAAGACGTTTCCCCAATTTCCGCTCATGAGTGTCAGTTATCATTCCACGATAACCCTAAAACGGAAGAACCGGTCTGGCTTACAGTACCAGGTGTTCCCAAGCGGTCCCCCATCTAAGTACTGACCTGGCTCTACGATGCTTAACTTCGGTGATCGAACGAGAACCGGTGTTTTCAGCGTGATTTGACCGTAAGCGAAGACGTTTGCCCCAATTTCCGCTCATGAGTGTCAGTTATCATTCCACGATAACCCTAAAACGGAAGAACCGGTCTGGCTTACAGTACCAGGTGTTCCCAAGCGGTCCCCCATCTAAGTACTGACCTGGCTCTACGATGCTTAACTTCGGTGATCGAACGAGAACCGGTGTTTTCAGCGTGATTTGACCGTAAGCGAAGACGTTTGCCCCAATTTCCGCTCATGAGTGTCAGTTATCATTCCACGATAACCCTAAAACGGAAGAACCGGTCTGGCTTACAGTACCAGGTGTTCCCAAGCGGTCCCCATCTAAGTACTGACCTGGCTCTCTACGATGCTTAACTTCGGTGATCGAACGAGAACCGGTGTTTTCAGCGTGATTTGACCGTAAGCGAAGACGTTTGCCCCAATTTCCGCTCATGAGTGTCAGTTATCATTCCACGATAACCCTAAAACGGAAGAACCGGTCTGGCTTACAGTACCAGGTGTTCCCAAGCGGTCCCCATCTAAGTACTGACCTGGCTCTACGATGCTTAACTTCGGTGATCGAACGAGAACCGGTGTTTTCAGCGTGATTTGACCGTAAGCGAAGACGTTTGCCCCAATTTCCGCTCATGAGTGTCAGTTATCATTCCACGATAACCCTAAAACGGAAGAACCGGTCTGGCTTACAGTACCAGGTGTTCCCAGCGGTCCCCCATCTAAACTGACCTGGTCTACCCCATCGAACGAGAACCGGTGTTTTACGTGATTGACCGTGCGAAGACGTTTGCCCCAATTTCCGATGTCGTTATCATTCTTAACCTAAAACGGAAGGTGATCGAACGAGAACCGGAAGAACTGGTCCTGGCTTACAGTACCAGGTGTTTTCAGCGATGCTTAATTTGACCGAACGAGAACCGGAAGACGTTTGACCCGAAGACAATTTCCGCTCATGAGTGTCAGTTATCATTCCACGATAACCCTAAAACGGAAGAACCGGTCTGGCTTACAGTACCAGGTGTTCCCAAGCGGTCCCCCATCTAAGTACTGACCTGGCTCTACGATGCTTAACTTCGGTGATCGAACGAGAACCGGTGTTTTCAGCGTGATTTGACCGTAAGCGAAGACGTTTGCCCCAATTTCCGCTCATGAGTGTCAGTTATCATTCCACGATAACCCTAAAACGGAAGAACCGGTCTGGCTTACAGTACCAGGTGTTCCCAAGCGGTCCCCCATCTAAGTACTGACCTGGCTCTACGATGCTTAACTTCGGTGATCGAACGAGAACCGGTGTTTTCAGCGTGATTTGACCGTAAGCGAAGACGTTTGCCCCAATTTCCGCTCATGAGTGTCAGTTATCATTCCACGATAACCCTAAAACGGAAGAACCGGTCTGGCTTACAGTACCAGGTGTTCCCAAGCGGTCCCCCATCTAAAGTACTGACCTGGCTCTACGATGCTTCGAACGAACCGGTTCGGAACGAGAACCGGTGATTTTCTGTGATTTGACCGTAAGCGAAGACGTTTGCCCCAATTTCCGCTCATGAGTGTCAGTTATCATTCCACGATAACCCTAAAACGGAAGAACCGGTCTGGCTTACAGTACCAGGTGTTCCCAAGCGGTCCCCATCTAAGTACTGACCTGGCTCTCTACGATGCTTAACTTCGGTGATCGAACGAGAACCGGTGTTTTCAGCGTGATTTGACCGTAAGCGAAGACGTTTGCCCCAATTTCCGCTCATGAGTGTCAGTTATCATTCCACGATAACCCTAAAACGGAAGAACCGGTCTGGCTTACAGTACCAGGTGTTCCCAAGCGGTCCCCCATCTAAGTACTGACCTGGCTCTACGATGCTTAACTTCGGTGATCGAACGAGAACCGGTGTTTTCAGCGTGATTTGACCGTAAGCGAAGACGTTTGCCCCAATTTCCGCTCATGAGTGTCAGTTATCATTCCACGATAACCCTAAAACGGAAGAACCGGTCTGGCTTACAGTACCAGGTGTTCCCAAGCGGTCCCCCATCTAAGTACTGACCTGGCTCTACGATGCTTAACTTCGGTGATCGAACGAGAACCGGTGTTTTCAGCGTGATTTGACCGTAAGCGAAGACGTTTGCCCCAATTTCCGCTCATGAGTGTCAGTTATCATTCCACGATAACCCTAAAACGGAAGAACCGGTCTGGCTTACAGTACCAGGTGTTCCCAAGCGGTCCCCCATCTAAGTACTGACCTGGCTCTACGATGCTTAACTTCGGTGATCGAACGAGAACCGGTGTTTTCAGCGTGATTTGACCGTAAGCGAAGACGTTTGCCCCAATTTCCGCTCATGAGTGTCAGTTATCATTCCACGATAACCCTAAAACGGAAGAACCGGTCTGGCTTACAGTACCAGGTGTTCCCAAGCGGTCCCCCATCTAAGTACTGACCTGGCTCTACGATGCTTAACTTCGGTGATCGAACGAGAACCGGTGTTTTCAGCGTGATTTGACCGTAAGCGAAGACGTTTGCCCCAATTTCCGCTCATGAGTGTCAGTTATCATTCCACGATAACCCTAAAACGGAAGAACCGGTCTGGCTTACAGTACCAGGTGTTCCCAAGCGGTCCCCCATCTAAGTACTGACCTGGCTCTACGATGCTTAACTTCGGTGATCGAACGAGAACCGGTGTTTTCAGCGTGATTTGACCGTAAGCGAAGACGTTTGCCCCAATTTCCGCTCATGAGTGTCAGTTATCATTCCACGATAACCCTAAAACGGAAGAACCGGTCTGGCTTACAGTACCAGGTGTTCCCAAGCGGTCCCCCATCTAAGTACTGACCTGGCTCTACGATGCTTAACTTCGGTGATCGAACGAGAACCGGTGTTTTCAGCGTGATTTGACCGTAAGCGAAGACGTTTGCCCCAATTTCCGCTCATGAGTGTCAGTTATCATTCCACGATAACCCTAAAACGGAAGAACCGGTCTGGCTTACAGTACCAGGTGTTCCCAAGCGGTCCCCATCTAAGTACTGACCTGGCTCTACGATGCTTAACTTCGGTGATCGAACGAGAACCGGTGTTTTCAGCGTGATTTGACCGTAAGCGAAGACGTTTGCCCAATTTCCGCTCATGAGTGTCAGTTATCATTCCACGATAACCCTAAAACGGAAGAACCGGTCTGGCTTACAGTACCAGGTGTTCCCAAGGGTCCCCCATCTAAGTACTGACCTGGCTCTACGATGCTTAACTTCGGTGATCGAACGAGAACCGGTGTTTTCAGCGTGATTTGACCGTAAGCGAAGACGTTTGCCCCAATTTCCGCTCATGAGTGTCAGTTATCATTCCACGATAACCCTAAAAACGGAAGAACCGGTCTGGCTTACAGTACCAGGTGTTCCCAAGCGGTCCCCATCTAAGTACTGACCTGGCTCTACGATGCTTAACTTCGGTGATCGAACGAGAACCGTGATTTGACCGTAAGCGAAGACGTTTAATTTCCGCTTGAGTGTGTTATCATTCCACGATAACCCTAAAACGGAAGAACCGGTCTGGCTTACAGTACCAGGTGTTCCCAAGCGGTCCCCCATCTAAGTACTGACCTGGCTCTACGATGCTTAACTTCGGTGATCGAACGAGAACCGTGATTTGACCGTAAGCGAAGACGTTTGCCCCAATTTCCGCTCATGAGTGTCAGTTATCATTCCACGATAACCCTAAAACGGAAGAACCGGTCTGGCTTACAGTACCAGGTGTTCCCAAGCGGTCCCCCATCTAAGTACTGACCTGGCTCTACGATGCTTAACTTCGGTGATCGAACGAGAACCGGTGTTTTCAGCGTGATTTGACCGTAAGCGAAGACGTTTGCCCCAATTTCCGCTCATGAGTGTCAGTTATCATTCCACGATAACCCTAAAACGGAAGAACCGGTCTGGCTTACAGTACCAGGTGTTCCCAAAGCGGTCCCCCATCTAAGTACTGACCTGGCTCTACGATGCTTAACTTCGGTGATCGAACGAGAACCGGTGTTTTCAGCGTGATTTGACCGTAAGCGAAGACGTTTGCCCCAATTTCCGCTCATGAGTGTCAGTTATCATTCCACGATAACCCTAAAACGGAAGAACCGGTCTGGCTTACAGTACCAGGTGTTCCCAAGCGGTCCCCCATCTAAGTACTGACCTGGCTCTACGATGCTTAACTTCGGTGATCGAACGAGAACCGGTGTTTTCAGCGTGATTTGACCGTAAGCGAAGACGTTTGCCCCAATTTCCGCTCATGAGTGTCAGTTATCATTCCACGATAACCCTAAAACGGAAGAACCGGTCTGGCTTACAGTACCAGGTGTTCCCAAGCGGTCCCCCATCTAAGTACTGACCTGGCTCTACGATGCTTAACTTCGGTGATCGAACGAGAACCGGTGTTTTCAGCGTGATTTGACCGTAAGCGAAGACGTTTGCCCCAATTTCCGCTCATGAGTGTCAGTTATCATTCCACGATAACCCTAAAACGGAAGAACCGGTCTGGCTTACAGTACCAGGTGTTCCCAAGCGGTCCCCATCTAAGTACTGACCTGGCTCTACGATGCTTAACTTCGGTGATCGAACGAGAACCGGTGTTTTCAGCGTGATTTGACCGTAAGCGAAGACGTTTGCCCCAATTTCCGCTCATGAGTGTCAGTTATCATTCCACGATAACCCTAAAACGGAAGAACCGGTCTGGCTTACAGTACCAGGTGTTCCCAAGCGGTCCCCCATCTAAGTACTGACCTGGCTCTACGATGCTTAACTTCGGTGATCGAACGAGAACCGGTGTTTTCAGCGTGATTTGACCGTAAGCGAAGACGTTTGCCCCAATTTCCGCTCATGAGTGTCAGTTATCATTCCACGATAACCCTAAAACGGAAGAACCGGTCTGGCTTACAGTACCAGGTGTTCCCAAGCGGTCCCCCATCTAAGTACTGACCTGGCTCTACGATGCTTAACTTCGGTGATCGAACGAGAACCGGTGTTTTCAACGTGATTTGACCGTAAGCGAAGACGTTTGCCCCAATTTCCGCTCATGAGTGTCAGTTATCATTCCACGATAACCCTAAAACGGAAGAACCGGTCTGGCTTACAGTACCAGGTGTTCCCAAGCGGTCCCCCATCTAAGTACTGACCTGGCTCTACGATGCTTAACTTCGGTGATCGAACGAGAACCGGTGTTTTCAGCGTGATTTGACCGTAAGCGAAGACGTTTGCCCCAATTTCCGCTCATGAGTGTCAGTTATCATTCCACGATAACCCTAAAACGGAAGAACCGGTCTGGCTTACAGTACCAGGTGTTCCCAAGCGGTCCCCCATCTAAGTACTGACCTGGCTCTACGATGCTTAACTTCGGTGATCGAACGAGAACCGGTGTTTTCAGCGTGATTTGACCGTAAGCGAAGACGTTTGCCCCAATTTCCGCTCATGAGTGTCAGTTATCATTCCACGATAACCCTAAAACGGAAGAACCGGTCTGGCTTACAGTACCAGGTGTTCCCAGTGTCAGTTATCATTCCACGATAACCCTAAAACGGAAGAAGCGGTCCCCATCTAAGTACTGACCTGGCTCTACGATGCTTAACTTCGGTGATCGAACGAGAACCGGTGTTTTCAACGTGATTTGACCGTAAGCGAAGACGTTTGCCCCAATTTCCGCTCATGAGTGTCAGTTATCATTCCACGATAACCCTAAAACGGAAGAACCGGTCTGGCTTACAGTACCAGGTGTTCCCAAGCGGTCCCCCATCTAAGTACTGACCTGGCTCTACGATGCTTAACTTCGGTGATCGAACGAGAACCGGTGTTTTCAGCGTGATTTGACCGTAAGCGAAGACGTTTGCCCCAATTTCCGCTCATGAGTGTCAGTTATCATTCCACGATAACCCTAAAACGGAAGAACCGGTCTGGCTTACAGTACCAGGTGTTCCCAAGCGGTCCCCCATCTAAGTACTGACCTGGCTCTACGATGCTTAACTTCGGTGATCGAACGAGAACCGGTGTTTTCAGCGTGATTTGACCGTCAAAGCGAAGACGTTTGCCCCAATTTCCGCTCATGAGTGTCAGTTATCATTCCACGATAACCCTAAAACGGAAGAACCGGTTTAACTTCGGTTGCTTACAGTACCAGGTGTTCCCAAGCGGTCCCCCATCTTACTGACCTGGCTCTACGATGCTTAACTTCGGTGATCGAACGAGAACCGGTGTTTTCAGCGTGATTTGACCGTAAGCGAAGACGTTTGCCCCAATTTCCGCTCATGAGTGTCAGTTATCATTCCACGATAACCCTAAAACGGAAGAACCGGTCTGGCTTACAGTACCAGGTGTTCCCAAGCGGTCCCCATCTAAGTACTGACCTGGCTCTACGATGCTTAACTTCGGTGATCGAACGAGAACCGGTGTTTTCAGCGTGATTTGACCGTAAGCGAAGACGTTTGCCCCAATTTCCGCTCATGAGTGTCAGTTATCATTCCACGATAACCCTAAAACGGAAGAACCGGTCTGGCTTACAGTACCAGGTGTTCCCAAGCGGTCCCCCATCTAAGTACTGACCTGGCTCTACGATGCTTAACTTCGGTGATCGAACGAGAACCGGTGTTTTCAGCGTGATTTGACCGTAAGCGAAGACGTTTGCCCCAATTTCCGCTCATGAGTGTCAGTTATCATTCCACGATAACCCTAAAACGGAAGAACCGGTCTGGCTTACAGTACCAGGTGTTCCCAAGCGGTCCCCATCTAAGTACTGACCTGGCTCTACGATGCTTAACTTCGGTGATCGAACGAGAACCGGTGTTTTCAGCGTGATTTGACCGTAAGCGAAGACGTTTGCCCCAATTTCCGCTCATGAGTGTCAGTTATCATTCCACGATAACCCTAAAACGGAAGAACCGGTCTGGCTTACAGTACCAGGTGTTCCCAAGCGGTCCCCCATCTAAGTACTCGACCTGGCTCTACGATGCTTAACTTCGGTGATCGAACGAGAACCGGTGTTTTCAGCGTGATTTGACCGTAAGCGAAGACGTTTGCCCCAATTTCCGCTCATGAGTGTCAGTTATCATTCCACGATAACCCTAAAACGGAAGAACCGGTCTGGCTTACAGTACCAGGTGTTCCCAAGCGGTCCCCCATCTAAGTACTGACCTGGCTCTACGATGCTTAACTTCGGTGATCGAACGAGAACCGGTGTTTTCAGCGTGATTTGACCGTAAGCGAAGACGTTTGCCCCAATTTCCGCTCATGAGTGTCAGTTATCATTCCACGATAACCCTAAAACGGAAGAACCGGTCTGGCTTACAGTACCAGGTGTTCCCAAGCGGTCCCCCATCTAAGTACTGACCTGGCTCTACGATGCTTAACTTCGGTGATCGAACGAGAACCGGTGTTTTCAGCGTGATTTGACCGTAAGCGAAGACGTTTGCCCCAATTTCCGCTCATGAGTGTCAGTTATCATTCCACGATAACCCTAAAACGGAAGAACCGGTCTGGCTTACAGTACCAGGTGTTCCCAAGCGGTCCCCATCTAAGTACTGACCTGGCTCTACGATGCTTAACTTCGGTGATCGAACGAGAACCGGTGTTTTCAGCGTGATTTGACCGTAGCGAAGACGTTTGCCCCAATTTCCGCTCATGAGTGTCAGTTATCATTCCCGATAACCCTAAAACGGAAGAACCGGTCTGGCTTACAGTACCAGGTGTTCCCAAGCGGTCCCCCATCTAAGTACTGACCTGGCTCTACGATGCTTAACTTCGGTGATCGAACGAGAACCGGTGTTTTCAAGCGTGATTTGACCGTAAGCGAAGACGTTTGCCCCAATTTCCGCTCATGAGTGTCAGTTATCATTCCACGATAACCCTAAAACGGAAGAACCGGTCTGGCTTACAGTACCAGGTGTTCCCAAGCGGTCCCCATCTAAGTACTGACCTGGCTCTACGATGCTTAACTTCGGTGATCGAACGAGAAACCGGTGTTTTCGAAGACGTTTGATTTGAGTAAAACGGAAGAACCGGTCTGACTTACGGTACCGCGAAGACGTTTACCAATTTCCGCTCATGAGTGTAGTTATCACGATAACCCTAAAACGGAAGAACCGGTCTGGCTTACAGTACCAGGTGTTCCCAAGCGGTCCCCATCTAAGTACTGACCTGGCTCTACGATGCTTAACTTCGGTGATCGAACGAGAACCGGTGTTTTCAGCGTGATTTGACCGTAAGCGAAGACGTTTGCCCCAATTTCCGCTCATGAGTGTCAGTTATCATTCCACGATAACCCTAAAACGGAAGAACCGGTCTGGCTTACAGTACCAGGTGTTCCCAAGCGGTCCCCATCTAAGTACTGACCTGGCTCCGGTGTTTTTACGATGACTTAACTTCGGTGATCGAACGAGAACCGGTGTTTTCCGGATTTGTTTTCAGCGTGATTTGACCGTAAGCGAAGACGTTTGCCCCAATTTCCGCTCATGAGTGTCAGTTATCATTCCACGATAACCCTAAAACGGAAGAACCGGTCTGGCTTACAGTACCAGGTGTTCCCAAGCGGTCCCCCATCTAAGTACTGACCTGGCTCTACGATGCTTAACTTCGGTGATCGAACGAGAACCGGTGTTTTCAGCGTGATTTGACCGTAAGCGAAGACGTTTGCCCCAATTTCCGCTCATGAGTGTCAGTTATCATTCCACGATAACCCTAAAACGGAAGAACCGGTCTGGCTTACAGTACCAGGTGTTCCCAAGCGGTCCCCCATCTAAGTACTGACCTGGCTCTACGATGCTTAACTTCGGTGATCGAACGAGAACCGGTGTTTTCAGCGTGATTTGACCGTAAGCGAAGACGTTTGCCCCAATTTCCGCTCATGAGTGTCAGTTATCATTCCACGATAACCCTAAAACGGAAGAACCGGTCTGGCTTACAGTACCAGGTGTTCCCAAGCGGTCCCCCATCTAAGTACTGACCTGGCTCTACGATGCTTAACTTCGGTGATCGAACGAGAACCGGTGTTTTCAGCGTGATTTGACCGTAAGCGAAGACGTTTGCCCCAATTTCCGCTCATGAGTGTCAGTTATCATTCCACGATAACCCTAAAACGGAAGAACCGGTCTGGCTTTACAGTACCAGGTGTTCCCAAGCGGTCCCCATCTAAGTACTGACCTGGCTCTACGATGCTTAACTTCGGTGATCGAACGAGAACCGGTGTTTTCAGCGTGATTTGACCGTAAGCGAAGACGTTTGCCCCAATTTCCGCTCATGAGTGTCAGTTATCATTCCACGATAACCCTAAAACGGAAGAACCGGTCTGGCTTACAGTACCAGGTGTTCCCAAGCGGTCCCCCATCTAAGTACTGACCTGGCTCTACGATGCTTAACTTCGGTGATCGAACGAGAACCGGTGTTTTCAACGTGATTTGACCGTAAGCGAAGACGTTTGCCCCAATTTCCGCTCATGAGTGTCAGTTATCATTCCACGATAACCCTAAAACGGAAGAACCGGTCTGGCTTACAGTACCAGGTGTTCCCAAGCGGTCCCCCATCTAAGTACTGACCTGGCTCTACGATGCTTAACTTCGGTGATCGAACGAGAACCGGTGTTTTCAACGTGATTTGACCGTAAGCGAAGACGTTTGCCCCAATTTCCGCTCATGAGTGTCAGTTATCATTCCACGATAACCCTAAAACGGAAGAACCGGTCTGGCTTACAGTACCAGGTGTTCCCAAGCGGTCCCCATCTAAGTACTGACCTGGCTCTACGATGCTTAACTTCGGTGATCGAACGAGAACCGGTGTTTTCAGCGTGATTTGACCGTAAGCGAAGACGTTTGCCCCAATTTCCGCTCATGAGTGTCAGTTATCATTCCACGATAACCCTAAAACGGAAGAACCGGTCTGGCTTACAGTACCAGGTGTTCCCAAGCGGTCCCCCATCTAAGTACTGACCTGGCTCTACGATGCTTAACTTCGGTGATCGAACGAGAACCGGTGTTTTCAGCGTGATTTGACCGTAAGCGAAGACGTTTGCCCCAATTTCCGCTCATGAGTGTCAGTTATCATTCCACGATAACCCTAAAACGGAAGAACCGGTCTGGCTTACAGTACCAGGTGTTCCCAAGCGGTCCCCCATCTAAGTACTGACCTGGCTCTACGATGCTTAACTTCGGTGATCGAACGAGAACCGGTGTTTTCAGCGTGATTTGACCGTAAGCGAAGACGTTTGCCCCAATTTCCGCTCATGAGTGTCAGTTATCATTCCACGATAACCCTAAAACGGAAGAACCGGTCTGGCTTACAGTACCAGGTGTTCCCAAGCGGTCCCCCATCTAAGTACTGACCTGGCTCTACGATGCTTAACTTCGGTGATCGAACGAGAACCGGTGTTTTCAGCGTGATTTGACCGTAAGCGAAGACGTTTGCCCCAATTTCCGCTCATGAGTGATTTGACCGATAACCCTAAAACGGAAGAAGACAGTACCGTTCCCAAGCGGTCCCCCATCTAAGTACTGACCTTCTACGATGCTTAACTTCGGTGATCGAACGAGAACCGGTGTTTTCGTGATTTTAAGCGAAGACGTTTCATTCCGCCATGAGTGTCAGTTATCATTCCACGATAACCCTAAAACGGAAGAACCGGTCTGGCTTACAGTACCAGGTGTTCCCAAGCGGTCCCCCATCTAAGTACTGACCTGGCTCTACGATGCTTAACTTCGGTGATCGAACGAGAACCGGTGTTTTCAGCGTGATTTGACCGTAAGCGAAGACGTTTGCCCCAATTTCCGCTCATGAGTGTCAGTTATCATTCCACGATAACCCTAAAACGGAAGAACCGGTCTGGCTTACAGTACCAGGTGTTCCCAAGCGGTCCCCATCTAAGTACTAAGTACTGACCTGGCTCTACGATGCTTAACTTCGGTGATCGAACGAGAACCGGTGTTTTTCAGCGTGATTTGACCGTAAGCGAAGACGTTTGCCCCAATTTCCGCTCATGAGTGTCAGTTATCATTCCACGATAACCCTAAAACGGAAGAACCGGTCTGGCTTACAGTACCAGGTGTTCCCAAGCGGTCCCCATCTAAGTACTGACCTGGCTCTACGATGCTTAACTTCGGTGATCGAACGAGAACCGGTGTTTTCAGCGTGATTTGACCGTAAGCGAAGACGTTTGCCCCAATTTCCGCTCATGAGTGTCAGTTATCATTCCACGATAACCCTAAAACGGAAGAACCGGTCTGGCTTACAGTACCAGGTGTTCCCAAGCGGTCCCCATCTAAGTACTGACCTGGCTCTACGATGCTTAACTTCGGTGATCGAACGAGAACCGGTGTTTTCAGCGTGATTTGACCGTAAGCGAAGACGTTTGCCCCAATTTCCGCTCATGAGTGTCAGTTATCATTCCACGATAACCCTAAAACGGAAGAACCGGTCTGGCTTACAGTACCAGGTGTTCCCAAGCGGTCCCCCCATCTAAGTACTGACCTGGCTCTACGATGCTTAACTTCGGTGATCGAACGAGAACCGGTGTTTTCAGCGTGATTTGACCGTAAGCGAAGACGTTTGCCCCAATTTCCGCTCATGAGTGTCAGTTATCATTCCACGATAACCCTAAAACGGAAGAACCGGTCTGGCTTACAGTACCAGGTGTTCCCAAGCGGTCCCCCATCTAAGTACTGACCTGGCTCTACGATGCTTAACTTCGGTGATCGAACGAGAACCGGTGTTTTCAGCGTGATTTGACCGTAAGCGAAGACGTTTGCCCCAATTTCCGCTCATGAGTGTCAGTTATCATTCCACGATAACCCTAAAACGGAAGAACCGGTCTGGCTTACAGTACCAGGTGTTCCCAAGCGGTCCCCCATCTAAGTACTGACCTGGCTCTACGATGCTTAACTTCGGTGATCGAACGAGAACCGGTGTTTTCAGCGTGATTTGACCGTAAGCGAAGACGTTTGCCCCAATTTCCGCTCATGAGTGTCAGTTATCATTCCACGATAACCCTAAAACGGAAGAACCGGTCTGGCTTACAGTACCAGGTGTTCCCAAGCGGTCCCCCATCTAAGTACTGACCTGGCTCTACGATGCTTAACTTCGGTGATCGAACGAGAACCGGTGTTTTCAGCGTGATTTGACCGTAAGCGAAGACGTTTGCCCCAATTTCCGCTCATGAGTGTCAGTTATCATTCCACGATAACCCTAAAACGGAAGAACCGGTCTGGCTTACAGTACCAGGTGTTCCCAAGCGGTCCCCCATCTAAGTACTGACCTGGCTCTACGATGCTTAACTTCGGTGATTGAACGAGAACCGGTGTTTTCAGTGATTTGACCGTAAGCGAAGACGTTTGCCCCAATTTCCGCTCATGAGTGTCAGTTATCATTCCACGATAACCCTAAAACGGAAGAACCGGTCTGGTTTACAGTACCAGGTGTTCCCAAGCGGTCCTCCATCTAAGTACTGACCTGGCTCTACGATGCTTAACTTCGGTGATCGAACGAGAACCGGTGTTTTCAGCGTGATTTGACCGTAAGCCAAGAGTTTTTCCCCAATTTCCGCTCATGAGTGTCAGTTATCATTCCACGATAGCCCTAAAACTGAAGAACCGGTCTGGCTTACAGTACCAGGTTTTCACAAGCGGTCCCCATCTATGTACTGAACTGGCTCTACGATGCTTAACTTTGGTGATCGAACGAGAACCGGTGTTTTCAGCGTGGTTTGACCGTAAGCGAAGACGTTTGCCCCAATTTCCGCTCATGAGTGTCAGTTATCATTCCACCATTACCCTAAAACGGAAGAACCGGTCTGGCTTACAGTACCAGGTGTTCCCAAGCGGTCCCCCATCTAAGTACTGACCTGGCTCTACGATGCTTAACTCTACGATGCTTAACTTCGGTGATCGAACGAGAACCGGTGTTTTCAGCGTGATTTGACCGTAAGCGAAGACGTTTGCCCCAATTTCCGCTCATGAGTGTCAGTTATCATTCCACGATAACCCTAAAACGGAAGAACCGGTCTGGCTTACAGTACCAGGTGTTCCCAAGCGGTCCCCATCTAAGTACTGACCTGGTCCTTAACTTCGGTGATCGAACGAGAACCGGTGTTTTCAGCGTGATTTGACCGTAAGCGAAGACGTTTCAATTTCCGCTCATGAGTGTCAGTTATCATTCCACGATAACCCTAAAACGGAAGAATCTTACAGTACCAGGTGAACCGGGTACTGACCTTACGATGCTTAACTTCGGTGATCGAACGAGAACCGGTGTTTTCAGCGTGATTTGACCGTAAGCGAAGACGTTTGCCCCAATTTCCGCTCATGAGTGTCAGTTATCATTCCACGATAACCCTAAAACGGAAGAACCGGTCTGGCTTACAGTACCAGGTGTTCCCAAGCGGTCCCCCATCTAAGTACTGACCTGGCTCTACGATGCTTAACTTCGGTGATCGAACGAGAACCGGTGTTTTCAGCGTGATTTGACCGTAAGCGAAGACGTTTGCCCCAATTTCCGCTCATAGAGTGTCAGTTATCATTCCACGATAACCCTAAAACGGAAGAACCGGTCTGGCTTACAGTACCAGGTGTTCCCAAGCGGTCCCCCATCTAAGTACTGACCTGGCTCTACGATGCTTAACTTCGGTGATCGAACGAGAACCGGTGTTTTCAGCGTGATTTGACCGTAAGCGAAGACGTTTGCCCCAATTTCCGCTCATGAGTGTCAGTTATCATTCCACGATAACCCTAAAACGGAAGAACCGGTCTGGCTTACAGTACCAGGTGTTCCCAAGCGGTCCCCATCTAAGTACTGACCTGGCTCTACGATGCTTAACTTCGGTGATCGAACGAGAACCGGTGTTTTCAGCGTGATTTGACCGTAAGCGAAGACGTTTGCCCCAATTTCCGCTCATGAGTGTCAGTTATCATTCCACGATAACCCTAAAACGGAAGAACCGGTCTGGCTTACAGTACCAGGTGTTCCCAAGCGGTCCCCCATCTAAGTACTGACCTGGCTCTACGATGCTTAACTTCGGTGATCGAACGAGAACCGGTGTTTTCAGCGTGATTTGACCGTAAGCGAAGACGTTTGCTAATTTCCGCTCATTGAGTGCTCAGTTATCATTCCACGATAACCCTAAAACGGAAGAACCGGTCTGGCTTACAGTACCAGGTGTTCCCAAGCGGTCCCCCATCTAAGTATGACCTGGCTCTACGATGCTTAACTTCGGTGATCGAACGAGAACCGGTGTTTTCAGCGTGATTTGACCGTAAGCGAAGACGTTTGCCCCAATTTCCGCTCATGAGTGCGTTATCATTCCACGATAACCTAAAACGGAAGAACCGGTCTGGCTTACAGTACCAGGTGTTCCCAAGCGGTCCCCCATCTAAGTACTGACCTGGCTCTACGATGCTTAACTTCGGTGATCGAACGAGAACCGGTTTTTTCAGCGTGATTTGACCGTAAGCGAAGACGTTTGCCCCAATTTCCGCTCATGAGTGTCAGTTATCATTCCACGATAACCCTAAAACGGAAGAACCGGTCTGGCTTACAGTACCAGGTGTTCCCAAGCGGTCCCCCATCTAAGTACTGACCTGGCTCTACGATGCTTAACTTCGGTGATCGAACGAGAACCGGTGTTTTCAGCGTGATTTGACCGTAAGCGAAGACGTTTGCCCCAATTTCCGCTCATGAGTGTCAGTTATCATTCCACGATAACCCTAAAACGGAAGAACCGGTCTGGCTTACAGTACCAGGTGTTCCCAAGCGGTCCCCCATCTAAGTACTGACCTGGCTCTACGATGCTTAACTTCGGTGATCGAACGAGAACCGGTGTTTTCAGCGTGATTTGACCGTAAGCGAAGACGTTTGCCCCAATTTCCGCTCATGAGTGTCAGTTATCATTCCACGATAACCCTAAAACGGAAGAACCGGTCTGGCTTACAGTACCAGGTGTTCCCAAGCGGTCCCCCATCTAAGTACTGACCTGGCTCTACGATGCTTAACTTCGGTGATCGAACGAGAACCGGTGTTTTCAGCGTGATTTGACCGTAAGCGAAGACGTTTGCCCCAATTCCGCTCATGAGTGTCAGTTATCATTCCACGATAACCCTAAAACGGAAGAACCGGTCTGGCTTACAGTACCAGGTGTTCCCAAGCGGTCCCCCATCTAAGTACTGACCTGGCTCTACGATGCTTAACTTCGGTGATCGAACGAGAACCGGTGTTTTCAGCGTGATTTGACCGTAAGCGAAGACGTTTGCCCCAATTTCCGCTCATGAGTGTCAGTTATCATTCCACGATAACCCTAAAACGGAAGAACCGGTCTGGCTTACAGTACCAGGTGTTCCCAAGCGGTCCCCCATCTAAGTACTGACCTGGCTCTACGATGCTTAACTTCGGTGATCGAACGAGAACCGGTGTTTTCAGCGTGATTTGACCGTAAGCGAAGACGTTTGCCCCAATTTCCGCTCATGAGTGTCAGTTATCATTCCACGATAACCCTAAAACGGAAGAACCGGTCTGGCTTACAGTACCAGGTGTTCCCAAGCGGTCCCCCATCTAAGTACTGACCTGGCTCTACGATGCTTAACTTCGGTGATCGAACGAGAACCGGTGTTTTCAGCGTGATTTGACCGTAAGCGAAGACGTTTGCCCCAATTTCCGCTCATGAGTGTCAGTTATCATTCCACGATAACCCTAAAACGGAAGAACCGGTCTGGCTTACAGTACCAGGTGTTCCCAAGCGGTCCCCCATCTAAGTACTGACCTGGCTCTACGATGCTTAACTTCGGTGATCGAACGAGAACCGGTGTTTTCAGCGTGATTTGACCGTAAGCGAAGACGTTTGCCCCAATTTCCGCTCATGAGTGTCAGTTATCATTCCACGATAACCCTAAAACGGAAGAACCGGTCTGGCTTACAGTACCAGGTGTTCCCAAGCGGTCCCCCATCTAAGTACTGACCTGGCTCTACGATGCTTAACTTCGGTGATCGAACGAGAACCGGTGTTTTCAGCGTGATTTGACCGTAAGCGAAGACGTTTGCCCCAATTTCCGCTCATGAGTGTCAGTTATCATTCCACGATAACCCTGAAACGGAAGAACCGGTCTGGCTTACAGTACCAGGTGTTCCCAAGCGGTCCCCCATCTAAGTACTGACCTGGCTCTACGATGCTTAACTTCGGTGATCGAACGAGAACGGGTGTTTTTTTAGCGTGATTTGACCGTAAGCGAAGACGTTTGCCCCAATTTCCGCTCATGAGTGTCAGTTATCATTCCACGATAACCCTAAAACGGAAGAACCGGTCTGGCTTACAGTACCAGGTGTTCCCAAGCGGTCCCCCATCTAAGTACTGACCTGGCTCTACGATGCTTAACTTCGGTGATCGAACGAGAACCGGTGTTTTCAAGCGTGATTTGACCGTAAGCGAAGACGTTTGCCCCAATTTCCGCTCATGAGTGTGACCTGGTTATCATTCCACGATAACCCTAAAACGGAAGAACCGGTCTGGCTTACAGTACCAGGTGTTCCCAAGCGGTCCCCATCTAAGTAAGCGGACCTGGCTCTACGATGCTTAACTTCGGTGATCGAACGAGAACCGGTGTTTTCAGCGTGATTTGACCGTAAGCGAAGACGTTTGCCCCAATTTCCGCTCATGAGTGTCAGTTATCATTCCACGATAACCCTAAAACGGAAGAACCGGTCTGGCTTACAGTACCAGGTGTTCCCAAGCGGTCCCCATCTAAGTACTGACCTGGCTCTACGATGCTTAACTTCGGTGATCGAACGAGAACCGGTGTTTTCAGCGTGATTTGACCGTAAGCGAAGACGTTTGCCCCAATTTCCGCTCATGAGTGTCAGTTATCATTCCACGATAACCCTAAAACGGAAGAACCGGTCTGGCTTACAGTACCAGGTGTTCCCAAGCGGTCCCCATCTAAGTACTGACCTGGCTCTACGATGCTTAACTTCGGTGATCGAACGAGAACCGGTGTTTTCAGCGTGATTTGACCGTAAGCGAAGACGTTTGCCCCAATTTCCGCTCATGAGTGTCAGTTATCATTCCACGATAACCCTAAAACGGAAGAACCGGTCTGGCTTACAGTACCAGGTGTTCCCAAGCGGTCCCCCATCTAAGTACTGACCTGGCTCTACGATGCTTAACTTCGGTGATCGAACGAGAACCGGTGTTTTCAGCGTGATTTGACCGTAAGCGAAGACGTTTGCCCCAATTTCCGCTCATGAGTGTCAGTTATCATTCCACGATAACCCTAAAACGGAAGAACCGGTCTGGCTTACAGTACCAGGTGTTCCCAAGCGGTCCCCATCTAAGTACTGACCTGGCTCTACGATGCTTAACTTCGGTGATCGAACGAGAACCGGTGTTTTCAGCGTGATTTGACCGTAAGCGAAGACGTTTGCCCCAATTTCCGCTCATGAGTGTCAGTTATCATTCCACGATAACCCTAAAACGGAAGAACTGGTCTGGCTTACAGTACCAGGTGTTCCCAAGCGGTCCCCATCTAAGTACTGACCTGGCTCTACGATGCTTAACTTCGGTGATCGAACGAGAACCGGTGTTTCAGCGTGATTTGACCGTAAGCGAAGTCGTTCGCCCCAATTTCCGCTCATGAGTGTCAGTTATCATTCCACGATAACCCTAAAACGGAAGAACCGGTCTGGCTTACAGTACCAGGTGTTCCCAAGCGGTCCCCATCTAAGTACTGACCTGGCTCTACGATGCTTAACTTCGGTGATCGAACGAGAACCGGTGTTTTCAGCGTGATTTGACCGTGGCTCTACGAAGACGTTTAATTTCCGCTCGTGTGATTCCACGAACCGAAAACCGGTGTTTTCATTCCACGATAGTACCAGGTGTTACCAGGTGTTCCCAAGCGGTCCCCATCTAAGTACTGACCTGGCTCTACGATGCTTAACTTCGGTGATCGAACGAGAACCGGTGTTTTCAGCGTGATTTGACCGTAAGCGAAGACGTTTGCCCCAATTTCCGCTCATGAGTGTCAGTTATCATTCCACGATAACCCTAAAACGGAAGAACCGGTCTGGCTTACAGTACCAGGTGTTCCCAAGCGGTCCCCCATCTAAGTACTGACCTGGCTCTACGATGCTTAACTTCGGTGATCGAACGAGAACCGGTGTTTTCAGCGTGATTTGACCGTAAGCGAAGACGTTTGCCCCAATTTCCGCTCATGAGTGTCAGTTATCATTCCACGATAACCCTAAAACGGAAGAACCGGTCTGGCTTACAGTACCAGGTGTTCCCAAGCGGTCCCCATCTAAGTACTGACCTGGCTCTACGATGCTTAACTTCGGTGATCGAACGAGAACCGGTGTTTTCAGCGTGATTTGACCGTAAGCGAAGACGTTTGCCCCAATTTCCGCTCATGAGTGTCAGTTATCATTCCACGATAACCCTAAAACGGAAGAACCGGTCTGGCTTACAGTACCAGGTGTCCCAAGCGGTCCCCAAGCGGTCCCCCATCTAAGTACGAACGAGACCTGGCTCTACGATGCTTAACTTCGGTGATCTAAAACGAAGAACCGGTGTTTTCAGCGTGATTTGACCGTAAGGTGATCGAAGAACGTTTGCGTGATTTGACCCAATTTCCGCTCATGAGTGTCAGTTATCATTCCACGATAACCCTAAAACGGAAGAACCGGTCTGGACCTGGCTTACGATGCTTAAGTACCAGGTGTTCGTGATTTGACCGTAAGCGAAGCGGTCCCCCCATCTAAGTAAAACGGAAGAACCGGTCTGGCTTGACCTGGCTCTACGATGCTTAACTTCGGTGATCGAACGAGAACCGGTGTTTTCAGCGTGATTTGACCGTAAGCGAAGACGTTTGCCCCAATTTCCGCTCATGAGTGTCAGTTATCATTCCACGATAACCCTAAAACGGAAGAACCGGTCTGGCTTACAGTACCAGGTGTTCCCAAGCGGTCCCCCATCTAAGTACTGACCTGGCTCTACGATGCTTAACTTCGGTGATCGAACGAGAACCGGTGTTTTCAGCGTGATTTGACCGTAAGCGAAGACGTTTGCCCCAATTTCCGCTCATGAGTGTCAGTTATCATTCCACGATAACCCTAAAACGGAAGAACCGGTCTGGCTTACAGTACCAGGTGTTCCCAAGCGGTCCCCATCTAAGTACTGACCTGGCTCTACGATGCTTAACTTCGGTGATCGAACGAGAACCGGTGTTTTCAGCGTGATTTGACCGTAAGCGAAGACGTTTGCCCCAATTTCCGCTCATGAGTGTCAGTTATCATTCCACGATAACCCTAAAACGGAAGAACCGGTCTGGCTTACAGTACCAGGTGTTCCCAAGCGGTCCCCCATCTAAGTACTGACCTGGCTCTACGATGCTTAACTTCGGTGATCGAACGAGAACCGGTGTTTTCAGCGTGATTTGACCGTAAGCGAAGACGTTTGCCCCAATTTCCGCTCATGAGTGTCAGTTATCATTCCACGATAACCCTAAAACGGAAGAACCGGTCTGGCTTACAGTACCAGGTGTTCCCAAGCGGTCCCCCATCTAAGTACTGACCTGGCTCTACGATGCTTAACTTCGGTGATCGAACGAGAACCGGTGTTTTCAACGTGATTTGACCGTAAGCGAAGACGTTTGCCCCAATTTCCGCTCATGAGTGTCAGTTATCATTCCACGATAACCCTAAAACGGAAGAACCGGTCTGGCTTACAGTACCAGGTGTTCCCAAGCGGTCCCCCATCTAAGTACTGACCTGGCTCTACGATGCTTAACTTCGGTGATCGAACGAGAACCGGTGTTTTCAGCGTGATTTGACCGTAAGCGAAGACGTTTGCCCCAATTTCCGCTCATGAGTGTCAGTTATCATTCCACGATAACCCTAAAACGGAAGAACCGGTCTGGCTTACAGTACCAGGTGTTCCCAAGCGGTCCCCATCTAAGTACTGACCTGGCTCTACGATGCTTAACTTCGGTGATCGAACGAGAACCGGTGTTTTCAGCGTGATTTGACCGTAAGCGAAGACGTTTGCCCCAATTTCCGCTCATGAGTGTCAGTTATCATTCCACGATAACCCTAAAACGGAAGAACCGGTCTGGCTTACAGTACCAGGTGTTCCCAAGCGGTCCCCATCTAAGTACTGACCTGGCTCTACGATGCTTAACTTCGGTGATCGAACGAGAACCGGTGTTTTCAGCGTGATTTGACCGTAAGCGAAGACGTTTGCCCCAATTTCCGCTCATGAGTGTCAGTTATCATTCCACGATAACCCTAAAACGGAAGAACCGGTCTGGCTTACAGTACCAGGTGTTCCCAAGCGGTCCCCATCTAAGTACTGACCTGGCTCTACGATGCTTAACTTCGGTGATCGAACGAGAACCGGTGTTTTCAGCGTGATTTGACCGTAAGCGAAGACGTTTGCCCCAATTTCCGCTCATGAGTGTCAGTTATCATTCCACGATAACCCTAAAACGGAAGAACCGGTCTGGCTTACAGTACCAGGTGTTCCCAAGCGGTCCCCATCTAAGTACTGACCTGGCTCTACGATGCTTAACTTCGGTGATCGAACGAGAACCGGTGTTTTCAGCGTGATTTGACCGTAAGCGAAGACGTTTGCCCCAATTTCCGCTCATGAGTGTCAGTTATCATTCCACGATAACCCTAAAACGGAAGAACCGGTCTGGCTTACAGTACCAGGTGTTCCCAAGCGGTCCCCCATCTAAGTACTGACCTGGCTCTACGATGCTTAACTTCGGTGATCGAACGAGAACCGGTGTTTTCAGCGTGATTTGACCGTAAGCGAAGACGTTTGCCCCAATTTCCGCTCATGAGTGTCAGTTATCATTCCACGATAACCCTAAAACGGAAGAACCGGTCTGGCTTACAGTACCAGGTGTTCCCAAGCGGTCCCCATCTAAGTACTGACCTGGCTCTACGATGCTTAACTTCGGTGATCGAACGAGAACCGGTGTTTTCAGCGTGATTTGACCGTAAGCGAAGACGTTTGCCCCAATTTCCGCTCATGAGTGTCAGTTATCATTCCACGATAACCCTAAAACGGAAGAACCGGTCTGGCTTACAGTACCAGGTGTTCCCAAGCGGTCCCCCATCTAAGTACTGACCTGGCTCTACGATGCTTAACTTCGGTGATCGAACGAGAACCGGTGTTTTCAGCGTGATTTGACCGTAAGCGAAGACGTTTGCCCCAATTTCCGCTCATGAGTGTCAGTTATCATTCCACGATAACCCTAAAACGGAAGAACCGGTCTGGCTTACAGTACCAGGTGTTCCCAAGCGGTCCCCCATCTAAACTGACTGACCTGGCTCTACGATGCTTAACTTCGGTGATCGAACGAGAACCGGTGTTTTCAGCGTGATTTGACCGTAAGCGAAGACGTTTGCCCCAATTTCCGCTCATGAGTGTCAGTTATCATTCCACGATAACCCTAAAACGGAAGAACCGGTCTGGCTTACAGTACCAGGTGTTCCCAAGCGGTCCCCCATCTAAGTACTGACCTGGCTCTACGATGCTTAACTTCGGTGATCGAACGAGAACCGGTGTTTTCAGCGTGATTTGACCGTAAGCGAAGACGTTTGCCCCAATTTCCGCTCATGAGTGTCAGTTATCATTCCACGATAACCCTAAAACGGAAGAACCGGTCTGGCTTACAGTACCAGGTGTTCCCAAGCGGTCCCCCATCTAAGTACTGACCTGGCTCTACGATGCTTAACTTCGGTGATCGAACGAGAACCGGTGTTTTCAGCGTGATTTGACCGTAAGCGAAGACGTTTGCCCCAATTTCCGCTCATGAGTGTCAGTTATCATTCCACGATAACCCTAAAACGGAAGAACCGGTCTGGCTTACAGTACCAGGTGTTCCCAAGCGGTCCCCCATCTAAGTACTGACCTGGCTCTACGATGCTTAACTTCGGTGATCGAACGAGAACCGGTGTTTTCAAGCGTGATTTGACCGTAAGCGAAGACGTTTGCCCCAATTTCCGCTCATGAGTGTCAGTTATCATTCCACGATAACCCTAAAACGGAAGAACCGGTCTGGCTTACAGTACCAGGTGTTCCCAAGCGGTCCCCCATCTAAGTACTGACCTGGCTCTACGATGCTTAACTTCGGTGATCGAACGAGAACCGGTGTTTTCAGCGTGATTTGACCGTAAGCGAAGACGTTTGCCCCAATTTCCGCTCATGAGTGTCAGTTATCATTCCACGATAACCCTAAAACGGAAGAACCGGTACCAGGTGGGTTCTAAGTGACCTGGTGTTCGGTGATCGAACGAGAACCGGTCCCCCATCGTAATTTGACCGTGAAGACGTTTGCCCCAATTTCCGCTACGATGTCAGTTATCATTCGGTGATCGAACGGAGAACCGGTGTTTTCTACGATGCTTAGCGGTGATCGAACGAGAACCGGTGATTTGACCGTAAGCGAAGACGTTTGCCCCAATTTCCGCTCATGAGTGTCAGTTATCATTCCACGATAACCCTAAAACGGAAGAACCGGTCTGGCTTACAGTACCAGGTGTTCCCAAGCGGTCCCCCATCTAAGTACTGACCTGGCTCTACGATGCTTAACTTCGGTGATCGAACGAGAACCGGTGTTTTCAGCGTGATTTGACCGTAAGCGAAGACGTTTGCCCCAATTTCCGCTCATGAGTGTCAGTTATCATTCCACGATAACCCTAAAACGGAAGAACCGGTCTGGCTTACAGTACCAGGTGTTCCCAAGCGGTCCCCCATCTAAGTACTGACCTGGCTCTACGATGCTTAACTTCGGTGATCGAACGAGAACCGGTGTTTTCAGCGTGATTTGACCGTAAGCGAAGACGTTTGCCCCAATTTCCGCTCATGAGTGTCAGTTATCATTCCACGATAACCCTAAAACGGAAGAACCGGTCTGGCTTACAGTACCAGGTGTTCCCAAGCGGTCCCCATCTAAGTACTGACCTGGCTCTACGATGCTTAACTTCGGTGATCGAACGAGAACCGGTGTTTTCAGCGTGATTTGACCGTAAGCGAAGACGTTTGCCCAATTTCCGCTCATGAGTGTCAGTTATCATTCCACGATAACCCTAAAACGGAAGAACCGGTCTGGCTTACAGTACCAGGTGTTCCCAAGCGGTCCCCCATCTAAGTACTGACCTGGCTCTACGATGCTTAACTTCGGTGATCGAACGAGAACCGGTGTTTTCAGCGTGATTTGACCGTAAGCGAAGACGTTTGCCCCAATTTCCGCTCATGAGTGTCAGTTATCATTCCACGATAACCCTAAAACGGAAGAACCGGTCTGGCTTACAGTACCAGGTGTTCCCAAGCGGTCCCCCATCTAAGTACTGACCTGGCTCTACGATGCTTAACTTCGGTGATCGAACGAGAACCGGTGTTTTCAGCGTGATTTGACCGTAAGCGAAGACGTTTGCCCCAATTTCCGCTCATGAGTGTCAGTTATCATTCCACGATAACCCTAAAACGGAAGAACCGGTCTGGCTTACAGTACCAGGTGTTCCCAAGCGGTCCCCATCTAAGTACTGACCTGGCTCTACGATGCTTAACTTCGGTGATCGAACGAGAACCGGTGTTTTCAGCGTGATTTGACCGTAAGCGAAGACGTTTGCCCCAATTTCCGCTCATGAGTGTCAGTTATCATTCCACGATAACCCTAAAACGGAAGAACCGGTCTGGCTTACAGTACCAGGTGTTCCCAAGCGGTCCCCCATCTAAGTACTGACCTGGCTCTACGATGCTTAACTTCGGTGATCGAACGAGAACCGGTGTTTTCAGCGTGATTTGACCGTAAGCGAAGACGTTTGCCCCAATTTCCGCTCATGAGTGTCAGTTATCATTCCACGATAACCCTAAAACGGAAGAACCGGTCTGGCTTACAGTACCAGGTGTTCCCAAGCGGTCCCCCATCTAAGTACTGACCTGGCTCTACGATGCTTAACTTCGGTGATCGAACGAGAACCGGTGTTTTCAACGTGATTTGACCGTAAGCGAAGACGTTTGCCCCAATTTCCGCTCATGAGTGTCAGTTATCATTCCACGATAACCCTAAAACGGAAGAACCGGTCTGGCTTACAGTACCAGGTGTTCCCAAGCGGTCCCCCATCTAAGTACTGACCTGGCTCTACGATGCTTAACTTCGGTGATCGAACGAGAACCGGTGTTTTCAGCGTGATTTGACCGTAAGCGAAGACGTTTGCCCCAATTTCCGCTCATGAGTGTCAGTTATCATTCCACGATAACCCTAAAACGGAAGAACCGGTCTGGCTTACAGTACCAGGTGTTCCCAAGCGGTCCCCATCTAAGTACTGACCTGGCTCTACGATGCTTAACTTCGGTGATCGAACGAGAACCGGTGTTTTTTCAGCGTGATTTGACCGTAAGCGAAGACGTTTGCCCCAATTTCCGCTCATGAGTGTCAGTTATCATTCCACGATAACCCTAAAACGGAAGAACCGGTCTGGCTTACAGTACCAGGTGTTTAAGCGGTCCCCATCTAAGTACTGACCTGGCTCTACGATGCTTAATTCGGTGATCGAACGAGAACCGGTGTTTTCAGCGTGATTTGACCGTAAGCGAAGACGTTTGCCCCAATTTCCGCTCATGAGTGTCAGTTATCATTCCACGATAACCCTAAAACGGAAGAACCGGTCTGGCTTACAGTACCAGGTGTTCCCAAGCGGTCCCCATCTAAGTACTGACCTGGCTCTACGATGCTTAACTTCGGTGATCGAACGAGAACCGGTGTTTTCAGCGTGATTTGACCGTAAGCGAAGACGTTTGCCCCAATTTCCGCTCATGAGTGTCAGTTATCATTCCACGATAACCCTAAAACGGAAGAACCGGTCTGGCTTACAGTACCAGGTGTTCCCAAGCGGTCCCCATCTAAGTACTACCTGGCTCTACGATGCTTAACTTCGGTGATCGAACGAGAACCGGTGTTTTCAACGTGATTTGACCGTAAGCGAAGACGTTTGCCCCAATTTCCGCTCATGAGTGTCAGTTATCATTCCACGATAACCCTAAAACGGAAGAACCGGTCTGGCTTACAGTACCAGGTGTTCCCCAAGCGGTCCCCCATCTAAGTACTGACCTGGCTCTACGATGCTTAACTTCGGTGATCGAACGAGAACCGGTGTTTTCAGCGTGATTTGACCGTAAGCGAAGACGTTTGCCCCAATTTCCGCTCATGAGTGTCAGTTATCATTCCACGATAACCCTAAAACGGAAGAACCGGTCTGGCTTACAGTACCAGGTGTTCCCAAGCGGTCCCCCATCTAAGTACTGACCTGGCTCTACGATGCTTAACTTCGGTGATCGAACGAGAACCGGTGTTTTCAGCGTGATTTGACCGTAAGCGAAGACGTTTGCCCCAATTTCCGCTCATGAGTGTCAGTTATCATTCCACGATAACCCTAAAACGGAAGAACCGGTCATTCCGGTCCCCCATCGATAACCTGGCTCTACGATGCTTGTTTCGGTGAAACGGAAGAACCGGTCTGTGATTTTCAGCGTGATTTGACCGTAAGCGAAGACGTTTGCCCCAATTTACTCATGAGTGTGTTATCATTCCCAACCCTAAAACGAAGAACGGTCCCCAGGTGTTCCCTAAGCGGTCCCCCATCTAAGTACTGACCTGGCTCTACGATGCTTAACTTCGGTGATCGAACGAGAACCGGTGTTTTCAACGTGATTTGACCGTAAGCGAAGACGTTTGCCCCAATTTCCGCTCATGAGTGTCAGTTATCATTCCACGATAACCCTAAAACGGAAGAACCGGTCTGGCTTACAGTACCAGGTGTTCCCCCCAAGCGGTCCCCCATCTAAGTACTGACCTGGCTCTACGATGCTTAACTTCGGTGATCGAACGAGAACCGGTGTTTTCAAGCGTGATTTGACCGTAAGCGAAGACGTTTGCCCCAATTTCCGCTCATGAGTGTCAGTTATCATTCCACGATAACCCTAAAACGGAAGAACCGGTCTGGCTTACAGTACCAGGTGTTCCCAAGCGGTCCCCCATCTAAGTACTGACCTGGCTCTACGATGCTTAACTTCGGTGATCGAACGAGAACCGGTGTTTTCAACGTGATTTGACCGTAAGCGAAGACGTTTGCCCCAATTTCCGCTCATGAGTGTCAGTTATCATTCCACGATAACCCTAAAACGGAAGAACCGGTCTGGCTTACAGTACCAGGTGTTCCCAAGCGGTCCCCCATCTAAGTACTGACCTGGCTCTACGATGCTTAACTTCGGTGATCGAACGAGAACCGGTGTTTTCAGCGTGATTTGACCGTAAGCGAAGACGTTTGCCCCAATTTTCCGCTCATGAGTGTCAGTTATCATTCCACGATAACCCTAAAACGGAAGAACCGGTCTGGCTTACAGTACCAGGTGTTCCCAAGCGGTCCCCCATCTAAGTACTGACCTGGCTCTACGATGCTTAACTTCGGTGATCGAACGAGAACCGGTGTTTTCAGCGTGATTTGACCGTAAGCGAAGACGTTTGCCCCAATTTCCGCTCATGAGTGTCAGTTATCATTCCACGATAACCTAAAACGGAAGAACCGGTCTGGCTTACAGTACCAGGTGTTCCCAAGCGGTCCCCATCTAAGTACTGACCTGGCTCTACGATGCTTAACTTCGGTGATCGAACGAGAACCGGTGTTTTCAGCGTGATTTGACCGTAAGCGAAGACGTTTGCCCCAATTTCCGCTCATGAGTGTCAGTTATCATTCCACGATAACCCTAAAACGGAAGAACCGGTCTGGCTTACAGTACCAGGTGTTCCCAAGCGGTCCCCATCTAAGTACTGACCTGGCTCTACGATGCTTAACTTCGGTGATCGAACGAGAACCGGTGTTTTCAGCGTGATTTGACCGTAAGCGAAGACGTTTGCCCCAATTTCCGCTCATGAGTGTCAGTTATCATTCCACGATAACCCTAAAACGGAAGAACCGGTCTGGCTTACAGTACCAGGTGTTCCCAAGCGGTCCCCATCTAAGTACTGACCTGGCTCTACGATGCTTAACTTCGGTGATCGAACGAGAACCGGTGTTTTCAGCGTGATTTGACCGTAAGCGAAGACGTTTGCCCCAATTTCCGCTCATGAGTGTCAGTTATCATTCCACGATAACCCTAAAACGGAAGAACCGGTCTGGCTTACAGTACCAGGTGTTCCCAAGCGGTCCCCCATCTAAGTACTGACCTGGCTCTACGATGCTTAACTTCGGTGATCGAACGAGAACCGGTGTTTTCAACGTGATTTGACCGTAAGCGAAGACGTTTGCCCCAATTTCCGCTCATGAGTGTCAGTTATCATTCCACGATAACCCTAAAACGGAAGAACCGGTCTGGCTTACAGTACCAGGTGTTCCCAAGCGGTCCCCCATCTAAGTACTGACCTGGCTCTACGATGCTTAACTTCGGTGATCGAACGAGAACCGGTGTTTTCAGCGTGATTTGACCGTAAGCGAAGACGTTTGCCCCAATTTCCGCTCATGAGTGTCAGTTATCATTCCACGATAACCCTAAAACGGAAGAACCGGTCTGGCTTACAGTACCAGGTGTTCCCAAAGCGGTCCCCCATCTAAGTACTGACCTGGCTCTACGATGCTTAACTTCGGTGATCGAACGAGAACCGGTGTTTTCAGCGTGATTTGACCGTAAGCGAAGACGTTTGCCCCAATTTCCGCTCATGAGTGTCAGTTATCATTCCACGATAACCCTAAAACGGAAGAACCGGTCTGGCTTACAGTACCAGGTGTTTCCCAAGCGGTCCCCATCTAAAGTACTGACCTGGCTCTACGATGCTTAACTTCGGTGATCGAACGAGAACCGGTGTTTTCAGCGTGATTTGACCGTAAGCGAAGACGTTTGCCCCAATTTCCGCTCATGAGTGTCAGTTATCATTCCACGATAACCCTAAAACGGAAGAACCGGTCTGGCTTACAGTACCAGGTGTTCCCAAGCGGTCCCCCATCTAAGTACTGACCTGGCTCTACGATGCTTAACTTCGGTGATCGAACGAGAACCGGTGTTTTCAGCGTGATTTGACCGTAAGCGAAGACGTTTGCCCCAATTTCCGCTCATGAGTGTCAGTTATCATTCCACGATAACCCTAAAACGGAAGAACCGGTCTGGCTTACAGTACCAGGTGTTCCCAAGCGGTCCCCATCTAAGTACTGACCTGGCTCTACGATGCTTAACTTCGGTGATCGAACGAGAACCGGTGTTTTCAGCGTGATTTGACCGTAAGCGAAGACGTTTGCCCCAATTTCCGCTCATGAGTGTCAGTTATCATTCCACGATAACCCTAAAACGGAAGAACCGGTCTGGCTTACAGTACCAGGTGTTCCCAAGCGGTCCCCCATCTAAGTACTGACCTGGCTCTACGATGCTTAACTTCGGTGATCGAACGAGAACCGGTGTTTTCAGCGTGATTTGACCGTAAGCGAAGACGTTTGCCCCAATTTCCGCTCATGAGTGTCAGTTATCATTCCACGATAACCCTAAAACGGAAGAACCGGTCTGGCTTACAGTACCAGGTGTTCCCAAGCGGTCCCCATCTAAGTACTGACCTGGCTCTACGATGCTTAACTTCGGTGATCGAACGAGAACCGGTGTTTTCAGCGTGATTTGACCGTAAGCGAAGACGTTTGCCCCAATTTCCGCTCATGAGTGTCAGTTATCATTCCACGATAACCCTAAAACGGAAGAACCGGTCTGGCTTACAGTACCAGGTGTTCCCAAGCGGTCCCCATCTAAGTACTGACCTGGCTCTACGATGCTTAACTTCGGTGATCGAACGAGAACCGGTGTTTTCAGCGTGATTTGACCGTAAGCGAAGACGTTTGCCCCAATTTCCGCTCATGAGTGTCAGTTATCATTCCACGATAACCCTAAAACGGAAGAACCGGTCTGGCTTACAGTACCAGGTGTTCCCAAGCGGTCCCCCATCTAAGTACTGACCTGGCTCTACGATGCTTAACTTCGGTGATCGAACGAGAACCGGTGTTTTCAGCGTGATTTGACCGTAAGCGAAGACGTTTGCCCCAATTTCCGCTCATGAGTGTCAGTTATCATTCCACGATAACCCTAAAACGGAAGAACCGGTCTGGCTTACAGTACCAGGTGTTCCCAAGCGGTCCCCCATCTAAGTACTGACCTGGCTCTACGATGCTTAACTTCGGTGATCGAACGAGAACCGGTGTTTTCAGCGTGATTTGACCGTAAGCGAAGACGTTTGCCCCAATTTCCGCTCATGAGTGTCAGTTATCATTCCACGATAACCCTAAAACGGAAGAACCGGTCTGGCTTACAGTACCAGGTGTTCCCAAGCGGTCCCCATCTAAGTACTGACCTGGCTCTACGATGCTTAACTTCGGTGATCGAACGAGAACCGGTGTTTTCAGCGTGATTTGACCGTAAGCGAAGACGTTTGCCCCAATTTCCGCTCATGAGTGTCAGTTATCATTCCACGATAACCCTAAAACGGAAGAACCGGTCTGGCTTACAGTACCAGGTGTTCCCAAGCGGTCCCCCATCTAGTACTGACCTGGCTCTACGATGACCGGTGATGGAACCGGTGTTTTCGTGATTTGATGCGTTTTAATTTCCGCTTCGGTGATTCGATAACCTAAAACGGAAGAACCGGTGTTTTCCTGGTGATTTGACCGTAAGCGAAGACGTTTGCCCCGTCGTCAGTTATCATTCCACGATAACCCTAAAAATTTCCGCTCGTGATTTGTCGAAGACGTTATCATTCCACGATAACCCTAAAACGGAAGAACCGGTCTGGCTTACAGTACCAGGTGTTCCCAAGCGGTCCCCCATCTAAGTACTGACCTGGCTCTACGATGCTTAACTTCGGTGATCGAACGAGAACCGGTGTTTTCAGCGTGATTTGACCGTAAGCGAAGACGTTTGCCCCAATTTCCGCTCATGAGTGTCAGTTATCATTCCACGATAACCCTAAAACGGAAGAACCGGTCTGGCTTACAGTACCAGGTGTTCCCAAGCGGTCCCCATCTAAGTACTGACCTGGCTCTACGATGCTTAACTTCGGTGATCGAACGAGAACCGGTGTTTTCAGCGTGATTTGACCGTAAGCGAAGACGTTTGCCCCAATTTCCGCTCATGAGTGTCAGTTATCATTCCACGATAACCCTAAAACGGAAGAACCGGTCTGGCTTACAGTACCAGGTGTTCCCAAGCGGTCCCCCATCTAAGTACTGACCTGGCTCTACGATGCTTAACTTCGGTGATCGAACGAGAACCGGTGTTTTCAGCGTGATTTGACCGTAAGCGAAGACGTTTGCCCCAATTTCCGCTCATGAGTGTCAGTTATCATTCCACGATAACCCTAAAACGGAAGAACCGGTCTGGCTTACAGTACCAGGTGTTCCCAAGCGGTCCCCCATCTAAGTACTGACCTGGCTCTACGATGCTTAACTTCGGTGATCGAACGAGAACCGGTGTTTTCAGCGTGATTTGACCGTAAGCGAAGACGTTTGCCCCAATTTCCGCTCATGAGTGTCAGTTATCATTCCACGATAACCCTAAAACGGAAGAACCGGTCTGGCTTACAGTACCAGGTGTTCCCAAGCGGTCCCCATCTAAGTACTGACCTGGCTCTACGATGCTTAACTTCGGTGATCGAACGAGAACCGGTGTTTTCAGCGTGATTTGACCGTAAGCGAAGACGTTTGCCCCAATTTCCGCTCATGAGTGTCAGTTATCATTCCACGATAACCCTAAAACGGAAGAACCGGTCTGGCTTACAGTACCAGGTGTTCCCAAACGTCCCCCATCTAAGTACTGACCTGGCTCTACGATGCTTAACTTCGGTGATCGAACGAGAACCGGTGTTTTCAGCGTGATTTGACCGTAAGCGAAGACGTTTGCCCCAATTTCCGCTCATGAGTGTCAGTTATCATTCCACGATAACCCTAAAACGGAAGAACCGGTCTGGCTTACAGTACCAGGTGTTCCCAAGCGGTCCCCCATCTAAGTACTGACCTGGCTCTACGATGCTTAACTTCGGTGATCGAACGAGAACCGGTGTTTTCAGCGTGATTTGACCGTAAGCGAAGACGTTTGCCCCAATTTCCGCTCATGAGTGTCAGTTATCATTCCACGATAACCCTAAAACGGAAGAACCGGTCTGGCTTACAGTACCAGGTGTTCCCAAGCGGTCCCCCATCTAAGTACTGACCTGGCTCTACGATGCTTAACTTCGGTGATCGAACGAGAACCGGTGTTTTCAGCGTGATTTGACCGTAAGCGAAGACGTTTGCCCCAATTTCCGCTCATGAGTGTCAGTTATCATTCCACGATAACCCTAAAACGGAAGAACCGGTCTGGCTTACAGTACCAGGTGTTCCCAAGCGGTCCCCCATCTAAGTACTGACCTGGCTCTACGATGCTTAACTTCGGTGATCGAACGAGAACCGGTGTTTTCAGCGTGATTTGACCGTAAGCGAAGACGTTTGCCCCAATTTCCGCTCATGAGTGTCAGTTATCATTCCACGATAACCCTAAAACGGAAGAACCGGTCTGGCTTACAGTACCAGGTGTTCCCAAGCGGTCCCCCATCTAAGTACTGACCTGGCTCTACGATGCTTAACTTCGGTGATCGAACGAGAACCGGTGTTTTCAGCGTGATTTGACCGTAAGCGAAGACGTTTGCCCCAATTTCCGCTCATGAGTGTCAGTTATCATTCCACGATAACCCTAAAACGGAAGAACCGGTCTGGCTTACAGTACCAGGTGTTCCCAAGCGGTCCCCCATCTAAGTACTGACCTGGCTCTACGATGCTTAACTTCGGTGATCGAACGAGAACCGGTGTTTTCAGCGTGATTTGACCGTAAGCGAAGACGTTTGCCCCAATTTCCGCTCATGAGTGTCAGTTATCATTCCACGATAACCCTAAAACGGAAGAACCGGTCTGGCTTACAGTACCAGGTGTTCCCAAGCGGTCCCCCATCTAAGTACTGACCTGGCTCTACGATGCTTAACTTCGGTGATCGAACGAGAACCGGTGTTTTCAAGCGTGATTTGACCGTAAGCGAAGACGTTTGCCCCGAAATTTCCGCTCATGAGTGTCAGTTATCATTCCACGATAACCCTAAAACGGAAGAACCGGTCTGGCTTACAGTACCAGGTGTTCCCAAGCGGTCCCCCATCTAAGTACTGACCTGGCTCTACGATGCTTAACTTCGGTGATCGAACGAGAACCGGTGTTTTCAGCGTGATTTGACCGTAAGCGAAGACGTTTGCCCCAATTTCCGCTCATGAGTGTCAGTTATCATTCCACGATAACCCTAAAACGGAAGAACCGGTCTGGCTTACAGTACCAGGTGTTCCCAAGCGGTCCCCCATCTAAGTACTGACCTGGCTCTACGATGCTTAACTTCGGTGATCGAACGAGAACCGGTGTTTTCAGCGTGATTTGACCGTAAGCGAAGACGTTTGCCCCAATTTCCGCTCATGAGTGTCAGTTATCATTCCACGATAACCCTAAAACGGAAGAACCGGTCTGGCTTACAGTACCAGGTGTTCCCAAGCGGTCCCCCATCTAAGTACTGACCTGGCTCTACGATGCTTAACTTCGGTGATCGAACGAGAACCGGTGTTTTCAGCGTGATTTGACCGTAAGCGAAGACGTTTGCCCCAATTTCCGCTCATGAGTGTCAGTTATCATTCCACGATAACCCTAAAACGGAAGAACCGGTCTGGCTTACAGTACCAGGTGTTCCCAAGCGGTCCCCATCTAAGTACTGACCTGGCTCTACGATGCTTAACTTCGGTGATCGAACGAGAACCGGTGTTTTCAGCGTGATTTGACCGTAAGCGAAGACGTTTGCCCCAATTTCCGCTCATGAGTGTCAGTTATCATTCCACGATAACCCTAAAACGGAAGAACCGGTCTGGCTTACAGTACCAGGTGTTCCCAAGCGGTCCCCATCTAAGTACTGACCTGGCTCTACGATGCTTAACTTCGGTGATCGAACGAGAACCGGTGTTTTCAGCGTGATTTGACCGTAAGCGAAGACGTTTGCCCCAATTTCCGCTCATGAGTGTCAGTTATCATTCCACGATAACCCTAAAACGGAAGAACCGGTCTGGCTTACAGTACCAGGTGTTCCCAAGCGGTCCCCCATCTAAGTACTGACCTGGCTCTACGATGCTTAACTTCGGTGATCGAACGAGAACCGGTGTTTTCAGCGTGATTTGACCGTAAGCGAAGACGTTTGCCCCAATTTCCGCTCATGAGTGTCAGTTATCATTCCACGATAACCCTAAAACGGAAGAACCGGTCTGGCTTACAGTACCAGGTGTTCCCAAGCGGTCCCCCATCTAAGTACTGACCTGGCTCTACGATGCTTAAGACGTTTGCCCCAATTTTCGGTGATCGAACGAGAACCGGTGTTTTCAACGTGATTTGACCGTAAGTGAAGACGTTTTCCCCAATTTCCGCTCATGAGTGTCAGTTATCATTCCACGATAACCCTAAAACGGAAGAACCGGTCTGGCTTACAGTACCAGGTGTTCCCAAGCGGTCCCCCATCTAAGTACTGACCTGGCTCTACGATGCTTAACTTCGGTGATCGAACGAGAACCGGTGTTTTCAGCGTGATTTGACCGTAAGCGAAGACGTTTGCCCCAATTTCCGCTCATGAGTGTCAGTTATCATTCCACGATAACCCTAAAACGGAAGAACCGGTCTGGCTTACAGTACCAGGTGTTCCCAAGCGGTCCCCATCTAAGTACTGACCTGGCTCTACGATGCTTAACTTCGGTGATCGAACGAGAACCGGTGTTTTCAGCGTGATTTGACCGTAAGCGAAGACGTTTGCCCCAATTTCCGCTCATGAGTGTCAGTTATCATTCCACGATAACCCTAAAACGGAAGAACCGGTCTGGCTTACAGTACCAGGTGTTCCCAAGCGGTCCCCCATCTAAGTACTGACCTGGCTCTACGATGCTTAACTTCGGTGATCGAACGAGAACCGGTGTTTTCAGCGTGATTTGACCGTAAGCGAAGACGTTTGCCCCAATTTCCGCTCATGAGTGTCAGTTATCATTCCACGATAACCCTAAAACGGAAGAACCGGTCTGGCTTACAGTACCAGGTGTTCCCAAGCGGTCCCCCATCTAAGTACTGACCTGGCTCTACGATGCTTAACTTCGGTGATCGAACGAGAACCGGTGTTTTCAGCGTGATTTGACCGTAAGCGAAGACGTTTGCCCCAATTTCCGCTCATGAGTGTCAGTTATCATTCCACGATAACCCTAAAACGGAAGAACCGGTCTGGCTTACAGTACCAGGTGTTCCCAAGCGGTCCCCCATCTAAGTACTGACCTGGCTCTACGATGCTTAACTTCGGTGATGAACGAGAACCGGTGTTTTCGGATTGACCGAACGAGAACCGGTCCGTTTTGAGTGTCGTGATTTGACCGTAACGGAAGAACCGGTCGTTTGCCCCAATTCCCCCGCTCATGACCTGGTGTCGATGTTATCATTCGGTGATCGAACGAACCGGTGTTAACCCTAAAACGGAAGAACCGGTCTGGTTATCATTCCAGTAACCTAAAACGGGTGTTCCCAAGCGGTCCCCCATCTAAGTACTGACCTGGCTCTACGATGCTTAACTTCGGTGATCGAACGAGAACCGGTGTTTTCAGCGTGATTTGACCGTAAGCGAAGACGTTTGCCCCAATTTCCGCTCATGAGTGTCAGTTATCATTCCACGATAACCCTAAAACGGAAGAACCGGTCTGGCTTACAGTACCAGGTGTTCCCAAGCGGTCCCCATCTAAGTACTGACCTGGCTCTACGATGCTTAACTTCGGTGATCGAACGAGAACCGGTGTTTTCAGCGTGATTTGACCGTAAGCGAAGACGTTTGCCCCAATTTCCGCTCATGAGTGTCAGTTATCATTCCACGATAACCCTAAAACGGAAGAACCGGTCTGGCTTACAGTACCAGGTGTTCCCAAGCGGTCCCCCATCTAAGTACTGACCTGGCTCTACGATGCTTAACTTCGGTGATCGAACGAGAACCGGTGTTTTCAGCGTGATTTGACCGTAAGCGAAGACGTTTGCCCCAATTTCCGCTCATGAGTGTCAGTTATCATTCCACGATAACCCTAAAACGGAAGAACCGGTCTGGCTTACAGTACCAGGTGTTCCCAAGCGGTCCCCCATCTAAGTACTGACCTGGCTCTACGATGCTTAACTTCGGTGATCGAACGAGAACCGGTGTTTTCAGCGTGATTTGACCGTAAGCGAAGACGTTTGCCCCAATTTCCGCTCATGAGTGTCAGTTATCATTCCCCGATAACCCTAAAACGGAAGAACCGGTCTGGCTTACAGTACCAGGTGTTCCCAAGCGGTCCCCCATCTAAGTACTGACCTGGCTCTACGATGCTTAACTTCGGTGATCGAACGAGAACCGGTGTTTTCAGCGTGATTTGACCGTAAGCGAAGACGTTTGCCCCAATTTCCGCTCATGAGTGTCAGTTATCATTCCACGATAACCCTAAAACGGAAGAACCGGTCTGGCTTACAGTACCAGGTGTTCCCAAGCGGTCCCCCATCGAAGTACTGACCTGGCCTCTACGATGCTTAACGTGATTTCGGTGATCGAACGAGAACCGGTGTTTTCAGCGTGATTTGACCGTAAGCGAAGACGTTTGCCCCAATTTCCGCTCATGAGTGTCAGTTATCATTCCACGATAACCCTAAAACGGAAGAACCGGTCTGGCTTACAGTACCAGGTGTTCCCAAGCGGTCCCCCATCTAAGTACTGACCTGGCTCTACGATGCTTAACTTCGGTGATCGAACGAGAACCGGTGTTTTCAGCGTGATTTGACCGTAAGCGAAGACGTTTGCCCCAATTTCCGCTCATGAGTGTCAGTTATCATTCCACGATAACCCTAAAACGGAAGAACCGGTCTGGCTTACAGTACCAGGTGTTCCCAAGCGGTCCCCATCTAAGTACTGACCTGGCTCTACGATGCTTAACTTCGGTGATCGAACGAGAACCGGTGTTTTCAGCGTGATTTGACCGTAAGCGAAGACGTTTGCCCCAATTTCCGCTCATGAGTGTCAGTTATCATTCCACGATAACCCTAAAACGGAAGAACCGGTCTGGCTTACAGTACCAGGTGTTCCCAAGCGGTCCCCATCTAAGTACTGACCTGGCTCTACGATGCTTAACTTCGGTGATCGAACGAGAACCGGTGTTTTCAGCGTGATTTGACCGTAAGCGAAGACGTTTGCCCCAATTTCCGCTCATGAGTGTCAGTTATCATTCCACGATAACCCTAAAACGGAAGAACCGGTCTGGCTTACAGTACCAGGTGTTCCCAAGCGGTCCCCATCTAAGTACTGACCTGGCTCTACGATGCTTAACTTCGGTGATCGAACGAGAACCGGTGTTTTCAGCGTGATTTGACCGTAAGCGAAGACGTTTGCCCCAATTTCCGCTCATGAGTGTCAGTTATCATTCCACGATCCACGATAACCCTAAAACGGAAGAACCGGTCTGGCTTACAGTACCAGGTGTTCCCAAGCGGTCCCCCATCTAAGTACTGACCTGGCTCTACGATGCTTAACTTCGGTGATCGAACGAGAACCGGTGTTTTCAGCGTGATTTGACCGTAAGCGAAGACGTTTGCCCCAATTTCCGCTCATGAGTGTCAGTTATCATTCCACGATAACCCTAAAACGGAAGAACCGGTCTGGCTTACAGTACCAGGTGTTCCCAAGCGGTCCCCATCTAAGTACTGACCTGGCTCTACGATGCTTAACTTCGGTGATCGAACGAGAACCGGTGTTTTCAGCGTGATTTGACCGTAAGCGAAGACGTTTGCCCCAATTTCCGCTCATGAGTGTCAGTTATCATTCCACGATAACCCTAAAACGGAAGAACCGGTCTGGCTTACAGTACCAGGTGTTCCCAAGCGGTCCCCATCTAAGTACTGACCTGGCTCTACGATGCTTAACTTCGGTGATCGAACGAGAACCGGTGTTTTCAGCGTGATTTGACCGTAAGCGAAGACGTTTGCCCCAATTTCCGCTCATGAGTGTCAGTTATCATTCCACGATAACCTAAAACGGAAGAACCGGTCTGGCTTACAGTACCAGGTGTTCCTACTGACCTGGCTCTACGAACTTCGGTGATCGAACGAGAACCGGTGTTTTCAGCGTGATTTGACCGTAAGCGAAGACGTTTGCCCCAACCAGTGTCAGTTATCATTCCACGATAACCCTAAAACGGAAGAACCGGTCTGGCTTACAGTACCAGGTGTTCCCAAGCGGTCCCCATCTAAGTACTGACCTGGCTCTACGATGCTTAACTTCGGTGATCGAACGAGAACCGGTGTTTTCAGCGTGATTTGACCGTAAGCGAAGACGTTTGCCCCAATTTCCGCTCATGAGTGTCAGTTATCATTCCACGATAACCCTAAAACGGAAGAACCGGTCTGGCTTACAGTACCAGGTGTTCCCAAGCGGTCCCCCATCTAAGTACTGACCTGGCTCTACGATGCTTAACTTCGGTGATCGAACGAGAACCGGTGTTTTCAGCGTGATTTGACCGTAAGCGAAGACGTTTGCCCCAATTTCCGCTCATGAGTGTCAGTTATCATTCCACGATAACCCTAAAACGGAAGAACCGGTCTGGCTTACAGTACCAGGTGTTCCCAAGCGGTCCCCCATCTAAGTACTGACCTGGCTCTACGATGCTTAACTTCGGTGATCGAACGAGAACCGGTGTTTTCAGCGTGATTTGACCGTAAGCGAAGACGTTTGCCCCAATTTCCGCTCATGAGTGTCAGTTATCATTCCACGATAACCCTAAAACGGAAGAACCGGTCTGGCTTACAGTACCAGGTGTTCCCAAGCGGTCCCCCATCTAAGTACTGACCTGGCTCTACGATGCTTAACTTCGGTGATCGAACGAGAACCGGTGTTTTCAACGTGATTTGACCGTAAGCGAAGACGTTTGCCCCAATTTCCGCTCATGAGTGTCAGTTATCATTCCACGATAACCCTAAAACGGAAGAACCGGTCTGGCTTACAGTACCAGGTGTTCCCAAGCGGTCCCCATCTAAGTACTGACCTGGCTCTACGATGCTTAACTTCGGTGATCGAACGAGAACCGGTGTTTTCAACGTGATTTGACCGTAAGCGAAGACGTTTGCCCCAATTTCCGCTCATGAGTGTCAGTTATCATTCCACGATAACCCTAAAACGGAAGAACCGGTCTGGCTTACAGTACCAGGTGTTCCCAAGCGGTCCCCCATCTAAGTACTGACCTGGCTCTACGATGCTTAACTTCGGTGATCGAACGAGAACCGGTGTTTTCAGCGTGATTTGACCGTAAGCGAAGACGTTTGCCCCAATTTCCGCTCATGAGTGTCAGTTATCATTCCACGATAACCCTAAAACGGAAGAACCGGTCTGGCTTACAGTACCAGGTGTTCCCAAGCGGTCCCCCATCTAAGTACTGACCTGGCTCTACGATGCTTAACTTCGGTGATCGAACGAGAACCGGTGTTTTCAGCGTGATTTGACCGTAAGCGAAGACGTTTGCCCCAATTTCCGCTCATGAGTGTCAGTTATCATTCCACGATAACCCTAAAACGGAAGAACCGGTCTGGCTTACAGTACCAGGTGTTCCCAAGCGGTCCCCCATCTAAGTACTGACCTGGCTCTACGATGCTTAACTTCGGTGATCGAACGAGAACCGGTGTTTTCAGCGTGATTTGACCGTAAGCGAAGACGTTTGCCCCAATTTCCGCTCATGAGTGTCAGTTATCATTCCACGATAACCCTAAAACGGAAGAACCGGTCTGGCTTACAGTACCAGGTGTTCCCAAGCGGTCCCCCATCTAAGTACTGACCTGGCTCTACGATGCTTAACTTCGGTGATCGAACGAGAACCGGTGTTTTCAGCGTGATTTGACCGTAAGCGAAGACGTTTGCCCCAATTTCCGCTCATGAGTGTCAGTTATCATTCCACGATAACCCTAAAACGGAAGAACCGGTCTGGCTTACAGTACCAGGTGTTCCCAAGCGGTCCCCATCTAAGTACTGACCTGGCTCTACGATGCTTAACTTCGGTGATCGAACGAGAACCGGTGTTTTCAGCGTGATTTGACCGTAAGCGAAGACGTTTGCCCCAATTTCCGCTCATGAGTGTCAGTTATCATTCCACGATAACCCTAAAACGGAAGAACCGGTCTGGCTTACAGTACCAGGTGTTCCCAAGCGGTCCCCATCTAAGTACTGACCTGGCTCTACGATGCTTAACTTCGGTGATCGAACGAGAACCGGTGTTTTCAGCGTGATTTGACCGTAAGCGAAGACGTTTGCCCCAATTTCCGCTCATGAGTGTCAGTTATCATTCCACGATAACCCTAAAACGGAAGAACCGGTCTGGCTTACAGTACCAGGTGTTCCCAAGCGGTCCCCCCATCTAAGTACTGACCTGGCTCTACGATGCTTAACTTCGGTGATCGAACGAGAACCGGTGTTTTCAGCGTGATTTGACCGTAAGCGAAGACGTTTGCCCCAATTTCCGCTCATTTCCGCTCGCGTGTCAGTTTTCCGCATTCATGTTGTCATTATCATTCCACGATAACCCTAAAACGGAAGAACCGGTCTGGCTTACAGTACCAGGTGTTCCCAAGCGGTCCCCCATCTAAGTACTGACCTGGCTCTACGATGCTTAACTTCGGTGATCGAACGAGAACCGGTGTTTTCAGCGTGATTTGACCGTAAGCGAAGACGTTTGCCCCAATTTCCGCTCATGAGTGTCAGTTATCATTCCACGATAACCCTAAAACGGAAGAACCGGTCTGGCTTACAGTACCAGGTGTTCCCAAGCGGTAACCCCCCATCTAAGTACTGACCTGGCTCTACGATGCTTAACTTCGGTGATCGAACGAGAACCGGTGTTTTCAGCGTGATTTGACCGTAAGCGAAGACGTTTGCCCCAATTTCCGCTCATGAGTGTCAGTTATCATTCCACGATAACCCTAAAACGGAAGAACCGGTCTGGCTTACAGTACCAGGTGTTCCCAAGCGGTCCCCCATCTAAGTACTGACCTGGCTCTACGATGCTTAACTTCGGTGATCGAACGAGAACCGGTGTTTTCAGCGTGATTTGACCGTAAGCGAAGACGTTTGCCCCAATTTCCGCTCATGAGTGTCAGTTATCATTCCACGATAACCCTAAAACGGAAGAACCGGTCTGGCTTACAGTACCAGGTGTTCCCAAGCGGTCCCCCATCTAAGTACTGACCTGGCTCTACGATGCTTAACTTCGGTGATCGAACGAGAACCGGTGTTTTCAGCGTGATTTGACCGTAAGCGAAGACGTTTGCCCCAATTTCCGCTCATGAGTGTCAGTTATCATTCCACGATAACCCTAAAACGGAAGAACCGGTCTGGCTTACAGTACCAGGTGTTCCCAAGCGGTCCCCCATCTAAGTACTGACCTGGCTCTACGATGCTTAACTTCGGTGATCGAACGAGAACCGGTGTTTTCAGCGTGATTTGACCGTAAGCGAAGACGTTTGCCCCAATTTCCGCTCATGAGTGTCAGTTATCATTCCACGATAACCCTAAAACGGAAGAACCGGTCTGGCTTACAGTACCAGGTGTTCCCAAGCGGTCCCCCATCTAAGTACTGACCTGGCTCTACGATGCTTAACTTCGGTGATCGAACGAGAACCGGTGTTTTCAGCGTGATTTGACCGTAAGCGAAGACGTTTGCCCCAATTTCCGCTCATGAGTGTCAGTTATCATTCCACGATAACCCTAAAACGGAAGAACCGGTCTGGCTTACAGTACCAGGTGTTCCCCCAAGCGGTCCCCCATCTAAGTACTGACCTGGCTCCTAAAACGATGCTTAACCAGGTGTTTCGGTGATCGAACGAGAACCGGTGTTTTCAGCGTGATTTGACCGTAAGCGAAGACGTTTGCCCCAATTTCCGCTCATGAGTGTCAGTTATCATTCCACGATAACCCTAAAACGGAAGAACCGGTCTGGCTTACAGTACCAGGTGTTCCCAAGCGGTCCCCCATCTAAGTACTGACCTGGCTCTACGATGCTTAACTTCGGTGATCGAACGAGAACCGGTGTTTTCAGCGTGATTTGACCGTAAGCGAAGACGTTTGCCCCAATTTCCGCTCATGAGTGTCAGTTATCATTCCACGATAACCCTAAAACGGAAGAACCGGTCTGGCTTACAGTACCAGGTGTTCCCAAGCGGTCCCCATCTAAGTACTGACCTGGCTCTACGATGCTTAACTTCGGTGATCGAACGAGAACCGGTGTTTTCAGCGTGATTTGACCGTAAGCGAAGACGTTTGCCCCAATTTCCGCTCATGAGTGTCAGTTATCATTCCACGATAACCCTAAAACGGAAGAACCGGTCTGGCTTACAGTACCAGGTGTTCCCAAGCGGTCCCCATCTAAGTACTGACCTGGCTCTACGATGCTTAACTTCGGTGATCGAACGAGAACCGGTGTTTTCAGCGTGATTTGACCGTAAGCGAAGACGTTTGCCCCAATTTCCGCTCATGAGTGTCAGTTATCATTCCACGATAACCCTAAAACGGAAGAACCGGTCTGGCTTACAGTACCAGGTGTTCCCAAGCGGTCCCCCATCTAAGTACTGACCTGGCTCTACGATGCTTAACTTCGGTGATCGAACGAGAACCGGTGTTTTCAGCGTGATTTGACCGTAAGCGAAGACGTTTGCCCCAATTTCCGCTCATGAGTGTCAGTTATCATTCCACGATAACCCTAAAACGGAAGAACCGGTCTGGCTTACAGTACCAGGTGTTCCCAAGCGGTCCCCCATCTAAGTACTGACCTGGCTCTACGATGCTTAACTTCGGTGATCGAACGAGAACCGGTGTTTTCAGCGTGATTTGACCGTAAGCGAAGACGTTTGCCCCAATTTCCGCTCATGAGTGTCAGTTATCATTCCACGATAACCCTAAAACGGAAGAACCGGTCTGGCTTACAGTACCAGGTGTTCCCAAGCGGTCCCCCATCTAAGTACTGACCTGGCTCTACGATGCTTAACTTCGGTGATCGAACGAGAACCGGTGTTTTCAACGTGATTTGACCGTAAGCGAAGACGTTTGCCCCAATTTCCGCTCATGAGTGTCAGTTATCATTCCACGATAACCCTAAAACGGAAGAACCGGTCTGGCTTACAGTACCAGGTGTTCCCAAGCGGTCCCCCATCTAAGTACTGACCTGGCTCTACGATGCTTAACTTCGGTGATCGAACGAGAACCGGTGTTTTCAGCGTGATTTGACCGTAAGCGAAGACGTTTGCCCCAATTTCCGCTCATGAGTGTCAGTTATCATTTCGATAACCCTAAAACGGAAGAACCGGTCTGGCTTACAGTACCAGGTGTTCCCAAGCGGTCCCCCATCTAAGTACTGACCTGGCTCTACGATGCTTAACTTCGGTGATCGAACGAGAACCGGTGTTTTCAGCGTGATTTGACCGTAAGCGAAGACGTTTGCCCCAATTTCCGCTCATGAGTGTCAGTTATCATTCCACGATAACCCTAAAACGGAAGAACCGGTCTGGCTTACAGTACCAGGTGTTCCCAAGCGGTCCCCCATCTAAGTACTGACCTGGCTCTACGATGCTTAACTTCGGTGATCGAACGAGAACCGGTGTTTTCAGCGTGATTTGACCGTAAGCGAAGACGTTTGCCCCAATTTCCGCTCATGAGTGTCAGTTATCATTCCACGATAACCCTAAAACGGAAGAACCGGTCTGGCTTACAGTACCAGGTGTTCCCAAGCGGTCCCCCATCTAAGTACTGACCTGGCTCTACGATGCTTAACTTCGGTGATCGAACGAGAACCGGTGTTTTCAGCGTGATTTGACCGTAAGCGAAGACGTTTGCCCCAATTTCCGCTCATGAGTGTCAGTTATCATTCCACGATAACCCTAAAACGGAAGAACCGGTCTGGCTTACAGTACCAGGTGTTCCCAAGCGGTCCCCATCTAAGTACTGACCTGGCTCTACGATGCTTAACTTCGGTGATCGAACGAGAACCGGTGTTTTCAGCGTGATTTGACCGTAAGCGAAGACGTTTGCCCCAATTTCCGCTCATGAGTGTCAGTTATCATTCCACGATAACCCTAAAACGGAAGAACCGGTCTGGCTTACAGTACCAGGTGTTCCCAAGCGGTCCCCCATCTAAGTACTGACCTGGCTCTACGATGCTTAACTTCGGTGATCGAACGAGAACCGGTGTTTTCAGCGTGATTTGACCGTAAGCGAAGACGTTTGCCCCAATTTCCGCTCATGAGTGTCAGTTATCATTCCACGATAACCCTAAAACGGAAGAACCGGTCTGGCTTACAGTACCAGGTGTTCCCAAGCGGTCCCCCATCTAAGTACTGACCTGGCTCTACGATGCTTAACTTCGGTGATCGAACGAACCGGTGAGCGTGAACGTTTGCCCCAATTTCCGCTCGCGGTGTTTTTCATTCCACGATAATTTAAACCGGTAAGCGGTCCCCATCTAAGTACTGACCTGGCTCTACGATGCTTAACTTCGGTGATCGAACGAGAACCGGTGTTTTCGTGATTTGACCGTAAGCGAAGACGTTTGCCCCAATTTCCGCTCATGAGTGTCAGTTATCATTCCACGATAACCCTAAAACGGAAGAACCGGTCTGGCTTACAGTACCAGGTGTTCCCAAGCGGTCCCCCATCTAAGTACTGACCTGGCTCTACGATGCTTAACTTCGGTGATCGAACGAGAACCGGTGTTTTCAGCGTGATTTGACCGTAAGCGAAGACGTTTGCCCCAATTTCCGCTCATGAGTGTCAGTTATCATTCCACGATAACCCTAAAACGGAAGAACCGGTCTGGCTTACAGTACCAGGTGTTCCCAAGCGGTCCCCCATCTAAGTACTGACCTGGCTCTACGATGCTTAACTTCGGTGATCGAACGAGAACCGGTGTTTTCAGCGTGATTTGACCGTAAGCGAAGACGTTTGCCCCAATTTCCGCTCATGAGTGTCAGTTATCATTCCACGATAACCCTAAAACGGAAGAACCGGTCTGGCTTACAGTACCAGGTGTTCCCAAGCGGTCCCCATCTAAGTACTGACCTGGCTCTACGATGCTTAACTTCGGTGATCGAACGAGAACCGGTGTTTTCAGCGTGATTTGACCGTAAGCGAAGACGTTTGCCCCAATTTCCGCTCATGAGTGTCAGTTATCATTCCACGATAACCCTAAAACGGAAGAACCGGTCTGGCTTACAGTACCAGGTGTTCCCAAGCGGTCCCCATCTAAGTACTGACCTGGCTCTACGATGCTTAACTTCGGTGATCGAACGAGAACCGGTGTTTTCAGCGTGATTTGACCGTAAGCGAAGACGTTTGCCCCAATTTCCGCTCATGAGTGTCAGTTATCATTCCACGATAACCCTAAAACGGAAGAACCGGTCTGGCTTACAGTACCAGGTGTTCCCAAGCGGTCCCCATCTAAGTACTGACCTGGCTCTACGATGCTTAACTTCGGTGATCGAACGAGAACCGGTGTTTTCAGCGTGATTTGACCGTAAGCGAAGACGTTTGCCCCAATTTCCGCTCATGAGTGTCAGTTATCATTCCACGATAACCCTAAAACGGAAGAACCGGTCTGGCTTACAGTACCAGGTGTTCCCAAGCGGTCCCCCATCTAAGTACTGACCTGGCTCTACGATGCTTAACTTCGGTGATCGAACGAGAACCGGTGTTTTCAACGTGATTTGACCGTAAGCGAAGACGTTTGCCCCAATTTCCGCTCATGAGTGTCAGTTATCATTCCACGATAACCCTAAAACGGAAGAACCGGTCTGGCTTACAGTACCAGGTGTTCCCAAGCGGTCCCCCATCTAAGTACTGACCTGGCTCTACGATGCTTAACTTCGGTGATCGAACGAGAACCGGTGTTTTCAGCGTGATTTGACCGTAAGCGAAGACGTTTGCCCCAATTTCCGCTCATGAGTGTCAGTTATCATTCCACGATAACCCTAAAACGGAAGAACCGGTCTGGCTTACAGTACCAGGTGTTCCCAAGCGGTCCCCATCTAAGTACTGACCTGGCTCTACGATGCTTAACTTCGGTGATCGAACGAGAACCGGTGTTTTCAGCGTGATTTGACCGTAAGCGAAGACGTTTGCCCCAATTTCCGATAACCCTAAAACGGAAGAACCGGTCTGGCTTACAGTACCAGGTGTTCCCAAGCGGTGTCACCTGGTTATCATTCCGTGATTTGACCGTAAGCGAAGACGTTTGCCCCAATTTCCGCTCATGAGTTATCATTCCACGAGAACCCGAAAAACGGAAGAACCGGTCTGGACCTAAGCGAAGACAGTACCAGGTGTTATCATTTAACCCCGGAAGAACCGGTCCCCATCTAAGCGGTCCCCCATCTAAGTACTGACCTGGCTCTACGATGCTTAACTTCGGTGATCGAACGAGAACCGGTGTTTTCAGCGTGATTTGACCGTAAGCGAAGACGTTTGCCCCAATTTCCGCTCATGAGTGTCAGTTATCATTCCACGATAACCCTAAAACGGAAGAACCGGTCTGGCTTACAGTACCAGGTGTTCCCAAGCGGTCCCCATCTAAGTACTGACCTGGCTCTACGATGCTTAACTTCGGTGATCGAACGAGAACCGGTGTTTTCAGCGTGATTTGACCGTAAGCGAAGACGTTTGCCCCAATTTCCGCTCATGAGTGTCAGTTATCATTCCACGATAACCCTAAAACGGAAGAACCGGTCTGGCTTACAGTACCAGGTGTTCCCAAGCGGTCCCCCATCTAAGTACTGACCTGGCTCTACGATGCTTAACTTCGGTGATCGAACGAGAACCGGTGTTTTCAGCGTGATTTGACCGTAAGCGAAGACGTTTGCCCCAATTTCCGCTCATGAGTGTCAGTTATCATTCCACGATAACCCTAAAACGGAAGAACCGGTCTGGCTTACAGTACCAGGTGTTCCCAAGCGGTCCCCCATCTAAGTACTGACCTGGCTCTACGATGCTTAACTTCGGTGATCGAACGAGAACCGGTGTTTTCAGCGTGATTTGACCGTAAGCGAAGACGTTTGCCCCAATTTCCGCTCATGAGTGTCAGTTATCATTCCACGATAACCCTAAAACGGAAGAACCGGTCTGGCTTACAGTACCAGGTGTTCCCAAGCGGTCCCCCATCTAAGTACTGACCTGGCTCTACGATGCTTAACTTCGGTGATCGAACGAGAACCGGTGTTTTCAGCGTGATTTGACCGTAAGCGAAGACGTTTGCCCCAATTTCCGCTCATGAGTGTCAGTTATCATTCCACGATAACCCTAAAACGGAAGAACCGGTCTGGCTTACAGTACCAGGTGTTCCCAAGCGGTCCCCCATCTAATTCCACGATAATTAAACGGAAGAACCGGGGCTTACAGTACCAGGTGTGGCTGACCTGGCTCTACGATGCTTAACTTCGGTGATCGAACGAGAACCGGTGTTTTCAGCGTGATTTGACCGTAAGCGAAGACGTTTGCCCAATTTCCGCTCATGAGTGTCAGTTATCATTCCACGATAACCCTAAAACGGAAGAACCGGTCTGGCTTACAGTACCAGGTGTTCCCAAGCGGTCCCCCATCTAAGTACTGACCTGGCTCTACGATGCTTAACTTCGGTGATCGAACGAGAACCGGTGTTTTCAGCGTGATTTGACCGTAAGCGAAGACGTTTGCCCCAATTTCCGCTCATGAGTGTCAGTTATCATTCCACGATAACCCTAAAACGGAAGAACCGGTCTGGCTTACAGTACCAGGTGTTCCCAAGCGGTCCCCCATCTAAGTACTGACCTGGCTCTACGATGCTTAACTTCGGTGATCGAACGAGAACCGGTGTTTTCAGCGTGATTTGACCGTAAGCGAAGACGTTTGCCCCAATTTCCGCTCATGAGTGTCAGTTATCATTCCACGATAACCCTAAAACGGAAGAACCGGTCTGGCTTACAGTACCAGGTGTTCCCAAGCGGTCCCCATCTAAGTACTGACCTGGCTCTACGATGCTTAACTTCGGTGATCGAACGAGAACCGGTGTTTTCAGCGTGATTTGACCGTAAGCGAAGACGTTTGCCCCAATTTCCGCTCATGAGTGTCAGTTATCATTCCACGATAACCCTAAAACGGAAGAACCGGTCTGGCTTACAGTACCAGGTGTTCCCAAGCGGTCCCCCATCTAAGTACTGACCTGGCTCTACGATGCTTAACTTCGGTGATCGAACGAGAACCGGTGTTTTCAGCGTGATTTGACCGTAAGCGAAGACGTTTGCCCCAATTTCCGCTCATGAGTGTCAGTTATCATTCCACGATAACCCTAAAACGGAAGAACCGGTCTGGCTTACAGTACCAGGTGTTCCCAAGCGGTCCCCATCTAAGTACTGACCTGGCTCTACGATGCTTAACTTCGGTGATCGAACGAGAACCGGTGTTTTCAGCGTGATTTGACCGTAAGCGAAGACGTTTGCCCCAATTTCCGCTCATGAGTGTCAGTTATCATTCCACGATAACCCTAAAACGGAAGAACCGGTCTGGCTTACAGTACCAGGTGTTCCCAAGCGGTCCCCCATCTAAGTACTGACCTGGCTCTACGATGCTTAACTTCGGTGATCGAACGAGAACCGGTGTTTTCAGCGTGATTTGACCGTAAGCGAAGACGTTTGCCAATTTCCGCTCATGAGTGTCAGTTATCATTCCACGATAACCCTAAAACGGAAGAACCGGTCTGGCTTACAGTACCAGGTGTTCCCAAGCGGTCCCCATCTAAGTACTGACCTGGCTCTACGATGCTTAACTTCGGTGATCGAACGAGAACCGGTGTTTTCAACGTGATTTGACCGTAAGCGAAGACGTTTGCCCCAATTTCCGCTCATGAGTGTCAGTTATCATTCCACGATAACCCTAAAACGGAAGAACCGGTCTGGCTTACAGTACCAGGTGTTCCCAAGCGGTCCCCATCTAAGTACTGACCTGGCTCTACGATGCTTAACTTCGGTGATCGAACGAGAACCGGTGTTTTCAGCGTGATTTGACCGTAAGCGAAGACGTTTGCCCCAATTTCCGCTCATGAGTGTCAGTTATCATTCCACGATAACCCTAAAACGGAAGAACCGGTCTGGCTTACAGTACCAGGTGTTCCCAAGCGGTCCCCCATCTAAGCGGTCCCCCATCTAAGTACTGACCTGGCTCTACGATGCTTAACTTCGGTGATCGAACGAGAACCGGTGTTTTCAGCGTGATTTGACCGTAAGCGAAGACGTTTGCCCCAATTTCCGCTCATGAGTGTCAGTTATCATTCCACGATAACCCTAAAACGGAAGAACCGGTCTGGCTTACAGTACCAGGTGTTCCCAAGCGGTCCCCCATCTAAGTACTGACCTGGCTCTACGATGCTTAACTTCGGTGATCGAACGAGAACCGGTGTTTTCAGCGTGATTTGACCGTAAGCGAAGACGTTTGCCCCAATTTCCGCTCATGAGTGTCAGTTATCATTCCACGATAACCCTAAAACGGAAGAACCGGTCTGGCTTACAGTACCAGGTGTTCCCAAGCGGTCCCCATCTAAGTACTGACCTGGCCTGGCTCTACGATGCTTAACTTCGGTGATCGAACGAGAACCGGTGTTTTCAGCGTGATTTGACCGTAAGCGAAAACGTTTGCCCCAATTTCCGCTCATGAGTGTCAGTTATCATTCCACGATAATCCTAAAACGGAAGAACCGCTCTGGCTTACAGTACCAGGTGTTCCCAAGCGGTCCCCCATCTAAGTAATGACCTTGCCCTACGATGCTTAATTTCGGTGATCGAACGAGAACCGGAGTTGTCAGCGTGATTTGACCGTAAGCGAAGACGTTTGCCCCAATTTCCGCTCATGAGTGTCAGTTATCATTCCACGATAACCCTAAAACGGAAGAACCGGTCTGGCTTACAGTACCAGGTGTTCCCAAGCGGTCCCCCATCTAAGTACTGACCTGGCTCTACGATGCTTAACTTCGGTGATCGAACGAGAACCGGTGTTTTCAGCGTGATTTGACCGTAAGCGAAGACGTTTGCCCCAATTTCCGCTCATGAGTGTCAGTTATCATTCCACGATAACCCTAAAACGGAAGAACCGGTCTGGATTACAGTACCAGGTGTTCCCAAGCGGTCCCCCATCTAAGTACTGACCTGGCTCTACGATGCTTAACTTCGGTGATCGAACGAGAACCGGTGTTTTCAGCGTGATTTGACCGTAAGCGAAGACGTTTGCCCCAATTTCCGCTCATGAGTGTCAGTTATCATTCCACGATAACCCTAAAACGGAAGAACCGGTCTGGCTTACAGTACCAGGTGTTCCCAAGCGGTCCCCCATCTAAGTACTGACCTGGCTCTACGATGCTTAACTTCGGTGATCGAACGAGAACCGGTGTTTTCAGCGTGATTTGACCGTAAGCGAAGACGTTTGCCCAATTTCCGCTCATGAGTGTCAGTTATCATTCCACGATAACACTAAAACGGAAGAACCGGTCTGGCTTACAGTACCAGGTGTTCCCAAGCGGTCCCCATCTAAGTACTGACCTGGCTCTACGATGCTTAACTTCGGTGATCGAACGAGAACCGGTGTTTTCAGCGTGATTTGACCGTAAGCGAAGACGTTTGCCCCAATTTCCGCTCATGAGTGTCAGTTATCATTCCACGATAACCCTAAAACGGAAGAACCGGTCTGGCTTACAGTACCAGGTGTTCCCAAGCGGTCCCCATCTAAGTACTGACCTGGCTCTACGATGCTTAACTTCGGTGATCGAACGAGAACCGGTGTTTTCAGCGTGATTTGACCGTAAGCGAAGACGTTTGCCCCAATTTCCGCTCATGAGTGTCAGTTATCATTCCACGATAACCCTAAAACGGAAGAACCGGTCTGGCTTACAGTACCAGGTGTTCCCAAGCGGTCCCCCATCTAAGTACTGACCTGGCTCTACGATGCTTAACTTCGGTGATCGAACGAGAACCGGTGTTTTCAGCGTGATTTGACCGTAAGCGAAGACGTTTGCCCCAATTTCCGCTCATGAGTGTCAGTTATCATTCCACGATAACCCTAAAACGGAAGAACCGGTCTGGCTTACAGTACCAGGTGTTCCCAAGCGGTCCCCCATCTAAGTACTGACCTGGCTCTACGATGCTTAACTTCGGTGATCGAACGAGAACCGGTGTTTTCAGCGTGATTTGACCGTAAGCGAAGACGTTTGCCCCAATTTCCGCTCATGAGTGTCAGTTATCATTCCACGATAACCCTAAAACGGAAGAACCGGTCTGGCTTACAGTACCAGGTGTTCCCAAGCGGTCCCCATCTAAGTACTGACCTGGCTCTACGATGCTTAACTTCGGTGATCGAACGAGAACCGGTGTTTTCAGCGTGATTTGACCGTAAGCGAAGACGTTTGCCCCAATTTCCGCTCATGAGTGTCAGTTATCATTCCACGATAACCCTAAAACGGAAGAACCGGTCTGGCTTACAGTACCAGGTGTTCCCAAGCGGTCCCCATCTAAGTACTGACCTGGCTCTACGATGCTTAACTTCGGTGATCGAACGAGAACCGGTGTTTTCAGCGTGATTTGACCGTAAGCGAAGACGTTTGCCCCAATTTCCGCTCATGAGTGTCAGTTATCATTCCACGATAACCCTAAAACGGAAGAACCGGTCTGGCTTACAGTACCAGGTGTTCCCAAGCGGTCCCCATCTAAGTACTGACCTGGCTCTACGATGCTTAACTTCGGTGATCGAACGAGAACCGGTGTTTTCAGCGTGATTTGACCGTAAGCGAAGACGTTTGCCCCAATTTCCGCTCATGAGTGTCAGTTATCATTCCACGATAACCCTAAAACGGAAGAACCGGTCTGGCTTACAGTACCAGGTGTTCCCAAGCGGTCCCCATCTAAGTACTGACCTGGCTCTACGATGCTTAACTTCGGTGATCGAACGAGAACCGGTGTTTTCAGCGTGATTTGACCGTAAGCGAAGACGTTTGCCCCAATTTCCGCTCATGAGTGTCAGTTATCATTCCACGATAACCCTAAAACGGAAGAACCGGTCTGGCTTACAGTACCAGGTGTTCCCAAGCGGTCCCCCATCTAAGTACTGACCTGGCTCTACGATGCTTAACTTCGGTGATCGAACGAGAACCGGTGTTTTCAGCGTGATTTGACCGTAAGCGAAGACGTTTGCCCCAATTTCCGCTCATGAGTGTCAGTTATCATTCCACGATAACCCTAAAACGGAAGAACCGGTCTGGCTTACAGTACCAGGTGTTCCCAAGCGGTCCCCATCTAAGTACTGACCTGGCTCTACGATGCTTAACTTCGGTGATCGAACGAGAACCGGTGTTTTCAGCGTGATTTGACCGTAAGCGAAGACGTTTGCCCCAATTTCCGCTCATGAGTGTCAGTTATCATTCCACGATAACCCTAAAACGGAAGAACCGGTCTGGCTTACAGTACCAGGTGTTCCCAAGCGGTCCCCCATCTAAGTACTGACCTGGCTCTACGATGCTTAACTTCGGTGATCGAACGAGAACCGGTGTTTTCAGCGTGATTTGACCGTAAGCGAAGACGTTTGCCCCAATTTCCGCTCATGAGTGTCAGTTATCATTCCACGATAACCCTAAAACGGAAGAACCGGTCTGGCTTACAGTACCAGGTGTTCCCAAGCGGTCCCCATCACTGACCTGGTCCCCCTTAACTTCGGTGATCTGCTAACGAGAACCGGTGTTTTCGAACGAGAACCGGTGTTTTCAACGTGATTTGACCGTAAGCGAAGACGTTTGCCCCAATTTCCGCTCATGAGTGTCAGTTATCATTCCACGATAACCCTAAAACGGAAGAACCGGTCTGGCTTACAGTACCAGGTGTTCCCAAGCGGTCCCCCATCTAAGTACTGACCTGGCTCTACGATGCTTAACTTCGGTGATCGAACGAGAACCGGTGTTTTCAGCGTGATTTGACCGTAAGCGAAGACGTTTGCCCCAATTTCCGCTCATGAGTGTCAGTTATCATTCCACGATAACCCTAAAACGGAAGAACCGGTCTGGCTTACAGTACCAGGTGTTCCCAAGCGGTCCCCCATCTAAGTACTGACCTGGCTCTACGATGCTTAACTTCGGTGATCGAACGAGAACCGGTGTTTTCAGCGTGATTTGACCGTAAGCGAAGACGTTTGCCCCAATTTCCGCTCATGAGTGTCAGTTATCATTCCACGATAACCCTAAAACGGAAGAACCGGTCTGGCTTACAGTACCAGGTGTTCCCAAGCGGTCCCCCATCTAAGTACTGACCTGGCTCTACGATGCTTAACTTCGGTGATCGAACGAGAACCGGTGTTTTCAGCGTGATTTGACCGTAAGCGAAGACGTTTGCCCCAATTTCCGCTCATGAGTGTCAGTTATCATTCCACGATAACCCTAAAACGGAAGAACCGGTCTGGCTTACAGTACCAGGTGTTCCCAAGCGGTCCCCATCTAAGTACTGACCTGGCTCTACGATGCTTAACTTCGGTGATCGAACGAGAACCGGTGTTTTCAGCGTGATTTGACCGTAAGCGAAGACGTTTGCCCCAATTTCCGCTCATGAGTGTCAGTTATCATTCCACGATAACCCTAAAACGGAAGAACCGGTCTGGCTTACAGTACCAGGTGTTCCCAAGCGGTCCCCCATCTAAGTACTGACCTGGATCTACGATGCTTGACTTCGGTGATCGAACGAGAACCGGTGTTTTCAGCGTGATTTGACCGTAAGCGAAGACGTTTGCCCCAATTTCCGCTATTGAGTGTCAGTTATCATTCCACGATAAACCTAAAACGGAAGAACCGGTCTGGCTTACAGTACCAGGTGTTCCAAGCGGTCCCCCATCTAACTACTGACCTGGCTCTACGATGCTTAACTTCGGTGATCGAACGAGAACCGGTGTTTTCAGCGTGATTTGACCGTAAGCGAAGACGTTTGCCCCAATTTCCGCTCATGAGTGTCAGTTATCATTCCACGATAACCCTAAAACGGAAGAACCGGTCTGGCTTACAGTACCAGGTGTTCCCAAGCGGTCCCCCATCTAAGTACTGACCTGGCTCTACGATGCTTAACTTCGGTGATCGAACGAGAACCGGTGTTTTCAGCGTGATTTGACCGTAAGCGAAGACGTTTGCCCCAATTTCCGCTCATGAGTGTCAGTTATCATTCCACGATAACCCTAAAACGGAAGAACCGGTCTGGCTTACAGTACCAGGTGTTCCCAAGCGGTCCCCCATCTAAGTACTGACCTGGCTCTACGATGCTTAACTTCGGTGATCGAACGAGAACCGAGCGTGATTTGACCCGAAGACGTTTTTCATGCGTGATTTCACCGATAACCCTAAAACGGAAGAACCGGTTTACAGTACCAGGTTTCCGCGGTCCCCCATCTAAGTACTGACCTGGCTGTACGATGCTTAATCGGTGATCGAACGATAACCGGTGTTTTCCGTGAAAACGGAAGAATTTCCGGTCTGGTTATCATTCCACGATAACCCTAAAACGGAAGAACCGGTCTCCAGTACCAGGTGTTCCCAAGCGGTCCCCCATCTAAGTACTGACCTGGCTCTACGATGCTTAACTTCGGTGATCGAACGAGAACCGGTGTTTTCAGCGTGATTTGACCGTAAGCGAAGACGTTTGCCCCAATTTCCGCTCATGAGTGTCAGTTATCATTACACGATAACCCTAACACGGAAGAACCGGTCTGGCTTACAGTACCAGGTGTTCCCAAGCGGTCCCCCATCTAAAAGTACTGACCTGGCTCTACGATGCTTAACTTCGGTGATCGAACGAGAACCGGTGTTTTCAGCGTGATTTGACCGTAAGCGAAGACGTTTGCCCCAATTTCCGCTCATGAGTGTCAGTTATCATTCCACGATAACCCTAAAACGGAAGAACCGGTCTGGCTTACAGTACCAGGTGTTCCCAAGCGGTCCCCCATCTAAGTACTGACCTGGCTCTACGATGCTTAACTTCGGTGATCGAACGAGAACCGGTGTTTTCAGCGTGATTTGACCGTAAGCGAAGACGTTTGCCCCAATTTCCGCTCATGAGTGTCAGTTATCATTCCACGATAACCCTAAAACGGAAGAACCGGTCTGGCTTACAGTACCAGGTGTTCCCAAGCGGTCCCCCATCTAAGTACTGACCTGGCTCTACGATGCTTAACTTCGGTGATCGAACGAGAACCGGTGTTTTCAGCGTGATTTGACCGTAAGCGAAGACGTTTGCCCCAATTTCCGCTCATGAGTGTCAGTTATCATTCCACGATAACCCTAAAACGGAAGAACCGGTCTGGCTTACAGTACCAGGTGTTCCCAAGCGGTCCCCCATCTAAGTACTGACCTGGCTCTACGATGCTTAACTTCGGTGATCGAACGAGAACCGGTGTTTTCAGCGTGATTTGACCGTAAGCGAAGACGTTTGCCCCAATTTCCGCTCATGAGTGTCAGTTATCATTCCACGATAACCCTAAAACGGAAGAACCGGTCTGGCTTACAGTACCAGGTGTTCCCAAGCGGTCCCCCATCTAAGTACTGACCTGGCTCTACGATGCTTAACTTCGGTGATCGAACGAGAACCGGTGTTTTCAGCGTGATTTGACCGGCGAAGACGTTTGCCCCAATTTCCGCTCATGAGTGTCAGTTATCATTCCACGATAACCCTAAAACGGAAGAACCGGTGCTTACAGTACCAGGTGTTCCCAAGCGTCCCCCATCTAAGTACTGACCTGGCTCTACGATGCTTAACTTCGGTGATCGAACGAGAACCGGTGTTTTCAGCGTGATTTGACCGTAAGCGAAGACGTTTGCCCCAATTTCCGCTCATGAGTGTCAGTTATCATTCCACGATAACCCTAAAACGGAAGAACCGGTCTGGCTTACAGTACCAGGTGTTCCCAAGCGGTCCCCCATCTAAGTACTGACCTGGCTCTACGATGCTTAACTTCGGTGATCGAACGAGAACCGGTGTTTTCAGCGTGATTTGACCGTAAGCGAAGACGTTTGCCCCAATTTCCGCTCATGAGTGTCAGTTATCATTCCACGATAACCCTAAAACGGAAGAACCGGTCTGGCTTACAGTACCAGGTGTTCCCAAGCGGTCCCCCATCTAAGTACTGACCTGGCTCTACGATGCTTAACTTCGGTGATCGAACGAGAACCGGTGTTTTCAGCGTGATTTGACCGTAAGCGAAGACGTTTGCCCCAATTTCCGCTCATGAGTGTCAGTTATCATTCCACGATAACCCTAAAACGGAAGAACCGGTCTGGCTTACAGTACCAGGTGTTCCCAAGCGGTCCCCATCTAAGTACTGACCTGGCTCTACGATGCTTAACTTCGGTGATCGAACGAGAACCGGTGTTTTCAGCGTGATTTGACCGTAAGCGAAGACGTTTGCCCCAATTTCCGCTCATGAGTGTCAGTTATCATTCCACGATAACCCTAAAACGGAAGAACCGGTCTGGCTTACAGTACCAGGTGTTCCCAAGCGGTCCCCATCTAAGTACTGACCTGGCTCTACGATGCTTAACTTCGGTGATCGAACGAGAACCGGTGTTTTCAGCGTGATTTGACCGTAAGCGAAGACGTTTGCCCCAATTTCCGCTCATGAGTGTCAGTTATCATTCCACGATAACCCTAAACGGAAGAACCGGTCTGGCTTAGTACCAGGTGTTCCCAAGCGGTCCCCATCTAAGTACTGACCTGGCTCTACGAAACGGTGGAACGAGAACCGGTGGTGATTTGACCGTAAGCGAAGACGTTTGCCCCAAGAGTTATCATTTGACCATAAAACGGAAGAACCGGTCTGGCCCCATACCAGGTGTTCCCAAGCGGTCCCCCATCTAAGTACTGACCTGGCTCTACGATGCTTAACTTCGGTGATCGAACGAGAACCGGTGTTTTCAGCGTGATTTGACCATAAGCGAAGACGTTTGCCCCAATTTCCGCTCATGAGTGTCAGTTATCATTCCACGATAACCCTAAAACGGAAGAACCGCTCTGGCTTACAGTACCAGGTGTTCCCAAGCGGTCCCCCATCTAAGTACTGACCTGGCTCTACGATGCTTAACTTCGGTGATCGAACGAGAACCGGTGTTTTCAGCGTGATTTGACCGTAAGCGAAGACGTTTGCCCCAATTTCCGCTCATGAGTGTCAGTTATCATTCCACGATAACCCTAAAACGGAAGAACCGGTCTGGCTTACAGTACCAGGTGTTCCCAAGCGGTCCCCATCTAAGTACTGACCTGGCTCTACGATGCTTAACTTCGGTGATCGAACGAGAACCGGTGTTTTCAGCGTGATTTGACCGTAAGCGAAGACGTTTGCCCCAATTTCCGCTCATGAGTGTCAGTTATCATTCCACGATAACCCTAAAACGGAAGAACCGGTCTGGCTTACAGTACCAGGTGTTCCCAAGCGGTCCCCCATCTAAACTGACCTGGCTCTACGATGCTTAACTTCGGTGATTCGGTGATCGAACGAGAACCGGTGTTTTCAGCGTGATTTGACCGTAAGCGAAGACGTTTGCTCATGAGTGTCAGTTATCATTCCACGATAACCCTAAAACGGAAGAACCGGTCTGGCTTACAGTACCAGGTGTTCCCAAGCGGTCCCCCATCTAAGTACTGACCTGGCTCTACGAGAACCGGTGTTTTCAACTTCGGTGATCGAACGAGAACCGGTGTTTTCAGCGTGATTTGACCGTAAGCGAAGACGTTTGCCCCAATTTCCGCTCATGAGTGTCAGTTATCATTCCACGATAACCCTAAAACGGAAGAACCGGTCTGGCTTACAGTACCAGGTGTTCCCAAGCGGTCCCCCATCTAAGTACTGACCTGGCTCTACGATGCTTAACTTCGGTGATCGAACGAGAACCGGTGTTTTCAGCGTGATTTGACCGTAAGCGAAGACGTTTGCCCCAATTTCCGCTCATGAGTGTCAGTTATCATTCCACGATAACCCTAAAACGGAAGAACCGGTCTGGCTTACAGTACCAGGTGTTCCCAAGCGGTCCCCATCTAAGTACTGACCTGGCTCTACGATGCTTAACTTCGGTGATCGAACGAGAACCGGTGTTTTCAGCGTGATTTGACCGTAAGCGAAGACGTTTGCCCCAATTTCCGCTCATGAGTGTCAGTTATCATTCCACGATAACCCTAAAACGGAAGAACCGGTCTGGCTTACAGTACCAGGTGTTCCCAAGCGGTCCCCCATCTAAGTACTGACTGACCTGGCTCTACGATGCTTAACTTCGGTGATCGAACGAGAACCGGTGTTTTCAGCGTGATTTGACCGTAAGCGAAGACGTTTGCCCCAATTTCCGCTCATGAGTGTCAGTTATCATTCCACGATAACCCTAAAACGGAAGAACCGGTCTGGCTTACAGTACCAGGTGTTCCCAAGCGGTCCCCCATCTAAGTACTGACCTGGCTCTACGATGCTTAACTTCGGTGATCGAACGAGAACCGGTGTTTTTCAGCGTGATTTGACCGTAAAGCGAAGACGTTTGCCCCAATTTCCGCTCATGAGTGTCAGTTATCATTCCACGATAACCCTAAAACGGAAGAACCGGTCTGGCTTACAGTACCAGGTGTTCCCAAGCGGTCCCCCATCTAAGTACTGACCTGGCTCTACGATGCTTAACTTCGGTGATCGAACGAGAACCGGTGTTTTCAGCGTGATTTGACCGTAAGCGAAGACGTTTGCCCCAATTTCCGCTCATGAGTGTCAGTTATCATTCCACGATAACCCTAAAACGGAAGAACCGGTCTGGCTTACAGTACCAGGTGTTCCCAAGCGGTCCCCCATCTAAGTACTGACCTGGCTCTACGATGCTTAACTTCGGTGATCGAACGAGAACCGGTGTTTTCAGCGTGATTTGACCGTAAGCGAAGACGTTTGCCCCAATTTCCGCTCATGAGTGTCAGTTATCATTCCACGATAACCCTAAAACGGAAGAACCGGTCAGGCTTACAGTACCAGGTGTTCCCAAGCGGTCCCCCATCTAAGTACTGACCTGGCTCTACGATGGCTTAACTTCGGTGTTCGAACGAGAACCGGTGTTTTCAGCGTGATTTGACCGTAAGCGAAGACGTTTGCCCCAATTTCCGCTCATGAGTGTCAGTTATCATTCCACGATAACCCTAAAACGGAAGAACCGGTCTGGCTTACAGTACCAGGTGTTCCCAAGCGGTCCCCCATCTAAGTACTGACCTGGCTCTACGATGCTTAACTTCGGTGATCGAACGAGAACCGGTGTTTTCAGCGTGATTTGACCGTAAGCGAAGACGTTTGCCCCAATTTCCGCTCATGAGTGTCAGTTATCATTCCACGATAACCCTAAAACGGAAGAACCGGTCTGGCTTACAGTACCAGGTGTTCCCAAGCGGTCCCCCATCTAAGTACTGACCTGGCTCTACGATGCTTAACTTCGGTGATCGAACGAGAACCGGTGTTTTCAGCGTGATTTGACCGTAAGCGAAGACGTTTGCCCCAATTTCCGCTCATGAGTGTCAGTTATCATTCCACGATAACCCTAAAACGGAAGAACCGGTCTGGCTTACAGTACCAGGTGTTCCCAAGCGGTCCCCCATCTAAGTACTGACCTGGCTCTACGATGCTTAACTTCGGTGATCGAACGAGAACCGGTGTTTTCAGCGTGATTTGACCGTAAGCGAAGACGTTTGCCCCAATTTCCGCTCATGAGTGTCAGTTATCATTCCACGATAACCCTAAAACGGAAGAACCGGTCTGGCTTACAGTACCAGGTGTTCCCAAGCGGTCCCCATCTAAGTACTGACCTGGCTCTACGATGCTTAACTTCGGTGATCGAACGAGAACCGGTGTTTTCAGCGTGATTTGACCGTAAGCGAAGACGTTTGCCCCAATTTCCGCTCATGAGTGTCAGTTATCATTCCACGATAACCCTAAAACGGAAGAACCGGTCTGGCTTACAGTACCAGGTGTTCCCAAGCGGTCCCCCATCTAAGTACTGACCTGGCTCTACGATGCTTAACTTCGGTGATCGAACGAGAACCGGTGTTTTCAGCGTGATTTGACCGTAAGCGAAGACGTTTGCCCCAATTTCCGCTCATGAGTGTCAGTTATCATTCCACGATAACCCTAAAACGGAAGAACCGGTCTGGCTTACAGTACCAGGTGTTCCCAAGCGGTCCCCCATCTAAGTACTGACCTGGCTCTACGATGCTTAACTTCGGTGATCGAACGAGAACCGGTGTTTTCAGCGTGATTTGACCGTAAGCGAAGACGTTTGCCCCAATTTCCGCTCATGAGTGTCAGTTATCATTCCACGATAACCCTAAAACGGAAGAACCGGTCTGGCTTACAGTACCAGGTGTTCCCAAGCGGTCCCCCATCTAAGTACTGACCTGGCTCTACGATGCTTAACTTCGGTGATCGAACGAGAACCGGTGTTTTCAGCGTGATTTGACCGTAAGCGAAGACGTTTGCCCCAATTTCCGCTCATGAGTGTCAGTTATCATTCCACGATAACCCTAAAACGGAAGAACCGGTCTGGCTTACAGTACCAGGTGTTCCCAAGCGGTCCCCATCTAAGTACTGACCTGGCTCTCTACGATGCTTAACTTCGGTGATCGAACGAGAACCGGTGTTTTCAGCGTGATTTGACCGTAAGCGAAGACGTTTGCCCCAATTTCCGCTCATGAGTGTCAGTTATCATTCCACGATAACCCTAAAACGGAAGAACCGGTCTGGCTTACAGTACCAGGTGTTCCCAAGCGGTCCCCCATCTAAGTACTGACCTGGCTCTACGATGCTTAACTTCGGTGATCGAACGAGAACCGGTGTTTTCAGCGTGATTTGACCGTAAGCGAAGACGTTTGCCCCAATTTCCGCTCATGAGTGTCAGTTATCATTCCACGATAACCCTAAAACGGAAGAACCGGTCTGGCTTACAGTACCAGGTGTTCCCAAGCGGTCCCCCATCTAAGTACTGACCTGGCTCTACGATGCTTAACTTCGGTGATCGAACGAGAACCGGTGTTTTCAGCGTGATTTGACCGTAAGCGAAGACGTTTGCCCCAATTTCCGCTCATGAGTGTCAGTTATCATTCCACGATAACCCTAAAACGGAAGAACCGGTCTGGCTTACAGTACCAGGTGTTCCCAAGCGGTCCCCATCTAAGTACTGACCTGGCTCTACGATGCTTAACTTCGGTGATCGAACGAGAACCGGTGTTTTCAGCGTGATTTGACCGTAAGCGAAGACGTTTGCCCCAATTTTTGCCCCAATTTCCGCTCATGAGTGTCAGTTATCATTCCACGATAACCCTAAAACGGAAGAACCGGTCTGGCTTACAGTACCAGGTGTTCCCAAGCGGTCCCCCATCTAAGTACTGACCTGGCTCTACGATGCTTAACTTCGGTGATCGAACGAGAACCGGTGTTTTCAGCGTGATTTGACCGTAAGCGAAGACGTTTGCCCCAATTTCCGCTCATGAGTGTCAGTTATCATTCCACGATAACCCTAAAACGGAAGAACCGGTCTGGCTTACAGTACCAGGTGTTCCCAAGCGGTCCCCCATCTAAGTACTGACCTGGCTCTACGATGCTTAACTTCGGTGATCGAACGAGAACCGGTGTTTTCAACGTGATTTGACCGTAAGCGAAGACGTTTGCCCCAATTTCGCTCATGAGTGTCAGTTATCATTCCACGATAACCCTAAAACGGAAGAACCGGTCTGGCTTACAGTACCAGGTGTTCCCAAGCGGTCCCCCATCTAAGTACTGACCTGGCTCTACGATGCTTAACTTCGGTGATCGAACGAGAACCGGTGTTTTCTCGTGATTTGACCGTAAGCGAAGACGTTTGCCCCAATTTCCGCTCATGAGTGTCAGTTATCATTCCACGATAACCCTAAAACGGAAGAACCGGTCTGGCTTACAGTACCAGGTGTTCCCAAGCGGTCCCCCATCTAAGTACTGACCTGGCTCTACGATGCTTAACTTCGGTGATCGAACGAGAACCGGTGTTTTCAGCGTGATTTGACCGTAAGCGAAGACGTTTGCCCCAATTTCCGCTCATGAGTGTCAGTTATCATTCCACGATAACCCTAAAACGGAAGAACCGGTCTGGCTTACAGTACCAGGTGTTCCCAAGCGGTCCCCATCTAAGTACTGACCTGGCTCTACGATGCGAGAACCGGTGTTTTCGGTGATCGAACGAGAACCGGTGTTTTCAGCGTGATTTGACCGTAAGCGAAGACGTTTGCCCCAATTTCCGCTCATGAGTGTCAGTTATCATTCCACGATAACCCTAAAACGGAAGAACCGGTCTGGCTTACAGTACCAGGTGTTCCCAAGCGGTCCCCCATCTAAGTACTGACCTGGCTCTACGATGCTTAACTTCGGTGATCGAACGAGAACCGGTGTTTTCAGCGTGATTTGACCGTAGCGAAGCGAAGACGTTTGCCCCAATTTCCGCTCATGAGTGTCAGTTATCATTCCACGATAACCCTAAAACGGAAGAACCGGTCTGGCTTACAGTACCAGGTGTTCCCAAGCGGTCCCCCATCTAAGTACTGACCTGGCTCTACGATGCTTAACTTCGGTGATCGAACGAGAACCGGTGTTTTCAGCGTGATTTGACCGTAAGCGAAGACGTTTGCCCCAATTTCCGCTCATGAGTGTCAGTTATCATTCCACGATAACCCTAAAACGGAAGAACCGGTCTGGCTTACAGTACCAGGTGTTCCCAAGCGGTCCCCCATCTAAGTACTGACCTGGCTCTACGATGCTTAACTTCGGTGATCGAACGAGAACCGGTGTTTTCAACGTGATTTGACCGTAAGCGAAGACGTTTGCCCCAATTTCCGCTCATGAGTGTCAGTTATCATTCCACGATAACCCTAAAACGGAAGAACCGGTCTGGCTTACAGTACCAGGTGTTCCCAAGCGGTCCCCCATCTAAGTACTGACCTGGCTCTACGATGCTTAACTTCGGTGATCGAACGAGAACCGGTGTTTTCAGCGTGATTTGACCGTAAGCGAAGACGTTTGCCCCAATTTCCGCTCATGAGTGTCAGTTATCATTCCACGATAACCCTAAAACGGAAGAACCGGTCTGGCTTACAGTACCAGGTGTTCCCAAGCGGTCCCCCATCTAAGTACTGACCTGGCTCTACGATGCTTAACTTCGGTGATCGAACGAGAACCGGTGTTTTCAGCGTGATTTGACCGTAAGCGAAGACGTTTGCCCCAATTTCCGCTCATGAGTGTCAGTTATCATTCCACGATAACCCTAAAACGGAAGAACCGTACAGTACCAGGTGTTCCCAAGCGGTCCCCCATCTAAGTACTGACCTGGCTCTACGATGCTTAACTTCGGTGATCGAACGAGAACCGGTGTTTTCAGCGTGATTTGACCGTAAGCGAAGACGTTTGCCCCAATTTCCGCTCATGAGTGTCAGTTATCATTCCACGATAACCCTAAAACGGAAGAACCGGTCTGGCTTACAGTACCAGGTGTTCCCAAGCGGTCCCCATCTAAGTACTGACCTGGCTCTACGATGCTTAACTTCGGTGATCGAACGAGAACCGGTGTTTTCAGCGTGATTTGACCGTAAGCGAAGACGTTTGCCCCAATTTCCGCTCATGAGTGTCAGTTATCATTCCACGATAACCCTAAAACGGAAGAACCGGTCTGGCTTACAGTACCAGGTGTTCCCAAGCGGTCCCCCATCTAAGTACTGACCTGGCTCTACGATGCTTAACTTCGGTGATCGAACGAGAACCGGTTTTTTCAGCGTGATTTGACCGTAAGCGAAGACGTTTGCCCCAATTTCCGCTCATGAGTGTCAGTTATCATTCCACGATAACCCTAAAACGGAAGAACCGGTCTGGCTTACAGTACCAGGTGTTCCCAAGCGGTCCCCCATCTAAGTACTGACCTGGCTCTACGATGCTTAACTTCGGTGATCGAACGAGAACCGGTGTTTTCAGCGTGATTTGACCGTAAGCGAAGACGTTTGCCCCAATTTCCGCTCATGAGTGTCAGTTATCATTCCACGATAACCCTAAAACGGAAGAACCGGTCTGGCTTACAGTACCAGGTGTTCCCAAGCGGTCCCCATCTAAGTACTGACCTGGCTCTACGATGCTTAACTTCGGTGATCGAACGAGAACCGGTGTTTTCAGCGTGATTTGACCGTAAGCGAAGACGTTTGCCCCAATTTCCGCTCATGAGTGTCAGTTATCATTCCACGATAACCCTAAAACGGAAGAACCGGTCTGGCTTACAGTACCAGGTGTTCCCAAGCGGTCCCCCATCTAAGTACTGACCTGGCTCTACGATGCTTAACTTCGGTGATCGAACGAGAACCGGTGTTTTCAGCGTGATTTGACCGTAAGCGAAGACGTTTGCCCCAATTTCCGCTCATGAGTGTCAGTTATCATTCCACGATAACCCTAAAACGGAAGAACCGGTCTGGCTTACAGTACCAGGTGTCCCCCCAAGCGGTCCCCCATCTAAGTACTGACCTGGCTCTACCGATGCTTAACTTCGGTGATCGAACGAGAACCGGTGTTTTCAGCGTGATTTGACCGTAAGCGAAGACGTTTGCCCCAATTTCCGCTCATGAGTGTCAGTTATCATTCCACGATAACCCTAAAACGGAAGAACCGGTCTGGCTTACAGTACCAGGTGTTCCCAAGCGGTCCCCATCTAAGTACTGACCTGGCTCTACGATGCTTAACTTCGGTGATCGAACGAGAACCGGTGTTTTCAGCGTGATTTGACCGTAAGCGAAGACGTTTGCCCCAATTTCCGCTCGCTGAGTGTCAGTTATCATTCCACGATAACCCTAAAACGGAAGAACCGGTCTGGCTTACAGTACCAGGTGTTCCCAAGCGGTCCCCCATCTAAGTACTGACCTGGCTCTACGATGCTTAACTTCGGTGATCGAACGAGAACCGGTGTTTTCAGCGTGATTTGACCGTAAGCGAAGACGTTTGCCCCAATTTCCGCTCATGAGTGTCAGTTATCATTCCACGATAACCCTAAAACGGAAGAACCGGTCTGGCTTACAGTACCAGGTGTTCCCAAGCGGTCCCCATCTAAGTACTGACCTGGCTCTACGATGCTTAACTTCGGTGATCGAACGAGAACCGGTGTTTTCAGCGTGATTTGACCGTAAGCGAAGACGTTTGCCCCAATTTCCGCTCATGAGTGTCAGTTATCATTCCACGATAACCCTAAAACGGAAGAACCGGTCTGGCTTACAGTACCAGGTGTTCCCAAGCGGTCCCCCATCTAAGTACTGACCTGGCTCTACGATGCTTAACTTCGGTGATCGAACGAGAACCGGTGTTTTCAGCGTGATTTGACCGTAAGCGAAGACGTTTGCCCCAATTTCCGCTCATGAGTGTCAGTTATCATTCCACGATAACCCTAAAACGGAAGAACCGGTCTGGCTTACAGTACCAGGTGTTCCCCAAGCGGTCCCCATCTAAGTACTGACCTGGCTCTACGATGCTTAACTTCGGTGATCGAACGAGAACCGGTGTTTTCAGCGTGATTTGACCGTAAGCGAAGACGTTTGCCCCAATTTCCGCTCATGAGTGTCAGTTATCATTCCACGATAACCCTAAAACGGAAGAACCGGTCTGGCTTACAGTACCAGGTGTTCCCAAGCGGTCCCCATCTAAGTACTGACCTGGCTCTACGATGCTTAACTTCGGTGATCGAACGAGAACCGGTGTTTTCAGCGTGATTTGACCGTAAGCGAAGACGTTTGCCCCAATTTCCGCTCATGAGTGTCAGTTATCATTCCACGATAACCCTAAAACGGAAGAACCGGTCTGGCTTACAGTACCAGGTGTTCCCAAGCGGTCCCCCATCTAAGTACTGACCTGGCTCTACGATGCTTAACTTCGGTGATCGAACGAGAACCGGTGTTTTCAGCGTGATTTGACCGTAAACGAAGACGTTTGCCCCAATTTCCGCCCCAAGTGTCAGTTATCATTCACGACGATAACCCTAAAACGGAAGAACCGGTCTGGCTTACAGTACCAGGTGTTCCCAAGCGGTCCCCATCTAAGTACTGACCTGGCTCTACGATGCTTAACTTCGGTGATCGAACGAGAACCGGTGTTTTCATGCGTGATTTGACCGTAAGCGAAGACGTTTGCCCCAATTTCCGCTCATGAGTGTCAGTTATCATTCCACGATAACCCTAAAACGGAAGAACCGGTCTGGCTTACAGTACCAGGTGTTCCCAAGCGGTCCCCATCTAAGTACTGACCTGGCTCTACGATGCTTAACTTCGGTGATCTAACGAGAACCGGTGTTTTCAGCGTGATTTGACCGTAAGCGAAGACGTTTGCCCCAATTTCCGCTCATGAGTGTCAGTTATCATTCCACGATAACCCTAAAACGGAAGAACCGGTCTGGCTTACAGTACCAGGTGTTCCCAAGCGGTCCCCCATCTAAGTACTGACCTGGCTCTACGATGCTTAACTTCGGTGATCGAACGAGAACCGGTGGTGATTTGTAAGCGAAGACGTTTGGTGCTTTTTCAGCGTGATTTGACGAAGACGTTTGATTTCCACGATAACCCTAAAACGGAAGACGTTTGCCAGTACAATTTCCGCTCATGAGTGTCGATGTTATCATTCCACGATAACCCTAAAACGGAAGAACCGGTCTGGTTTTACAGTACCAAGCGGTCCCCATCTAAGTACTGACCTGGCTCTACGATGCTTAACTTCGGTGATCGAACGAGAACCGGTGTTTTCAGCGTGATTTGACCGTAAGCGAAGACGTTTGCCCCAATTTCCGCTCATGAGTGTCAGTTATCATTCCACGATAACCCTAAAACGGAAGAACCGGTCTGGCTTACAGTACCAGGTGTTCCCAAGCGGTCCCCCATCTAAGTACTGACCTGGCTCTACGATGCTTAACTTCGGTGATCGAACGAGAACCGGTGTTTTCAGCGTGATTTGACCGTAAGCGAAGACGTTTGCCCCAATTTCCGCTCATGAGTGTCAGTTATCATTCCACGATAACCCTAAAACGGAAGAACCGGTCTGGCTTACAGTACCAGGTGTTCCCAAGCGGTCCCCCATCTAAGTACTGACCTGGCTCTACGATGCTTAACTTCGGTGATCGAACGAGAACCGGTGTTTTCAGCGTGATTTGACCGTAAGCGAAGACGTTTGCCCCAATTTCCGCTCATGAGTGTCAGTTATCATTCCACGATAACCCTAAAACGGAAGAACCGGTCTGGCTTACAGTACCAGGTGTTCCCAAGCGGTCCCCCATCTAAGTACTGACCTGGCTCTACGATGCTTAACTTCGGTGATCGAACGAGAACCGGTGTTTTCAACGTGATTTGACCGTCGAAAGAACCGGTGAAGACGTAAGCGCCCCAATTTCCGCTCATGAGTGTCAGTTATCATTCCACGATAACCCTAAAACGGAAGAACCGGTCTGGCTTACAGTACCAGGTGTTCCCAAGCGGTCCCCCATCTAAGTACTGACCTGGCTCTACGATGCTTAACTTCGGTGATCGAACGAGAACCGGTGTTTTCAGCGTGATTTGACCGTAAGCGAAGACGTTTGCCCCAATTTCCGCTCATGAGTGTCAGTTATCATTCCACGATAACCCTAAAACGGAAGAACCGGTCTGGCTTACAGTACCAGGTGTTCCCAAGCGGTCCCCCATCTAAGTACTGACCTGGCTCTACGATGCTTAACTTCGGTGATCGAACGAGAACCGGTGTTTTCAGTGTGATTTGACCGTAAGCGAAGACGTTTGCCCCAATTTCCGCTCATGAGTGTCAGTTATCATTCCACGATAACCCTAAAACGGAAGAACCGGTCTGGCTTACAGTACCAGGTGTTCCCAAGCGGTCCCCCATCTAAGTACTGACCTGGCTCTACGATGCTTAACTTCGGTGATCGAACGAGAACCGGTGTTTTCAGCGTGATTTGACCGTAAGCGAAGACGTTTGCCCCAATTTCCGCTCATGAGTGTCAGTTATCATTCCACGATAACCCTAAAACGGAAGAACCGGTCTGGCTTACAGTACCAGGTGTTCCCAAGCGGTCCCCATCTAAGTACTGACCTGACCTGGCTCTACGATGCTTAACTTCGGTGATCGAACGAGAACCGGTGTTTTCAAGCGTGATTTGACCGTAAGCGAAGACGTTTGCCCCAATTTCCGCTCATGAGTGTCAGTTATCATTCCACGATAACCCTAAAACGGAAGAACCGGTCTGGCTTACAGTACCAGGTGTTCCCAAGCGGTCCCCATCTAAGTACTGACCTGGCTCTACGATGCTTAACTTCGGTGATCGAACGAGAACCGGTGTTTTCAGCGTGATTTGACCGTAAGCGAAGACGTTTGCCCCAATTTCCGCTCATGAGTGTCAGTTATCATTCCACGATAACCCTAAAACGGAAGAACCGGTCTGGCTTACAGTACCAGGTGTTCCCAAGCGGTCCCCCATCTAAGTACTGACCTGGCTCTACGATGCTTAACTTCGGTGATCGAACGAGAACCGGTGTTTTCAACGTGATTTGACCGTAAGCGAAGACGTTTGCCCCAATTTCCGCTCATGAGTGTCAGTTATCATTCCACGATAACCCTAAAACGGAAGAACCGGTCTGGCTTACAGTACCAGGTGTTCCCAAGCGGTCCCCATCTAAGTACTGACCTGGCTCTACGATGCTTAACTTCGGTGATCGAACGAGAACCGGTGTTTTCAGCGTGATTTGACCGTAAGCGAAGACGTTTGCCCCAATTTCCGCTCATGAGTGTCAGTTATCATTCCACGATAACCCTAAAACGGAAGAACCGGTCTGGCTTACAGTACCAGGTGTTCCCAAGCGGTCCCCATCTAAGTACTGACCTGGCTCTACGATGCTTAACTTCGGTGATCGAACGAGAACCGGTGTTTTCAGCGTGATTTGACCGTAAGCGAAGACGTTTGCCCCAATTTCCGCTCATGAGTGTCAGTTATCATTCCACGATAACCCTAAAACGGAAGAACCGGTCTGGCTTACAGTACCAGGTGTTCCCAAGCGGTCCCCCATCTAAGTACTGACCTGGCTCTACGATGCTTAACTTCGGTGATCGAACGAGAACCGGTGTTTTCAGCGTGATTTGACCGTAAGCGAAGACGTTTGCCCCAATTTCCGCTCATGAGTGTCAGTTATCATTCCACGATAACCCTAAAACGGAAGAACCGGTCTGGCTTACAGTACCAGGTGTTCCCAAGCGGTCCCCCATCTAAGTGACCTGACCTGGCTCTACGATGCTTAACTTCGGTGATCGAACGAGAACCGGTGTTTTCAAGGTCCCCATCGTGATTTGACCGTAAGCGAAGACGTTTGACCCCGAAATTTCCGCTCATGAGTGTCAGTTATCATTCCACGATAACCCTAAAACGGAAGAACCGGTCTGGCTTACAGTACCAGGTGTTCCCAAGCGGTCCCCCATCTAAGTACTGACCTGGCTCTGGCTGATCGAACGATGATTTGACCGTAAGCGAAGACGTTTGCCCTTCGGTGATCGAACGAGAACCGGTGTTTTCAGCGTGATTTGACCGTAAGCGAAGACGTTTGACCCCCAATTTCCGCTCATGAGTGTCAGTTATCATTCCACGATAACCCTAAAACGGAAGAACCGGTCTGGCTTACAGTACCAGGTGTTCCCAAGCGGTCCCCATCTAAGTACTGACCTGGCTCTACGATGCTTAACTTCGGTGATCGAACGAGAACCGGTGTTTTCAGCGTGATTTGACCGTAAGCGAAGACGTTTGCCCCAATTTCCGCTCATGAGTGTCAGTTATCATTCCACGATAACCCTAAAACGGAAGAACCGGTCTGGCTTACAGTACCAGGTGTTCCCAAGCGGTCCCCCATCTAAGTACTGACCTGGCTCTACGATGCTTAACTTCGGTGATCGAACGAGAACCGGTGTTTTCAGCGTGATTTGACCGTAAGCGAAGACGTTTGCCCCAATTTCCGCTCATGAGTGTCAGTTATCATTCCACGATAACCCTAAAACGGAAGAACCGGTCTGGCTTACAGTACCAGGTGTTCCCAAGCGGTCCCCCATCTAAGTACTGACCTGGCTCTACGATGCTTAACTTCGGTGATCGAACGAGAACCGGTGTTTTCAGCGTGATTTGACCGTAAGCGAAGACGTTTGCCCCAATTTCCGCTCATGAGTGTCAGTTATCATTCCACGATAACCCTAAAACGGAAGAACCGGTCTGGCTTACAGTACCAGGTGTTCCCAAGCGGTCCCCCATCTAAGTACTGACCTGGCTCTACGATGCTTAACTTCGGTGATCGAACGAGAACCGGTGTTTTCAGCGTGATTTGACCGTAAGCGAAGACGTTTGCCCCAATTTCCGCTCATGAGTGTCAGTTATCATTCCACGATAACCCTAAAACGGAAGAACCGGTCTGGCTTACAGTACCAGGTGTTCCCAAGCGGTCCCCCATCTAAGTACTGACCTGGCTCTACGATGCTTAACTTCGGTGATCGAACGAGAACCGGTGTTTTCAGCGTGATTTGACCGTAAGCGAAGACGTTTGCCCCAATTTCCGCTCATGAGTGTCAGTTATCATTCCACGATAACCCCAAAAACGGAAGAACCGGTCTGGCTTACAGTACCAGGTGTTCCCAAGCGGTCCCCCATCTAAGTACTGACCTGGGTCTACGATGCTTAACTTCGGTGATCGAACGAGAACCGGTGTTTTCAGCGTGATTTGACCGTAAGCGAAGACGTTTGCCCCAATTTCCGCTCAGGAGTGTCAGTTATCATTCCACGATAACCCTAAAACGGAAGAACCGGTCTGGCTTACAGTACCAGGTGTTCCCAAGCGGTCCCCATCTAAGTACTGACCTGGCTCTACGATGCTTAACTTCGGTGATCGAACGAGAACCGGTGTTTTCAGCGTGATTTGACCGTAAGCGAAGACGTTTGCCCCAATTTCCGCTCATGAGTGTCAGTTATCATTCCACGATAACCCTAAAACGGAAGAACCGGTCTGGCTTACAGTACCAGGTGTTCCCAAGCGGTCCCCCCATCTAAGTACTGACCCCCGATGCTTCTTCGGTGATCGAACGAGAACCGGTGTTTTCAGCGTGATTTGACCCTGCGAAGACGTTTGCCCCAATTTCCGCTCACGATGTCAGTTATCATTCCACGATAACCCGGACGAAAACGGTGATCGAACGGTCCCCCATCTAAGAACCTGGCTCTACGATGCTTTTCGGTGATCGAACGAGAACCGGTGTTTTCAGCGTGATTTGACCGTAAGCGAAGACGTTTGCCCCAATTTCCGCTCATGAGTGTCAGTTATCATTCCACGATAACCCTAAAACGGAAGAACCGGTCTGGCTTACAGTACCAGGTGTTCCCAAGCGGTCCCCCATCTAAGCAATGACCTGGCTCTACGATGCTTAACTTTGGTGATCGAACGAGAACCGGTGTTTTCAGCGTGATTCGACCGTAAGCGATGACGTTTGCCCCAATTTCCGCTTTCAGTTATCATTCCACGATAACCCTAAAACGGAAGAACCGGTCTGGCTTAGTACCAGGTGTTCCCAAGCGGTCCCCCATCTAAACTGACCTGGCCTACGATGCTTAACGGAAAGAACCGGTGTTTTCAGCGTGATTTGACCGTAAGCGAAGAGTATTTCCGCTCATGAGTGGTTATCATTCCACGATAACCCTAAAACGGAAGAACCGGTCTGGCTTACAGTACCCCGGTCCCCATCTAAGTACTGACCTGGCTCTACGATGCTTAACTTCGGTGATCGAACGAGAACCGGTGTTTTCAGCGTGATTTGACCGTAAGCGAAGACGTTTGCCCCAATTTCCGCTCATGAGTGTCAGTTATCATTCCACGATAACCCTAAAACGGAAGAACCGGTCTGGCTTACAGTACCAGGTGTTCCCAAGCGGTCCCCATCTAAGTACTGACCTGGCTCTACGATGCTTAACTTCGGTGATCGAACGAGAACCGGTGTTTTCAGCGTGATTTGACCGTAAGCGAAGACGTTTGCCCCAATTTCCGCTCATGAGTGTCAGTTATCATTCCACGATAACCCTAAAACGGAAGAACCGGTCTGGCTTACAGTACCAGGTGATTTCCCAAGCGGTCCCCATCTAAGTACTGACCTGGCTCTACGATGCTTAACTTCGGTGATCGAACGAGAACCGGTGTTTTCAGCGTGATTTGACCGTAAGCGAAGACGTTTGCCCCAATTTCCGCTCATGAGTGTCAGTTATCATTCCACGATAACCCTAAAACGGAAGAACCGGTCTGGCTTACAGTACCAGGTGTTCCCAAGCGGTCCCCCATCTAAGTACTGACCTGGCTCTACGATGCTTAACTTCGGTGATCGAACGAGAACCGGTGTTTTCAGCGTGATTTGACCGTAAGCGAAGACGTTTGCCCCAATTTCCGCTCATGAGTGTCAGTTATCATTCCACGATAACCCTAAAACGGAAGAACCGGTCTGGCTTACAGTACCAGGTGTTCCCAAGCGGTCCCCCATCTAAGTACTGACCTGGCTCTACGATGCTTAACTTCGGTGATCGAACGAGAACCGGTGTTTTCAGCGTGATTTGACCGTAAGCCAAGAGTTTTTCCCCAATTTCCGCTCATGAGTGTCAGTTATCATTCCACGATAACCCTAAAACGGAAGAACCGGTCTGGCTTACAGTACCAGGTGTTCCCAAGCGGTCCCCCATCTAAGTACTGACCTGGCTCTACGATGCTTAACTTCGGTGATCGAACGAGAACCGGTTTTTTCAGCGTGATTTGACCGTAAGCGAAGACGTTTGACCCAATTTCCGCTCATGAGTGTCAGTTATCATTCCACGATAACCCTAAAACGGAAGAACCGGTCTGGCTTACAGTACCAGGTGTTCCCAAGGGTCCCCCATCTAAGTACTGACCTGGCTCTACGATGCTTAACTTCGGTGATCGAACGAGAACCGGTGTTTTCAGCGTGATTTGACCGTAAGCGAAGACGTTTGCCCCAATTTCCGCTCATGAGTGTCAGTTATCATTCCACGATAACCCTAAAACGGAAGAACCGGTCTGGCTTACAGTACCAGGTGTTCCCAAGCGGTCCCCCATCTAATTACTGACCTGGCTCTACGATGCTTAACTTCGGTGATCGAACGAGAACCGGTGTTTTCAGCGTGATTTGACCGTAAGCGAAGACGTTTGCCCCAATTTCCGCTCATGCGGTGTCAGTTATCATTCCACGATAACCCTAAAACGGAAGAACCGGTCTGGCTTACAGTACCAGGTGTTAAGCGGTCCCCATCTAAGTACTGACCTGGCTCTACGATGCTTAACTTCGGTGATCGAACGAGAACCGGTGTTTTCAGCGTGATTTGACCGTAAGCGAAGACGTTTGCCCCAATTTCCGCTCATGAGTGTCAGTTATCATTCCACGATAACCCTAAAACGGAAGAACCGGTCTGGCTTACAGTACCAGGTGTTCCCAAGCGGTCCCCCATCTAAGTACTGACCTGGCTCTACGATGCTTAACTTCGGTGATCGAACGAGAACCGGTGTTTTCAGCGTGATTTGACCGTAAGCGAAGTTTGCCCCACGTTTGCCCCAATTTCCGCTCATGAGTGTCAGTTATCATTCCACGATAACCCTAAAACGGAAGAACCGGTCTGGCTTACAGTACGGAAGAAGGTGTTACAGTACCAGGTGTTTAAGTCCCCATCTAAGTACTGACCTGGCTCTACGATGCTTAACTTCGGTGATCGAACGAGAACCGGTGTTTTCAGCGTGATTTGACCGTAAGCGAAGACGTTTGCCCCAATTTCCGCTCATGAGTGTCAGTTATCATTCCACGATAACCCTAAAACGGAAGAACCGGTCTGGCTTACAGTACCAGGTGTTCCCAAGCGGTCCCCCATCTAAGTACTGACCTGGCTCTACGATGCTTAACTTCGGTGATCGAACGAGAACCGGTGTTTTCAGCGTGATTTGACCGTAAGCGAAGACGTTTGCCCCAATTTCCGCTCATGAGTGTCAGTTATCATTCCACGATAACCCTAAAACGGAAGAACCGGTCTGGCTTACAGTACCAGGTGTTCCCAAGCGGTCCCCCATCTAAGTACTGACCTGGCTCTACGATGCTTAACTTCGGTGATCGAACGAGAACCGGTGTTTTCAGCGTGATTTGACCGTAAGCGAAGACGTTTGCCCCAATTTCCGCTCATGAGTGTCAGTTATCATTCCACGATAACCCTAAAACGGAAGAACCGGTCTGGCTTACAGTACCAGGTGTTCCCAAGCGGTCCCCCATCTAAGTACTGACCTGGCTCTACGATGCTTAACTTCGGTGATCGAACGAGAACCGGTGTTTTCAGCGTGATTTGACCGTAAGCGAAGACGTTTGCCCCAATTTCCGCTCATGAGTGTCAGTTATCATTCCACGATAACCCTAAAACGGAAGAACCGGTCTGGCTTACAGTACCAGGTGTTCCCAAGCGGTCCCCATCTAAGTACTGACCTGGCTCTACGATGCTTAACTTCGGTGATCGAACGAGAACCGGTGTTTTCAGCGTGATTTGACCGTAAGCGAAGACGTTTGCCCCAATTTCCGCTCATGAGTGTCAGTTATCATTCCACGATAACCCTAAAACGGAAGAACCGGTCTTTACAGTACCAGGTGTTCCCAAGCGGTCCCCCATCTTTGACCTGGCTCTACGATGCTTAACTTCGGTGATCGAACGAGAACCGGTGTTTTCGTGATTTGACCGTAAGCGAAGACGTTTGCCCCAATTTCCGCTCATGACGTTATCATTCCACGATAACCCTAAAACGGAAGAACCGGTCTGGCTTACAGTACCAGGTGTTCCCAAGCGGTCCCCATCTAAGTACTGACCTGGCTCTACGATGCTTAACTTCGGTGATCGAACGAGAACCGGTGTTTTCAGCGCGATTTGACCGTAAGCGAAGACGTTTGCCCCGATTTCCGCTCATGAGTGTCAGTTATCATTCCACGATAACCCTAAAACTGAAGAACCGGTCAGGCTTACAGTACCAGGTGTTCCCAAGCGGTCCCCATCTAAGTACTGACCTGGCTCTACGATGCTTAACTTCGGTGATCGAACGAGAACCGGTGTTTTCAGCGTGATTTGACCGTAAGCGAAGACGTTTGCCCCAATTTCAGCTCATGAGTGTCAGTTATCATTCCACGATAACCCTAAAACGGAAGAACCGGTCCGGCTGACAGTACCAGGTGTTCGCAAGCGGTCCCCCATCTAACTACTGACCTGGCTCTACGATGCTTAACCTCGGTGATCGAACGAGAACTGGTGTTTTCAGCGTGATTTGAACGTAAGCGAAGACGTTTGACCCGATTTCCGCTCATGAGTGTCAGTTATCATTCCACGATAACACTAAAACGGAAGAACCGGTCTGGCTTACAGTACCAGGCGTTCCCAAGCGGTCCCCATCTAATCTACTGACCTGGCTCTACGATGCTTAACTTCGGTGATCGAACGAGAACCGGTGTTTTCAACGTGATTTGACCGTAAGCGAAGACGTTTGTCCCCCCAATTTCCGCTCATGAGTGTCAGTTATCATTCCACGATAACCCTAAAACGGAAGAACCGGTCTGGCTTACAGTACCAGGTGTTCCCAAGCGGTCCCCCATCTAAGTACTGACCTGGCTCTACGATGCTTAACTTCGGTGATCGAACGAGAACCGGTGTTTTCAGCGTGATTTGACCGTAAGCGAAGACGTTTGCCCCAATTTCCGCTCATGAGTGTCAGTTATCATTCCACGATAACCCTAAAACGGAAGAACCGGTCTGGCTTACAGTACCAGGTGTTCCCAAGCGGTCCCCCATCTAAGTACTGACCTGGCTCTACGATGCTTAACTTCGGTGATCGAACGAGAACCGGTGTTTTCAGCGTGATTTGACCGTAAGCGAAGACGTTTGCCCCAATTTCCGCTCATGAGTGTCAGTTATCATTCCACGATAACCCTAAAACGGAAGAACCGGTCTGGCTTACAGTACCAGGTGTTCCCAAGCGGTCCCCCATCTAAGTACTGACCTGGCTCTACGATGCTTAACTTCGGTGATCGAACGAGAACCGGTGTTTTCAGCGTGATTTGACCGTAAGCGAAGACGTTTGCCCCAATTTCCGCTCATGAGTGTCAGTTATCATTCCACGATAACCCTAAAACGGAAGAACCGGTCTGGCTTACAGTACCAGGTGTTCCAAAGCGGTCCCCCATCTAAGTACTGACCTGGCTCTACGATGCTTAACTTCGGTGATCGAACGAGAACCGGTGTTTTCAGCGTGATTTGACCGTAAGCGAAGACGTTTGCCCCAATTTCCGCTCATGAGTGTCAGTTATCATTCCACGATAACCCTAAAACGGAAGAACCGGTCTGGCTTACAGTACCAGGTGTTCCCAAGCGGTCCCCCATCTAAGTACTGACCTGGCTCTACGATGCTTAACTTCGGTGATCGAACGAGAACCGGTGTTTTCAGCGTGATTTGACCGTAAGCGAAGACGTTTGCCCCAATTTCCGCTCATGAGTGTCAGTTATCATTCCACGATAACCCTAAAACGGAAGAACCGGTCTGGCTTACAGTACCAGGTGTTCCCAAGCGGTCCCCCATCTAAGTACTGACCTGGCTCTACGATGCTTAACTTCGGTGATCGAACGAGAACCGGTGTTTTCAGCGTGATTTGACCGTAAGCGAAGACGTTTGCCCCAATTTCCGCTCATGAGTGTCAGTTATCATTCCACGATAACCCTAAAACGGAAGAACCGGTCTGGCTTACAGTACCAGGTGTTCCCAAGCGGTCCCCATCTAAGTACTGACCTGGCTCTACGATGCTTAACTTCGGTGATCGAACGAGAACCGGTGTTTTCAGCGTGATTTGACCGTAAGCGAAGACGTTTGCCCCAATTTCCGCTCATGAGTGTCAGTTATCATTCCACGATAACCCTAAAACGGAAGAACCGGTCTGGCTTACAGTACCAGGTGTTCCCAAGCGGTCCCCCATCTAAGTACTGACCTGGCTCTACGATGCTTAACTTCGGTGATCGAACGAGAACCGGTGTTTTCAAGCGTGATTTGACCGTAAGCGAAGACGTTTGCCCCAATTTCCGCTCATGAGTGTCAGTTATCATTCCACGATAACCCTAAAACGGAAGAACCGGTCTGGCTTACAGTACCAGGTGTTCCCAAGCGGTCCCCCATCTAAGTACTGACCTGGCTCTACGATGTGTCAAACTGACCTGGCTCTACGATGCTTAACTTCGGTGATCGAACGAGAACCGGTGTTTTCAGCGTGATTTGACCGTAAGCGAAGACGTTTGCCCCAATTTCCGCTCATGAGTGTCAGTTATCATTCCACGATAACCCTAAAACGGAAGAACCGGTCTGGCTTACAGTACCAGGTGTTCCCAAGCGGTCCCCCATCTAAGTACTGACCTGGCTCTACGATGCTTAACTTCGGTGATCGAACGAGAACCGGTGTTTTCAACGTGATTTGACCGTAAGCGATGACGTTTGCCCCAATTTCCGCTCATGAGTGTCAGTTATCATTCCACGATAACCCTAAAACGGAAGAACCGGTCTGGCTTACAGTACCAGGTGTTCCCAAGCGGTCCCCCATCTAAGTACTGACCTGGCTCTACGATGCTTAACTTCGGTGATCGAACGAGAACCGGTGTTTTCAGCGTGATTTGACCGTAAGCGATGACGTTTGCCCCAATTTCCGCTCATGAGTGTCAGTTATCATTCCACGATAACCCTAAAACGGAAGAACCGGTCTGGCTGACAGTACCAGGTGTTCCCAAGCGGTCCCCCATCTAAGTACTGATCTGGCTCTACGATGCTTAATTTCGGTGATCGAACGAGAACCGGTGTTTCAGCGTGATTTGACCGTAAGCAAAGACGATTGCACCAATTTCCGCTCATGAGTGTCAGTTATCATTCCACGATAACCCTAAAACGGAAGAACCGGTCTGGCTCATAGTACCATGTGTTCACAAGCGGTCCCCCATCTAAGTACTGACCTGGCTCTACGATGCTTAACTTCGGTGATCGAACGAGAACCGGTGTTTTCAGCGTGATTTGACCGTAAGCGAAGACGTTTGCCCCAATTTCCGCTCATGAGTGTCAGTTATCATTCCACGATAACCCTAAAACGGAAGAACCGGTCTGGCTTACAGTACCAGGTGTTCCCAAGCGGTCCCCCATCTAAGTACTGACCTGGCTCTACGATGCTTAACTTCGGTGATCGAACGAGAACCGGTGTTTTCAGCGTGATTTGACCGTAAGCGAAGACGTTTGCCCCAATTTCCGCTCATGAGTGTCAGTTATCATTCCACGATAACCCTAAAACGGAAGAACCGGTCTGGCTTACAGTACCAGGTGTTCCCAAGCGGTCCCCCATCTAAGTACTGACCTGGCTCTACGATGCTTAACTTCGGTGATCGAACGAGAACCGGTGTTTTCAGCGTGATTTGACCGTAAGCGAAGACGTTTGCCCCAATTTCCGCTCATGAGTGTCAGTTATCATTCCACGATAACCCTAAAACGGAAGAACCGGTCTGGCTTACAGTACCAGGTGTTCCCCAAGCGGTCCCCCATCTAAGTACTGACCTGGCTCTACGATGCTTAACTTCGGTGATCGAACGAGAACCGGTGTTTTCAGCGTGATTTGACCGTAAGCGAAGACGTTTGCCCCAATTTCCGCTCATGAGTGTCAGTTATCATTCCACGATAACCCTAAAACGGAAGAACCGGTCTGGCTTACAGTACCAGGTGTTCCCAAGCGGTCCCCCATCTAAGTACTGACCTGGCTCTACGATGCTTAACTTCGGTGATCGAACGAGAACCGGTGTTTTCAGCGTGATTTGACCGTAAGCGAAGACGTTTGCCCCAATTTCCGCTCATGAGTGTCAGTTATCATTCCACGATAACCCTAAAACGGAAGAACCGGTCTGGCTTACAGTACCAGGTGTTCCCAAGCGGTCCCCCATCTAAGTACTGACCTGGCTCTACGATGCTTAACTTCGGTGATCGAACGAGAACCGGTGTTTTCAGCGTGATTTGACCGTAAGCGAAGACGTTTGCCCCAATTTCCGCTGAGTGTCAGTTATCATTCCACGATAACCCTAAAACGGAAGAACCGGTCTGGCTTACAGTACCAGGTGTTCCCAAGCGGTCCCCCATCTAAGTACTGACCTGGCTCTACGATGCTTAACTTCGGTGATCGAACGAGAACCGGTGTTTTCAGCGTGATTTGACCGTAAGCGAAGACGTTTGCCCCAATTTCCGCTCATGAGTGTCAGTTATCATTCCACGATAACCCTAAAACGGAAGAACCGGTCTGGCTTACAGTACCAGGTGTTCCCAAGCGGTCCCCCATCTAAGTACTGACCTGGCTCTACGATGCTTAACTTCGGTGATCGAACGAGAACCGGTGTTTTCAGCGTGATTTGACCGTAAGCGAAGACGTTTGCCCCAATTTCCGCTCATGAGTGTCAGTTATCATTCCACGATAACCCTAAAACGGAAGAACCGGTCTGGCTTACAGTACCAGGTGTTCCCAAGCGGTCCCCCATCTAAGTACTGACCTGGCTCTACGATGCTTAACTTCGGTGATCGAACGAGAACCGGTGTTTTCAGCGTGATTTGACCGTAAGCGAAGACGTTTGCCCCAATTTCCGCTCATGAGTGTCAGTTAATTCCCGCCTAAAACGGAAGAACCGGTCTGGTTATCATTCCAAGCGGATAACCCCTAAAACGGAAGAACCGGTCAGCGTGATTTGACCGTACGAAGACGTTTGTTCGCTCAAGCGGTCAGTTATCCCCATCGGAAGAACCGGTCTGGCTTACAGTACCTGGTTCCCAAGCGGTCCCCATCTACGATGACCTTACGATGCTTAACTTCGGTGATCGAACGAGAACCGGTGTTTTCAGCGTGATTTGACCGTAAGCGAAGACGTTTGCCCCAATTTCCGCTCATGAGTGTCAGTTATCATTCCACGATAACCCTAAAACGGAAGAACCGGTCTGGCTTACAGTACCAGGTGTTCCCAAGCGGTCCCCCATCTAAGTACTGACCTGGCTCTACGATGCTTAACTTCGGTGATCGAACGAGAACCGGTGTTTTCAGCGTGATTTGACCGTAAGCGAAGACGTTTGCCCCAATTTCCGCTCATGAGTGTCAGTTATCATTCCACGATAAACCTAAAACGGAAGAACCGGTCTGGCTTACAGTACCAGGTGTTCCCAAGCGGTCCCCCATCTAAGTACTGACCTGGCTCTACGATGCTTAACTTCGGTGATCGAACGAGAACCGGTGTTTTCAGCGTGATTTGACCGTAAGCGAAGACGTTTGCCCCAATTTCCGCTCATGAGTGTCAGTTATCATTCCACGATAACCCTAAAACGGAAGAACCGGTCTGGCTTACAGTACCAGGTGTTCCCAAGCGGTCCCCCATCTAAGTACTGACCTGGCTCTACGATGCTTAACTTCGGTGATCGAACGAGAACCGGTGTTTTCAAGCGTGATTTGACCGTAAGCGAAGACGTTTGCCCCAATTTCCGCTCATGAGTGTCAGTTATCATTCCACGATAACCCTAAAACGGAAGAACCGGTCTGGCTTACAGTACCAGGTGTTCCCAAGCGGTCCCCATCTCTAAGTACTGACCTGGCTCTACGATGCTTAACTTCGGTGATCGAACGAGAACCGGTGTTTTCAGCGTGATTTGACCGTAAGCGAAGACGTTTGCCCCAATTTCCGCTCATGAGTGTCAGTTATCATTCCACGATAACCCTAAAACGGAAGAACCGGTCTGGCTTTACAGTACCAGGTGTTCCCAAGCGGTCCCCCATCTAAGTACTGACCTGGCTCTACGATGCTTAACTTCGGTGATCGAACGAGAACCGGTGTTTTCAGCGTGATTTGACCGTAAGCGAAGACGTTTGCCCCAATTTCCGCTCATGAGTGTCAGTTATCATTCCACGATAACCCTAAAACGGAAGAACCGGTCTGGCTTACAGTACCAGGTGTTCCCAAGCGGTCCCCCATCTAAGTACTGACCTGGCTCTACGATGCTTAACTTCGGTGATCGAACGAGAACCGGTGTTTTCAGCGTGATTTGACCGTAAGCGAAGACGTTTGCCCCAATTTCCGCTCATGAGTGTCAGTTATCATTCCACGATAACCCTAAAACGGAAGAACCGGTCTGGCTTACAGTACCAGGTGTTCCCAAGCGGTCCCCCATCTAAGTACTGACCTGGCTCTACGATGCTTAACTTCGGTGATCGAACGAGAACCGGTGTTTTCAGCGTGATTTGACCGTAAGCGAAGACGTTTGCCCCAATTTCCGCTCATGAGTGTCAGTTATCATTCCACGATAACCCTAAAACGGAAGAACCGGTCTGGCTTACAGTACCAGGTGTTCCCAAGCGGTCCCCATCTAAGTACTGACCTGGCTCTACGATGCTTAACTTCGGTGATCGAACGAGAACCGGTGTTTTCAGCGTGATTTGACCGTAAGCGAAGACGTTTGCCCCAATTTCCGCTCATGAGTGTCAGTTATCATTCCACGATAACCCTAAAACGGAAGAACCGGTCTGGCTTACAGTACCAGGTGTTCCCAAGCGGTCCCCCATCTAAGTACTGACCTGGCTCTACGATGCTTAACTTCGGTGATCGAACGAGAACCGGTGTTTTCAGCGTGATTTGACCGTAAGCGAAGACGTTTGCCCCAATTTCCGCTCATGAGTGTCAGTTATCATTCCACGATAACCCTAAAACGGAAGAACCGGTCTGGCTTACAGTACCAGGTGTTCCCAAGCGGTCCCCATCTAAGTACTGACCTGGCTCTACGATGCTTAACTTCGGTGATCGAACGAGAACCGGTGTTTTTCAGCGTGATTTGACCGTAAGCGAAGACGTTTGCCCCAATTTCCGCTCATGAGTGTCAGTTATCATTCCACGATAACCCTAAAACGGAAGAACCGGTCTGGCTTACAGTACCAGGTGTTCCCAAGCGGTCCCCATCTAAGTACTGACCTGGCTCTACGATGCTTAACTTCGGTGATCGAACGAGAACCGGTGTTTTCAGCGTGATTTGACCGTAAGCGAAGACGTTTGCCCCAATTTCCGCTCATGAGTGTCAGTTATCATTCCACGATAACCCTAAAACGGAAGAACCGGTCTGGCTTACAGTACCAGGTGTTCCCAAGCGGTCCCCCATCTAAGTACTGACCTGGCTCTACGATGCTTAACTTCGGTGATCGAACGAGAACCGGTGTTTTCAACGTGATTTGACCGTAAGCGAAGACGTTTGCCCCAATTTCCGCTCATGAGTGTCAGTTATCATTCCACGATAACCCTAAAACGGAAGAACCGGTCTTACAGTACCAGGTGTTCCCAAGCGGTCCCCATCTAAGTACTGACCTGGCTCTACGATGCTTAACTTCGGTGATCGAACGAGAACCGGTGTTTTGTGATTTGACCCCGAAGACGTTTGCCCCAATTTCCCCCATCATTCCACGATAACCCTAAAAAACGGAAGAACCTGGCTCAGTACCAGGTGTTTAGCGGTCCCCCATCTAAGTACTGGTGATCGCTTAACGAGATCGAACGAGAACCGGTGTTTTCAGCGTGATTTGACCGTAAGCGAAGACGTTTGCCCCAATTTCCGCTCATGAGTGTCAGTTATCATTCCACGATAACCCTAAAACGGAAGAACCGGTCTGGCTTACAGTACCAGGTGTTCCCAAGCGGTCCCCCATCTAAGTACTGACCTGGCTCTACGATGCTTAACTTCGGTGATCGAACGAGAACCGGTGTTTTCAGCGTGATTTGACCGTAAGCGAAGACGTTTGCCCCAATTTCCGCTCATGAGTGTCAGTTATCATTCCACGATAACCCTAAAACGGAAGAACCGGTCTGGCTTACAGTACCAGGTGTTCCCAAGCGGTCCCCCATCTAAGTACTGACCTGGCTCTACGATGCTTAACTTCGGTGATCGAACGAGAACCGGTGTTTTCAGCGTGATTTGACCGTAAGCGAAGACGTTTGCCCCAATTTCCGCTCATGAGTGTCAGTTATCATTCCACGATAACCCTAAAACGGAAGAACCGGTCTGGCTTACAGTACCAGGTGTTCCCAAGCGGTCCCCATCTAAGTACTGACCTGGCTCTACGATGCTTAACTTCGGTGATCGAACGAGAACCGGTGTTTTCAGCGTGATTTGACCGTAAGCGAAGACGTTTGCCCCAATTTCCGCTCATGAGTGTCAGTTATCATTCCACGATAACCCTAAAACGGAAGAACCGGTCTGGCTTACAGTACCAGGTGTTCCCAAGCGGTCCCCCATCTAAGTACTGACCTGGCTCTACGATGCTTAACTTCGGTGATCGAACGAGAACCGGTGTTTTCAGCGTGATTTGACCGTAAGCGAAGACGTTTGCCCCAATTTCCGCTCATGAGTGTCAGTTATCATTCCACGATAACCCTAAAACGGAAGAACCGGTCTGGCTTACAGTACCAGGTGTTCCCAAGCGGTCCCCCATCTAAGTACTGACCTGGCTCTACGATGCTTAACTTCGGTGATCGAACGAGAACCGGTGTTTTCAGCGTGATTTGACCGTAAGCGAAGACGTTTGCCCCAATTTCCGCTCATGAGTGTCAGTTATCATTCCACGATAACCCTAAAACGGAAGAACCGGTCTGGCTTACAGTACCAGGTGTTCCCAAGCGGTCCCCATCTAAGTACTGACCTGGCTCTACGATGCTTAACTTCGGTGATCGAACGAGAACCGGTGTTTTCAGCGTGATTTGACCGTAAGCGAAGACGTTTGCCCCAATTTCCGCTCATGAGTGTCAGTTATCATTCCACGATAACCCTAAAACGGAAGAACCGGTCTGGCTTACAGTACCAGGTGTTCCCAAGCGGTCCCCATCTAAGTACTGACCTGGCTCTACGATGCTTAACTTCGGTGATCGAACGAGAACCGGTGTTTTCAGCGTGATTTGACCGTAAGCGAAGACGTTTGCCCCAATTTCCGCTCATGAGTGTCAGTTATCATTCCACGATAACCCTAAAACGGAAGAACCGGTCTGGCTTACAGTACCAGGTGTTCCCAAGCGGTCCCCCATCTAAGTACTGACCTGGCTCTACGATGCTTAACTTCGGTGATCGAACGAGAACCGGTGTTTTCAGCGTGATTTGACCGTAAGCGAAGACGTTTGCCCCAATTTCCGCTCATGAGTGTCAGTTATCATTCCACGATAACCCTAAAACGGAAGAACCGGTCTGGCTTACAGTACCAGGTGTTCCCAAGCGGTCCCCCATCTAAGTACTGACCTGGCTCTACGATGCTTAACTTCGGTGATCGAACGAGAACCGGTGTTTTCAGCGTGATTTGACCGTAAGCGAAGACGTTTGCCCCAATTTCCGCTCATGAGTGTCAGTTATCATTCCACGATAACCCTAAAACGGAAGAACCGGTCTGGCTTACAGTACCAGGTGTTCCCAATCGGTCCCCCATAGTACTGACCTAAAACGGATGCTTAACTTCGGTGATCGAACGAGAACCGGTGTTTTCAGCGTGATTTGACCGTAAGCGAAGACGTTTGCCCCAATTTCCGCTCATGAGTGTCAGTTATCATTCCACGATAACCCTAAAACGGAAGAACCGGTCTGGCTTACAGTACCAGGTGTTCCCAAGCGGTCCCCCATCTAAGTACTGACCTGGCTCTACGATGCTTAACTTCGGTGATCGAACGAGAACCGGTGTTTTCAGCGTGATTTGACCGTAAGCGAAGACGTTTGCCCCAATTTCCGCTCATGAGTGTGTCAGTTATCATTCCACGATAACCCTAAAACGGAAGAACCGGTCTGGCTTACAGTACCAGGTGTTCCCAAGCGGTCCCCATCTAAGTACTGACCTGGCTCTACGATGCTTAACTTCGGTGATCGAACGAGAACCGGTGTTTTCAGCGTGATTTGACCGTAAGCGAAGACGTTTGCCCCAATTTCCGCTCATGAGTGTCAGTTATCATTCCACGATAACCCTAAAACGGAAGAACCGGTCTGGCTTACAGTACCAGGTGTTCCCCATCAAGCGGTCCCCATCGAAAGTACTGACCTGGCTCTACGATGCTTAACTTCGGTGATCGAACGAGAACCGGTGTTTTCAGAACGTGATTTGACCGTAAGCGAAGACGTTTGCCCCAATTTCCGCTCATGAGTGTCAGTTATCATTCCACGATAACCCTAAAACGGAAGAACCGGTCTGGCTTACAGTACCAGGTGTTCCCAAGCGGTCCCCCATCTAAGTACTGACCTGGCTCTACGATGCTTAACTTCGGTGATCGAACGAGAACCGGTGTTTTCAACGTGATTTGACCGTAAGCGAAGACGTTTGCCCCAATTTCCGCTCATGAGTGTCAGTTATCATTCCACGATAACCCTAAAACGGAAGAACCGGTCTGGCTTACAGTACCAGGTGTTCCCAAGCGGTCCCCATCTAATACTGACCTGGCTCTACGATGCTTAACTTCGGTGATCGAACGAGAACCGGTGTTTTCAGCGTGATTTGACCGTAAGCGAAGACGTTTGCCCCAATTTCGCTCATGAGTGTCAGATATCATTCCACGATAACCCTAAAACGGAAGAACCGGTCTGGCTTACAGTACCAGGTGTTCCCAAGCGGTCCCCCATCTAAGTACTGACCTGGCTCTACGATGCTTAACTTCGGTGATCGAACGAGAACCGGTGTTTTCAGCGTGATTTGACCGTAAGCGAAGACGTTTGCCCCAATTTCCGCTCATGAGTGTCAGTTATCATTCCACGATAACCCTAAAACGGAAGAACCGGTCTGGCTTACAGTACCAGGTGTTCCCAAGCGGTCCCCCATCTAAGTACTGACCTGGCTCTACGATGCTTAACTTCGGTGATCGAACGAGAACCGGTGTTTTCAGCGTGATTTGACCGTAAGCGAAGACGTTTGCCCCAATTTCCGCTCATGAGTGTCAGTTATCATTCCACGATAACCCTAAAACGGAAGAACCGGTCTGGCTTACAGTACCAGGTGTTCCCAAGCGGTCCCCCATCTAAGTACTGACCTGGCTCAACGATGCTTAACTTCGGTGATCGAACGAGAACCGGTGTTTTCAGCGTGATTTGACCGTAAGCGAAGACGTTTGCCCCAATTTCCGCTCATGAGTGTCAGTTATCATTCCACGATAACCCTAAAACGGAAGAACCGGTCTGGCTTACAGTACCAGGTGTTCCCAAGCGGTCCCCCATCTAAGTACTGACCTGGCTCTACGATGCTTAACTTCGGTGATCGAACGAGAACCGGTGTTTTCAGCGTGATTTGACCGTAAGCGAAGACGTTTGCCCCAATTTCCGCTCATGAGTGTCAGTTATCATTCCACGATAACCCTAAAACGGAAGAACCGGTCTGGCTTACAGTACCAGGTGTTCCCAAGCGGTCCCCCATCTAAGTACTGACCTGGCTCTACGATGCTTAACTTCGGTGATCGAACGAGAACCGGTGTTTTCAGCGTGATTTGACCGTAAGCGAAGACGTTTGCCCCAATTTCCGCTCATGAGTGTCAGTTATCATTCCACGATAACCCTAAAACGGAAGAACCGGTCTGGCTTACAGTACCAGGTGTTCCCAAGCGGTCCCCATCTAAGTACTGACCTGGCTCTACGATGCTTAACTTCGGTGATCGAACGAGAACCGGTGTTTTCAGCGTGATTTGATTTGACCGTAAGCGAAGACGATAACCCTAAAACGGAAGAATTTCCGCTCATGAGGTGTTCCCAAGCGGTTATCATTCCACGATAACTTCGGTGAAAACGGAAGAACCGGTCTGGCGTGATTTACAGTACCAGGTGTTCCCAATTTCCGCTCGGTCCCCCATCTAACCCTAAAACGGAAGAACTGACCTGGCTCTACGATGCTTAACTTCGGTGATCGAACGAGAACCGGTGTTTTCAGCGTGATTTGACCGTAAGCGAAGACGTTTGCCCCAATTTCCGCTCATGAGTGTCAGTTATCATTCCACGATAACCCTAAAACGGAAGAACCGGTCTGGCTTACAGTACCAGGTGTTCCCAAGCGGTCCCCCCCATCTAAGTACTGACCTGGCTCTACGATGCTTAACTTCGGTGATCGAACGAGAACCGGTGTTTTCAGCGTGATTTGACCGTAAGCGAAGACGTTTGCCCCAATTTCCGCTCATGAGTGTCAGTTATCATTCCACGATAACCCTAAAACGGAAGAACCGGTCTGGCTTACAGTACCAGGTGTTCCCAAGCGGTCCCCCATCTAAGTACTGACCTGGCTCTACGATGCTTAACTTCGGTGATCGAACGAGAACCGGTGTTTTCAGCGTGATTTGACCGTAAGCGAAGACGTTTGCCCCAATTTCCGCTCATGAGTGTCAGTTATCATTCCACGATAACCCTAAAACGGAAGAACCGGTCTGGCTTACAGTACCAGGTGTTCCCAAGCGGTCCCCATCTAAGTACTGACCTGGCTCTACGATGCTTAACTTCGGTGATCGAACGAGAACCGGTGTTTTTCAACCCGTGATTTGACCGTAAGCGAAGACGTTTGCCCCAATTTCCGCTCATGAGTGTCAGTTATCATTCCACGATAACCCTAAAACGGAAGAACCGGTCTGGCTTACAGTACCAGGTGTTCCCAAGCGGTCCCCCATCTAAGTACTGACCTGGCTCTACGATGCTTAACTTCGGTGATCGAACGAGAACCGGTGTTTTCAGCGTGATTTGACCGTAAGCGAAGACGTTTGCCCCAATTTCCGCTCATGAGTGTCAGTTATCATTCCACGATAACCCTAAAACGGAAGAACCGGTCTGGCTTACAGTACCAGGTGTTCCCAAGCGGTCCCCATCTAAGTACTGACCTGGCTCTACGATGCTTAACTTCGGTGATCGAACGAGAACCGGTGTTTTCAGCGTGATTTGACCGTAAGCGAAGACGTTTGCCCCAATTTCCGCTCATGAGTGTCAGTTATCATTCCACGATAACCCTAAAACGGAAGAACCGGTCTGGCTTACAGTACCAGGTGTTCCCAAGCGGTCCCCCATCTAAGTACTGACCTGGCTCTACGATGCTTAACTTCGGTGATCGAACGAGAACCGGTGTTTTCAGCGTGATTTGACCGTAAGCGAAGACGTTTGCCCCAATTTCCGCTCATGAGTTTCAGTTATCATTCCACGATAACCCTAAAACGGAAGAACCGGTCTGGCTTGGAGTACCAGGTGTTCCCAAGCGGTCCCCCATCAAAGTACTGACCTGTCTCTACGATGCTTAACTTCGGTGATCGAACGAGAACCGGTGTTTTCAGCGTGATTTGACCGTAAGCGAAGACGTTTGCCCCAATTTCCGCTCATGAGTGTCAGTTATCATTCCACGATAACCCTAAAACGGAAGAACCGGTCTGGCTTACAGTACCAGGTGTTCCCAAGCGGTCCCCCATCTAAGTACTGACCTGGCTCTACGATGCTTAACTTCGGTGATCGAACGAGAACCGGTGTTTTCAGCGTGATTTGACCGTAAGCGAAGACGTTTGCCCCAATTTCCGCTCATGAGTGTCTAAAACGGAAGAAGTTATCATTCAAGCGGTCCCCGATAACCCTAAAACGGAAGAACCGGTCTGGCTTACAGTACCAGGTGTTCCCAAGCGGTCCCCCATCTAAGTACTGACCTGGCTCTACGATGCTTAACTTCGGTGATCGAACGAGAACCGGTGTTTTCAGCGTGATTTGACCGTAAGCGAAGACGTTTGCCCCAATTTCCGCTCATGAGTGTCAGTTATCATTCCACGATAACCCTAAAACGGAAGAACCGGTCTGGCTTACAGTACCAGGTTTCCCAAGCGGTCCCCATCTAAGTACTGACCTGGCTCTACGATGCTTAACTTCGGTGATCGAACGAGAACCGGTGTTTTCAGCGTGATTTGACCGTAAGCGAAGACGTTTGCCCCAATTTCCGCTCATGAGTGTCGTTATCATTCCACGATAACCCTAAAACGGAAGAACCGGTCTGGCTTACAGTACCAGGTGTTCCCAAGCGGTCCCCCATCTAAGTACTGACCTGGCTCTACGATGCTTAACTTCGGTGATCGAACGAGAACCCGTGATTTGACCGTAAGCGAAGACGTTTGCCCCAATTTCCGCTCATGAGTGTCAGTTATCATTCCACGATAACCCTAAAACGGAAGAACCGGTCTGGCTTACAGTACCAGGTGTTCCCAAGCGGTCCCCCATCTAAGTACTGACCTGGCTCTACGATGCTTAACTTCGGTGATCGAACGAGAACCGGTGTTTTCAGCGTGATTTGACCGTAAGCGAAGACGTTTGCCCCAATTTCCGCTCATGAGTGTCAGTTATCATTCCACGATAACCCTAAAACGGAAGAACCGGTCTGGCTTACAGTACCAGGTGTTCCCAAGCGGTCCCCATCTAAGTACTGACCTGGCTCTACGATGCTTAACTTCGGTGATCGAACGAGAACCGGTGTTTTTCAGCGTGATTTGACCGTAAGCGAAGACGTTTGCCCCAATTTCCGCTCATGAGTGTCAGTTATCATTCCACGATAACCCTAAAACGGAAGAACCGGTCTGGCTTACAGTACCAGGTGTTCCCAAGCGGTCCCCATCTAAGTACTGACCTGGCTCTACGATGCTTAACTTCGGTGATCGAACGAGAACCGGTGTTTTCAGCGTGATTTGACCGTAAGCGAAGACGTTTGCCCCAATTTCCGCTCATGAGTGTCAGTTATCATTCCACGATAACCCTAAAACGGAAGAACCGGTCTGGCTTACAGTACCAGGTGTTCCCAAGCGGTCCCCCATCTAAGTACTGACCTGGCTCTACGATGCTTAACTTCGGTGATCGAACGAGAACCGGTGTTTTCAGCGTGATTTGACCGTAAGCGAAGACGTTTGCCCCAATTTCCGCTCATGAGTGTCAGTTATCATTCCACGATAACCCTAAAACGGAAGAACCGGTCTGGCTTACAGTACCAGGTGTTCCCAAGCGGTCCCCATCTAAGTACTGACCTGGCTCTACGATGCTTAACTTCGGTGATCGAACGAGAACCGGTGTTTTCGGATTTGATCGAAGCGAAGAGAACCGTTATCATTGTTTTCAGCGTGATTTGACCGTAAGCGGTGAAGACGTTTGCCCCAATTTCCGGTCATGAGTGTCTGGTTATCATTCCACGATAACCCTAAAACGGAAGAACCAGTTATCATTCCACGATAACCCTAAAACGGAAGAACCGGTCTGGCTTACAGTACCAGGTGTTCCCAAGCGGTCCCCCATCTAAGTACTGACCTGGCTCTACGATGCTTAACTTCGGTGATCGAACGAGAACCGGTGTTTTCAGCGTGATTTGACCGTAAGCGAAGACGTTTGCCCCAATTTCCGCTCATGAGTGTCAGTTATCATTCCACGATAACCCTAAAACGGAAGAACCGGTCTGGCTTACAGTACCAGGTGTTCCCAAGCGGTCCCCCATCTAAGTACTGACCTGGCTCTACGATGCTTAACTTCGGTGATCGAACGAGAACCGGTGTTTTCAGCGTGATTTGACCGTAAGCGAAGACGTTTGCCCCAATTTCCGCTCATGAGTGTCAGTTATCATTCCACGATAACCCTAAAACGGAAGAACCGGTCTGGCTTACAGTACCAGGTGTTCCCAAGCGGTCCCCCATCTAAGTACTGACCTGGCTCTACGATGCTTAACTTCGGTGATCGAACGAGAACCGGTGTTTTCAGCGTGATTTGACCGTAAGCGAAGACGTTTGCCCCAATTTCCGCTCATGAGTGTCAGTTATCATTCCACGATAACCCTAAAACGGAAGAACCGGTCTGGCTTACAGTACCAGGTGTTCCCAAGCGGTCCCCCATCTAAGTACTGACCTGGCTCTACGATGCTTAACTTCGGTGATCGAACGAGAACCGGTGTTTTCAGCGTGATTTGACCGTAAGCGAAGACGTTTGCCCCAATTTCCGCTCATGAGTGTCAGTTATCATTCCACGATAACCCTAAAACGGAAGAACCGGTCTGGCTTACAGTACCAGGTGTTCCCAAGCGGTCCCCCATCTAAGTACTGACCTGGCTCTACGATGCTTAACTTCGGTGATCGAACGAGAACCGGTGTTTTCAGCGTGATTTGACCGTAAGCGAAGACGTTTGCCCCAATTTCCGCTCATGAGTGTCAGTTATCATTCCACGATAACCCTAAAACGGAAGAACCGGTCTGGCTTACAGTACCAGGTGTTCCCAAGCGGTCCCCATCTAAGTACTGACCTGGCTCTACGATGCTTAACTTCGGTGATCGAACGAGAACCGGTGTTTTCAGCGTGATTTGACCGTAAGCGAAGACGTTTGCCCCAATTTCCGCTCATGAGTGTCAGTTATCATTCCACGATAACCCTAAAACGGAAGAAAAACGGAAGAACCGGTCTGGCGGTGTTTTACAGTACCAGGTGTTCCCGGAAGCGGTCCCCATCCAAAGTATCTGACCTGGCTCTACGATGCTTAACTTCGGTGATCGAACGAGAACCGGTGTTTTCAGCGTGATTTGACCGTAAGCGAAGACGTGATTTGACCGTAAGCGAAGACGTTTGCCCCAATTTCCGCTCATGAGTGTCAGTTATCATTCCACGATAACCCTAAAACGGAAGAACCGGTCTGGCTTACAGTACCAGGTGTTCCCAAGCGGTCCCCATCTAAGTACTGACCTGGCTCTACGATGCTTAACTTCGGTGATCGAACGAGAACCGGTGTTTTCAGCGTGATTTGACCGTAAGCGAAGACGTTTGCCCCAATTTCCGCTCATGAGTGTCAGTTATCATTCCACGATAACCCTAAAACGGAAGAACCGGTCTGGCTTACAGTACCAGGTGTTCCCAAGCGGTCCCCCATCTAAGTACTGACCTGGCTCTACGATGCTTAACTTCGGTGATCGAACGAGAACCGGTGTTTTCAGCGTGATTTGACCGTAAGCGAAGACGTTTGCCCCAATTTCCGCTCATGAGTGTCAGTTATCATTCCACGATAACCCTAAAACGGAAGAACCGGTCTGGCTTACAGTACCAGGTGTTCCCAAGCGGTCCCCATCTAAGTACTGACCTGGCTCTACGATGCTTAACTTCGGTGATCGAACGAGAACCGGTGTTTTCAGCGTGATTTGACCGTAAGCGAAGACGTTTGCCCCAATTTCCGCTCATGAGTGTCAGTTATCATTCCACGATAACCCTAAAACGGAAGAACCGGTCTGGCTTACAGTACCAGGTGTTCCCCGGTGCCCCCCCCATCAAGCGGTCCCCCCCATCGGTGATCGAACGAGAACCGGTGTTTTCAGCGTGATTTGACCGTAAGCGAAGACGTTTGCCCCAATTTCCGATGTGTCAGTTATCATTCCACGATAATAAAACGGAAGAACCGGTCTGGAGTACCAGGTGTTTCCCCCATCTAAGTACTGACCTGGCTTACGATGCTTAACCGGTGATCGAACGAGAACCGGTGTTTTCACGTGATTTGACCGTAAGCGAAGACGTTTGCCCCATTTTCGCTCATGAGTGTCAGTTATCATTCCACGATAACCCTAAAACGGAAGAACCGGTCTGGCTTACAGTACCAGGTGTTCCCAAGCGGTCCCCCATCTAAGTACTGACCTGGCTCTACGATGCTTAACTTCGGTGATCGAACGAGAACCGGTGTTTTCAGCGTGATTTGACCGTAAGCGAAGACGTTTGCCCCAATTTCCGCTCATGAGTGTCAGTTATCATTCCACGATAACCCTAAAACGGAAGAACCGGTCTGGCTTACAGTACCAGGTGTTCCCAAGCGGTCCCCCCCATCTAAGTACTGACCTGGCTCTACGATGCTTAACTTCGGTGATCGAACGAGAACCGGTGTTTTCAGCGTGATTTGACCGTAAGCGAAGACGTTTGCCCCAATTTCCGCTCATGAGTGTCAGTTATCATTCCACGATAACCCTAAAACGGAAGAACCGGTCTGGCTTACAGTACCAGGTGTTCCCAAGCGGTCCCCCATCTAAGTACTGACCTGGCTCTACGATGCTTAACTTCGGTGATCGAACGAGAACCGGTGTTTTCAGCGTGATTTGACCGTAAGCGAAGACGTTTGCCCCAATTTCCGCTCATGAGTGTCAGTTATCATTCCACGATAACCCTAAAACGGAAGAACCGGTCTGGCTTACAGTACCAGGTGTTCCCAAGCGGTCCCCCATCTAAGTACTGACCTGGCTCTACGATGCTTAACTTCGGTGATCGAACGAGAACCGGTGTTTTCAGCGTGATTTGACCGTAAGCGAAGACGTTTGCCCCAATTTCCGCTCATGAGTGTCAGTTATCATTCCACGATAACCCTAAAACGGAAGAACCGGTCTGGCTTACAGTACCAGGTGTTCCCAAGCGGTCCCCATCTAAGTACTGACCTGGCTCTACGATGCTTAACTTCGGTGATCGAACGAGAACCGGTGTTTTCAGCGTGATTTGACCGTAAGCGAAGACGTTTGCCCCAATTTCCGCTCATGAGTGTCAGTTATCATTCCACGATAACCCTAAAACGGAAGAACCGGTCTGGCTTACAGTACCAGGTGTTCCCAAGCGGTCCCCATCTAAGTACTGACCTGGCTCTACGATGCTTAACTTCGGTGATCGAACGAGAACCGGTGTTTTCAGCGTGATTTGACCGTAAGCGAAGACGTTTGCCCCAATTTCCGCTCATGAGTGTCAGTTATCATTCCACGATAACCCTAAAACGGAAGAACCGGTCTGGCTTACAGTACCAGGTGTTCCCAAGCGGTCCCCCATCTAAGTACTGACCTGGCTCTACGATGCTTAACTTCGGTGATCGAACGAGAACCGGTGTTTTCAGCGTGATTTGACCGTAAGCGAAGACGTTTGCCCCAATTTCCGCTCATGAGTGTCAGTTATCATTCCACGATAACCCTAAAACGGAAGAACCGGTCTGGCTTACAGTACCAGGTGTTCCCAAGCGGTCCCCATCTAAGTACTGACCTGGCTCTACGATGCTTAACTTCGGTGATCGAACGAGAACCGGTGTTTTCAGCGTGATTTGACCGTAAGCGAAGACGTTTGCCCCAATTTCCGCTCATGAGTGTGTCAGTTATCATTCCACGATAACCCTAAAACGGAAGAACCGGTCTGGCTTACAGTACCAGGTGTTCCCAAGCGGTCCCCCATCTAAGTACTGACCTGGCTCTACGATGCTTAACAATTTTCGGTGATCGAACGAGAACCGGTGTTTTCAACGTGATTTGACCGTAAGCGAAGACGTTTGCCCCAATTTCCGCTCATGAGTGTCAGTTATCATTCCACGATAACCCTAAAACGGAAGAACCGGTCTGGCTTACAGTACCAGGTGTTCCCAAGCGGTCCCCCATCTAAGTACTGACCTGGCTCTACGATGCTTAACTTCGGTGATCGAACGAGAACCGGTGTTTTCAACGTGATTTGACCGTAAGCGAAGACGTTTGCCCCAATTTCCGCTCATGAGTGTCAGTTATCATTCCACGATAACCCTAAAACGGAAGAACCGGTCTGGCTTACAGTACCAGGTGTTCCCAAGCGGTCCCCCATCTAAGTACTGACCTGGCTCTACGATGCTTAACTTCGGTGATCGAACGAGAACCGGTGTTTTCAACGTGATTTGACCGTAAGCGAAGACGTTTGCCCCAATTTCCGCTCATGAGTGTCAGTTATCATTCCACGATAACCCTAAAACGGAAGAACCGGTCTGGCTTACAGTACCAGGTGTTCCCAAGCGGTCCCCATCTAAGTTTTACGTGATTTGACCTGGCTCTCACGATTGCTTAACTTCGGTGATCGAACGAGAACCGGTGTTTTCAGAACCGGTGTTTTGATTTGACCGTAAGCGAAGACGTTTGCCCCAATTTCCGCTCATGAGTGTCAGTTATCATTCCACGATAACCCTAAAACGGAAGAACCGGTCTGGCTTACAGTACCAGGTGTTCCCAAGCGGTCCCCCATCTAAGTACTGACCTGGCTCTACGATGCTTAACTTCGGTGATCGAACGAGAACCGGTGTTTTCAACGTGATTTGACCGCGAAGACGTTTGCCCCAAGACGTTATTTCCACGATAACCCTAAACGGAAGAATTTCCGCTCAGTACCAGGTGTTCAGTTATCATTGGCTCACGATAACCCGGTGTTTTCAAACCGGAAGAACCGGTCTGTGTCAGTTATCATTCCAGTAACCCCGGAAGAACCGGTCCTTAAGTACCAGGTGTCCCCCATCTAAGTACTGACCTGGCTCTACGATGCTTAACTTCGGTGATCGAACGAGAACCGGTGTTTTCAGCGTGATTTGACCGTAAGCGAAGACGTTTGCCCCAATTTCCGCTCATGAGTGTCAGTTATCATTCCACGATAACCCTAAAACGGAAGAACCGGTCTGGCTTACAGTACCAGGTGTTCCCAAGCGGTCCCCCATCTAAGTACTGACCTGGCTCTACGATGCTTAACTTCGGTGATCGAACGAGAACCGGTGTTTTCAGCGTGATTTGACCGTAAGCGAAGACGTTTGCCCCAATTTCCGCTCATGAGTGTCAGTTATCATTCCACGATAACCCTAAAACGGAAGAACCGGTCTGGCTTACAGTACCAGGTGTTCCCAAGCGGTCCCCCATCTAAGTACTGACCTGGCTCTACGATGCTTAACTTCGGTGATCGAACGAGAACCGGTGTTTTCAGCGTGATTTGACCGTAAGCGAAGACGTTTGCCCCAATTTCCGCTCATGAGTGTCAGTTATCATTCCACGATAACCCTAAAACGGAAGAACCGGTCTGGCTTACAGTACCAGGTGTTCCCAAGCGGTCCCCCATCTAAGTACTGACCTGGCTGTTTACGATGCTTAACGCTCGGTGATCGAACGAGAACCGGTGTTTTCAGTCCCGTGATTTGACCGTAAGCGAAGACGTTTGCCCCAATTTCCGCTCATGAGTGTCAGTTATCATTCCACGATAACCCTAAAACGGAAGAACCGGTCTGGCTTACAGTACCAGGTGTTCCCAAGCGGTCCCCCATCTAAGTACTGACCCTGGCTCTACGATGCGTGATTTTAACCGCTCGGTGATCGATAACCCTAAAACGAGAACCGGTGTTTTCACTGACCGTGATTTGACCGTAAGCGAAGACGTTTGACCCCCAATTTCCGCTCATGAGTGTCAGTTATCATTCCACGATAACCCTAAAACGGAAGAACCGGTCTGGCTTACAGTACCAGGTGTTCCCAAGCGGTCCCCCATCTAAGTACTGACCTGGCTCTACGATGCTTAACTTCGGTGATCGAACGAGAACCGGTGTTTTCAAGCGTGATTTGACCGTAAGCGAAGACGTTTGCCCCAATTTCCGCTCATGAGTGTCAGTTATCATTCCACGATAACCCTAAAACGGAAGAACCGGTCTGGCTTACAGTACCAGGTGTTCCCAAGCGGTCCCCATCTAAGTACTGACCTGGCTCTACGATGCTTAACTTCGGTGATCGAACGAGAACCGGTGTTTTCAAGCGTGATTTGACCGTAAGCGAAGACGTTTGCCCCAATTTCCGCTCATGAGTGTCAGTTATCATTCCACGATAACCCTAAAACGGAAGAACCGGTCTGGCTTACAGTACCAGGTGTTCCCAAGCGGTCCCCCATCTAAGTACTGACCTGGCTCTACGATGCTTAACTTCGGTGATCGAACGAGAACCGGTGTTTTCAACGTGATTTGACCGTAAGCGAAGACGTTTGCCCCAATTTCCGCTCATGAGTGTCAGTTATCATTCCACGATAACCCTAAAACGGAAGAACCGGTCTGGCTTACAGTACCAGGTGTTCCCCAAGCGGTCCCCATCTAAGTACTGACCTGGCTCTACGATGCTTAACTTCGGTGATCGAACGAGAACCGGTGTTTTCAGCGTGATTTGACCGTAAGCGAAGACGTTTGCCCCAATTTCCGCTCATGAGTGTCAGTTATCATTCCACGATAACCCTAAAACGGAAGAACCGGTCTGGCTTACAGTACAAGGTGTTCCCAAGCGGTCACCCATCTAAGTACTGACCTGGCTCTACGATGCTCGAACGAGAACCGGTGTTTTCAACGTGATTTGACCGTAAGCGAAGACGTTTGCCCCAATTTAACTTCGGTGATCGAACGAGAACCGGTGTTTTCAGCGTGATTTGACCGTAAGCGAAGACGTTTGACCCCAATTTCCGCTCATGAGTGTCAGTTATCATTCCACGATAACCCTAAAACGGAAGAACCGGTCTGGCTTACAGTACCAGGTGTTCCCAAGCGGTCCCCCATCTAAGTACTGACCTGGCTCTACGATGCTTAACTTCGGTGATCGAACGAGAACCGGTGTTTTCAGCGTGATTTGACCGTAAGCGAAGACGTTTGCCCCAATTTCCGCTCATGAGTGTCAGTTATCATTCCACGATAACCCTAAAACGGAAGAACCGGTCTGGCTTACAGTACCAGGTGTTCCCAAGCGGTCCCCCATCTAAGTACTGACCTGGCTCTACGATGCTTAACTTCGGTGATCGAACGAGAACCGGTGTTTTCAGCGTGATTTGACCGTAAGCGAAGACGTTTGCCCCAATTTCCGCTCATGAGTGTCAGTTATCATTCCACGATAACCCTAAAACGGAAGAACCGGTCTGGCTTACAGTACCAGGTGTTTTCCCAAGCGGCCCCAATTTCCCCATCTAAGTACTGACCTGGCTCTACGATGCTTAACTTCGGTGATCGAACGAGAACCGGTGTTTTCAACGTGATTTGACCGTAAGCGAAGACGTTTGCCCCAATTTCCGCTCATGAGTGTCAGTTATCATTCCACGATAACCCTAAAACGGAAGAACCGGTCTGGCTTACAGTACCAGGTGTTCCCAAGCGGTCCCCATCTAAGTACTGACCTGGCTCTACGATGCTTAACTTCGGTGATCGAACGAGAACCGGTGTTTTCAGCGTGATTTGACCGTAAGCGAAGACGTTTGCCCCAATTTCCGCTCATGAGTGTCAGTTATCATTCCACGATAACCCTAAAACGGAAGAACCGGTCTGGCTTACAGTACCAGGTGTTCCCAAGCGGTCCCCCCCATCTAAGTACTGACCTGGCTCTACGATGCTTAACTTCGGTGATCGAACGAGAACCGGTGTTTTCAGCGTGATTTGACCGTAAGCGAAGACGTTTGCCCCAATTTCCGCTCATGAGTGTCAGTTATCATTCCACGATAACCCTAAAACGGAAGAACCGGTCTGGCTTACAGTACCAGGTGTTCCCAAGCGGTCCCCATCTAAGTACTGACCTGGCTCTACGATGCTTAACTTCGGTGATCGAACGAGAACCGGTGTTTTCAGCGTGATTTGACCGTAAGCGAAGACGTTTGCCCCAATTTCCGCTCATGAGTGTCAGTTATCATTCCACGATAACCCTAAAACGGAAGAACCGGTCTGGCTTACAGTACCAGGTGTTCCCAAGCGGTCCCCCATCTAAGTACTGACCTGGCTCTACGATGCTTAACTTCGGTGATCGAACGAGAACCGGTGTTTTCAGCGTGATTTGACCGTAAGCGAAGACGTTTGCCCCAATTTCCGCTCATGAGTGTCAGTTATCATTCCACGATAACCCTAAAACGGAAGAACCGGTCTGGCTTACAGTACCAGGTGTTCCCAAGCGGTCCCCCATCTAAGTACTGACCTGGCTCTACGATGCTTAACTTCGGTGATCGAACGAGAACCGGTGTTTTCAGCGTGATTTGACCGTAAGCGAAGACGTTTGCCCCAATTTCCGCTCATGAGTGTCACCGGTTATCATTCCACGATAACCCTAAAACGATAACCCTAAAAACGGAAGAACCGGTCTGGCTTACAGTACCAGGTGTTCCCAAGCGGTCCCCATCTAAGTACTGACCTGGCTCTACGATGCTTAACTTCGGTGATCGAACGAGAACCGGTGTTTTCAGCGTGATTTGACCGTAAGCGAAGACGTTTGCCCCAATTTCCGCTCATGAGTGTCAGTTATCATTCCACGATAACCCTAAAACGGAAGAACCGGTCTGGCTTACAGTACCAGGTGTTTTCCCAAGCGGTCCCCCATCTAAGTACTGACCTGGCTCTACGATGCTTAACTTCGGTGATCGAACGAGAACCGGTGTTTTCAACGTGATTTGACCGTAAGCGAAGACGTTTGCCCCAATTTCCGCTCATGAGTGTCAGTTATCATTCCACGATAACCCTAAAACGGAAGAACCGGTCTGGCTTACAGTACCAGGTGTTCCCAAGCGGTCCCCCATCTAAGTACTGACCTGGCTCTACGATGCTTAACTTCGGTGATCGAACGAGAACCGGTGTTTTCAGCGTGATTTGACCGTAAGCGAAGACGTTTGCCCCAATTTCCGCTCATGAGTGTCAGTTATCATTCCACGATAACCCTAAAACGGAAGAACCGGTCTGGCTTACAGTACCAGGTGTTTTCCCAAGCGGTCCCCATCTAAGTATCATTGACCTGGCTCTACGATGCTTAACTTCGGTGATCGAACGAGAACCGGTGTTTTCAGCGTGATTTGACCGTAAGCGAAGACGTTTGCCCCAATTTCCGCTCATGAGTGTCAGTTATCATTCCACGATAACCCTAAAACGGAAGAACCGGTCTGGCTTACAGTACCAGGTGTTCCCAAGCGGTCCCCCATCTAAGTACTGACCTGGCTCTACGATGCTTAACTTCGGTGATCGAACGAGAACCGGTGTTTTCAGCGTGATTTGACCGTAAGCGAAGACGTTTGCCCCAATTTCCGCTCATGAGTGTCAGTTATCATTCCACGATAACCCTAAAACGGAAGAACCGGTCTGGCTTACAGTACCAGGTGTTCCCAAGCGGTCCCCCATCTAAGTACTGACCTGGCTCTACGATGCTTAACTTCGGTGATCGAACGAGAACCGGTGTTTTCAACGTGATTTGACCGTAAGCGAAGACGTTTGCCCCAATTTCCGCTCATGAGTGTCAGTTATCATTCCACGATAACCCTAAAACGGAAGAACCGGTCTGGCTTACAGTACCAGGTGTTCCCAAGCGGTCCCCCATCTAAGTACTGACCTGGCTCTACGATGCTTAACTTCGGTGATCGAACGAGAACCGGTGTTTTCAGCGTGATTTGACCGTAAGCGAAGACGTTTGCCCCAATTTCCGCTCATGAGTGTCAGTTATCATTCCACGATAACCCTAAAACGGAAGAACCGGTCTGGCTTACAGTACCAGGTGTTCCCAAGCGGTCCCCATCTAAGTACTGACCTGGCTCTACGATGCTTAACTTCGGTGATCGAACGAGAACCGGTGTTTTCAGCGTGATTTGACCGTAAGCGAAGACGTTTGCCCCAATTTCCGCTCATGAGTGTCAGTTATCATTCCACGATAACCCTAAAACGGAAGAACCGGTCTGGCTTACAGTACCAGGTGTTCCCAAGCGGTCCCCATCTAAGTACTGACCTGGCTCTACGATGCTTAACTTCGGTGATCGAACGAGAACCGGTGTTTTCAGCGTGATTTGACCGTAAGCGAAGACGTTTGCCCCAATTTCCGCTCATGAGTGTCAGTTATCATTCCACGATAACCCTAAAACGGAAGAACCGGTCTGGCTTACAGTACCAGGTGTTCCCAAGCGGTCCCCATCTAAGTACTGACCTGGCTCTACGATGCTTAACTTCGGTGATCGAACGAGAACCGGTGTTTTCAGCGTGATTTGACCGTAAGCGAAGACGTTTGCCCCAATTTCCGCTCATGAGTGTCAGTTATCATTCCACGATAACCCTAAAACGGAAGAACCGGTCTGGCTTACAGTACCAGGTGTTCCCAAGCGGTCCCCCATCTAAGTACTGACCTGGCTCTACGATGCTTAACTTCGGTGATCGAACGAGAACCGGTGTTTTCAGCGTGATTTGACCGTAAGCGAAGACGTTTGCCCCAATTTCCGCTCATGAGTGTCAGTTATCATTCCACGATAACCCTAAAACGGAAGAACCGGTCTGGCTTACAGTACCAGGTGTTCCCAAGCGGTCCCCATCTAAGTACTGACCTGGCTCTACGATGCTTAACTTCGGTGATCGAACGAGAACCGGTGTTTTCAGCGTGATTTGACCGTAAGCGAAGACGTTTGCCCCAATTTCCGCTCATGAGTGTTTATCATTCCGATAACCCTAAAACGGAAGAACCGGTCTGGCTTACAGTACCAGGTGTTCCCAAGCGGTCCCCATCTAAGTACTGACCTGGCTCTACGATGCTTAACTTCGGTGATCGAACGAGAACCGGTTTTTTTCAGCGTGATTTGACCGTAAGCGAAGACGTTTGCCCCAATTTCCGCTCATGAGTGTCAGTTATCATTCCACGATAACCCTAAAACGGAAGAACCGGTCTGGCTTACAGTACCAGGTGTTCCCAAGCGGTCCCCCATCTAAGTACTGACCTGGCTCTACGATGCTTAACTTCGGTGATCGAACGAGAACCGGTGTTTTCAGCGTGATTTGACCGTAAGCGAAGACGTTTGCCCCAATTTCCGCTCATGAGTGTCAGTTATCATTCCACGATAACCCTAAAACGGAAGAACCGGTCTGGCTTACAGTACCAGGTGTTCCCAAGCGGTCCCCCATCTAAGTACTGACCTGGCTCTACGATGCTTAACTTCGGTGATCGAACGAGAACCGGTGTTTTCAGCGTGATTTGACCGTAAGCGAAGACGTTTGCCCCAATTTCCGCTCATGAGTGTCAGTTATCATTCCACGATAACCCTAAAACGGAAGAACCGGTCTGGCTTACAGTACCAGGTGTTCCCAAGCGGTCCCCCATCTAAGTACTGACCTGGCTCTACGATGCTTAACTTCGGTGATCGAACGAGAACCGGTGTTTTCAGCGTGATTTGACCGTAAGCGAAGACGTTTGCCCCAATTTCCGCTCATGAGTGTCAGTTATCATTCCACGATAACCCTAAAACGGAAGAACCGGTCTGGCTTACAGTACCAGGTGTTCCCAAGCGGTCCCCCATCTAAGTACTGACCTGGCTCTACGATGCTTAACTTCGGTGATCGAACGAGAACCGGTGTTTTCAGCGTGATTTGACCGTAAGCGAAGACGTTTGCCCCAATTTCCGCTCATGAGTGTCAGTTATCATTCCACGATAACCCTAAAACGGAAGAACCGGTCTGGCTTACAGTACCAGGTGTTCCCAAGCGGTCCCCCATCTAAGTACTGACCTGGCTCTACGATGCTTAACTTCGGTGATCGAACGAGAACCGGTGTTTTCAGCGTGATTTGACCGTAAGCGAAGACGTTTGCCCCAATTTCCGCTCGACGTTTGAGTGTCAGTTATCATTCCACGATAACCCTAAAACGGAAGAACCGGTCTGGCTTACAGTACCAGGTGTTCCCAAGCGGTCCCCCATCTAAGTACTGACCTGGCTCTACGATGCTTAACTTCGGTGATCGAACGAGAACCGGTGTTTTCAGACGTGATTTGACCGTAAGCGAAGACGTTTGCCCCAATTTCCGCTCATGAGTGTCAGTTATCATTCCACGATAACCCTAAAACGGAAGAACCGGTCTGGCTTACAGTACCAGGTGTTCCCAAGCGGTCCCCCATCTAAGTACTGACCTGGCTCTACGATGCTTAACTTCGGTGATCGAACGAGAACCGGTGTTTTTCAGCGTGATTTGACCGTAAGCGAAGACGTTTGCCCCAACCGAGTGTCAGTTATCATTCCACGATAACCCTAAAACGGAAGAACCGGTCTGGCTTACAGTACCAGGTGTTCCCAAGCGGTCCCCCATCTAAGTACTGACCTGGCTCTACGATGCTTAACTTCGGTGATCGAACGAGAACCGGTGTTTTCAGCGTGATTTGACCGTAAGCGAAGACGTTTGCCCCAATTTCCGCTCATGAGTGTCAGTTATCATTCCACGATAACCCTAAAACGGAAGAACCGGTCTGGCTTACAGTACCAGGTGTTCCCAAGCGGTCCCCATCTAAGTACTGACCTGGCTCTACGACGATGCTTAACTTCGGTGACTTCGGTGATCGAACGAGAACCGGTGTTTTCAGCGTGATTTGACCGTAAGCGAAGACGTTTGCCCCAATTTCCGCTCATGAGTGTCAGTTATCATTCCACGATAACCCTAAAACGGAAGAACCGGTCTGGCTTACAGTACCAGGTGTTCCCAAGCGGTCCCCCATCTAAGTACTGACCTGGCTCTACGATGCTTAACTTCGGTGATCGAACGAGAACCGGTGTTTTCAGCGTGATTTGACCGTAAGCGAAGACGTTTGCCCCAATTTCCGCTCATGAGTGTCAGTTATCATTCCACGATAACCCTAAAACGGAAGAACCGGTCTGGCTTACAGTACCAGGTGTTCCCAAGCGGTCCCCCATCTAAGTACTGACCTGGCTCTACGATGCTTAACTTCGGTGATCGAACGAGAACCGGTGTTTTCAGCGTGATTTGACCGTAAGCGAAGACGTTTGCCCCAATTTCCGCTCATGAGTGTCAGTTATCATTCCACGATAACCCTAAAACGGAAGAACCGGTCTGGCTTACAGTACCAGGTGTTCCCAAGCGGTCCCCCATCTAAGTACTGACCTGGCTCTACGATGCTTAACTTCGGTGATCGAACGAGAACCGGTGTTTTCAGCGTGATTTGACCGTAAGCGAAGACGTTTGCCCCAATTTCCGCTCATGAGTGTCAGTTATCATTCCACGATAACCCTAAAACGGAAGAACCGGTCTGGCTTACAGTACCAGGTGTTCCCAAGCGGTCCCCATCTAAGTACTGACCTGGCTCTACGATGCTTAACTTCGGTGATCGAACGAGAACCGGTGTTTTCAGCGTGATTTGACCGTAAGCGAAGACGTTTGCCCCAATTTCCGCTCATGAGTGTCAGTTATCATTCCACGATAACCCTAAAACGGAAGAACCGGTCTGGCTTACAGTACCAGGTGTTCCCAAGCGGTCCCCATCCTAAAACGGAAGAACTGACCTGGCTCTACGATGCTTAACTTCGGTGATCGAACGAGAACCGGTGTTTTCAGCGTGATTTGACCGTAAGCGAAGACGTTTGCCCCAATTTCCGCTCATGAGTGTCAGTTATCATTCCACGATAACCCTAAAACGGAAGAACCGGTCTGGCTTACAGTACCAGGTGTTCCCAAGCGGTCCCCCATCTAAGTACTGACCTGGCTCTACGATGCTTAACTTCGGTGATCGAACGAGAACCGGTGTTTTCAACGTGATTTGACCGTAAGCGAAGACGTTTGCCCCAATTTCCGCTCATGAGTGTCAGTTATCATTCCACGATAACCCTAAAACGGAAGAACCGGTCTGGCTTACAGTACCAGGTGTTCCCAAGCGGTCCCCATCTAAGTACTGACCTGGCTCTACGATGCTTAACTTCGGTGATCGAACGAGAACCGGTGTTTTCAGCGTGATTTGACCGTAAGCGAAGACGTTTGCCCCAATTTCCGCTCATGAGTGTCAGTTATCATTCCACGATAACCCGGAAAAACGGAAGAACCGGTCTGGCTTACAGTACCAGGTGTTCCCGAAGCGGTCCCCCATCTAAGTACATTGACCTGGCCTAAAACGATGCTTAACTTCGGTGATCGAACGAGAACCGGTGTTTTCAGCGTGATTTGACCGTAAGCGAAGACGTTTGCCCCAATTTCCGCTCATGAGTGTCAGTTATCATTCCACGATAACCCTAAAACGGAAGAACCGGTCTGGCTTACAGTACCAGGTGTTCCCAAGCGGTCCCCATCTAAGTACTGACCTGGCTCTACGATGCTTAACTTCGGTGATCGAACGAGAACCGGTGTTTTCAGCGTGATTTGACCGTAAGCGAAGACGTTTGCCCCAATTTCCGCTCATGAGTGTCAGTTATCATTCCACGATAACCCTAAAACGGAAGAACCGGTCTGGCTTACAGTACCAGGTGTTCCCAAGCGGTCCCCCATCTAAGTACTGACCTGGCTCTACGATGCTTAACTTCGGTGATCGAACGAGAACCGGTGTTTTCAGCGTGATTTGACCGTAAGCGAAGACGTTTGCCCTAAAACGGAAGAATTTCCGCTCATGAGGTGTCCCAAGCGGTTATCATTCCACGATAACCCTAAAACGGAAGAACCGGTCTGGCTTACAGTACCAGGTGTTCCCAAGCGGTCCCCCATCTAAGTACTGACCTGGCTCTACGATGCTTAACTTCGGTGATCGAACGAGAACCGGTGTTTTCAGCGTGATTTGACCGTAAGCGAAGACGTTTGCCCCAATTTCCGCTCATGAGTGTCAGTTATCATTCCACGATAACCCTAAAACGGAAGAACCGGTCTGGCTTACAGTACCAGGTGTTCCCAAGCGGTCCCCCTCTAAGTACTGACCTGGCTCTACGATGCTTAACTTCGGTGATCGAACGAGAACCGGTGTTTTCAGCGTGATTTGACCGTAAGCGAAGACGTTTGCCCCAATTTCCGCTCATGAGTGTCAGTTATCATTCCACGATAACCCTAAAACGGAAGAACCGGTCTGGCTTACAGTACCAGGTGTTCCCAAGCGGTCCCCCATCTAAGTACTGACCTGGCTCTACGATGCTTAACTTCGGTGATCGAACGAGAACCGGTGTTTTCAGCGTGATTTGACCGTAAGCGAAGACGTTTGCCCCAATTTCCGCTCATGAGTGTCAGTTATCATTCCACGATAACCCTAAAACGGAAGAACCGGTCTGGCTTACAGTACCAGGTGTTCCCAAGCGGTCCCCATCTAAGTACTGACCTGGCTCTACGATGCTTAACTTCGGTGATCGAACGAGAACCGGTGTTTTCAGCGTTTTTTGACGGTAAGCGAAGACGTTTTGCCCCAATTTCCGCTCATGAGTGTCAGTTATCATTCCACGATAACCCTAAAACGGAAGAACCGGTCTGGCTTACAGTACCAGGTGTTCCCAAGCGGTCCCCATCTAAGTACTGACCTGGCTCTACGATGCTTACTTCGGTGATCGAACGAGAACCGGTGTTTTCAGCGTGATTTGACCGTAAGCGAAGACGTTTGCCCCAATTTCCGCTCATGAGTGTCAGTTATCATTCCACGATAACCCTAAAACGGAAGAACCGGTCTGGCTTACAGTACCAGGTGTTCCCAAGCGGTCCCCCATCTAAGTACTGACCTGGCTCTACGATGCTTAATTTCGGTGATCGAACGAGAACCGGTGTTTTCAGCGTGATTTGACCGTAAGCGAAGACGTTTGCCCCAATTTCCGCTCATGAGTGTCAGTTATCATTCCACGATAACCCTAAAACGGAAGAACCGGTCTGGCTTACAGTACCAGGTGTTCCCAAGCGGTCCCCATCTAAGTACTGACCTGGCTCTACGATGCTTAACTTCGGTGATCGAACGAACGGTGTTTTCAGCGTGAACCGTAAGCGAAGACGTTTGCCCCAATTTTCATGAGTGTCAGTTATTTGATAACCCTAAAACGGAAGAAGCGAAGACGTTTGTCCCCCCTAAATGACCTTCCGCTTCTTCGGTGATCGAACGAGAACCGGTGTTTTCACGTGATTTATCATTCCACGATCAGTTATCATTCCACGATGACCCTAAAACGGAAGAACCGGTCTGGCTTACAGTACCAGGTGTTCCCAAGCGGTCCCCCATCTAAGTACTGACCTGGCTCTACGATGCTTAACTTCGGTGATCGAACGAGAACCGGTGTTTTCAGCGTGATTTGACCGTAAGCGAAGACGTTTGCCCCAATTTCCGCTCATGAGTGTCAGTTATCATTCCACGATAACCCTAAAACGGAAGAACCGGTCTGGCTTACAGTACCAGGTGTTCCCAAGCGGTCCCCCATCTAAGTACTGACCTGGCTCTACGATGCTTAACTTCGGTGATCGAACGAGAACCGGTGTTTTCAGCAACGTGATTTGACCGTAAGCGAAGACGTTTGCCCCAATTTCCGCTCATGAGTGTCAGTTATCATTCCACGATAACCCTAAAACGGAAGAACCGGTCTGGCTTACAGTACCAGGTGTTCCCAAGCGGTCCCCCATCTAAGTACTGACCTGGCTCTACGATGCGGTGATCGAACGAGAACCGGTGTTTTTAACGAAGACGTTTGCCCCAATTTTCGGTGAGAACCGGTCTGGCTTACAGTACCAGGTGTTCCCAAGCGGCCCCCCCATCAATAAGTACTGACCTGGAACGAGAACCGGTGTTTTCAGACGTGATTTGACCGTAAGCGAAGACGTTTGCCCCAATTTCCGCTCATGAGTGTGTTATCATTTTTCACCGGTCGTGATTTGACCGTACTTCGGTGATCGAACGAGAACGTTTTGCGTGATTTGACCGTAAGCGAAGACGTTTGCCCCAATTTCCGCTCATGAGTGTCAGTTATCATTCCACGATAACCCTAAAACGGAAGAACCGGTCTGGCTTACAGTACCAGGTGTTCCCAAGCGGTCCCCCATCTAAGTACTGACCTGGCTCTACGATGCTTAACTTCGGTGATCGAACGAGAACCGGTGTTTTCAGCGTGATTTGACCGTAAGCGAAGACGTTTGCCCCAATTTCCGCTCATGAGTGTCAGTTATCATTCCACGATAACCCTAAAACGGAAGAACCGGTCTGGCTTACAGTACCAGGTGTTCCCAAGCGGTCCCCCATCTAAGTACTGACCTGGCTCTACGATGCTTAACTTCGGTGATCGAACGAGAACCGGTGTTTTCAGCGTGATTTGACCGTAAGCGAAGACGTTTGCCCCAATTTCCGCTCATGAGTGTCAGTTATCATTCCACGATAACCCTAAAACGGAAGAACCGGTCTGGCTTACAGTACCAGGTGTTCCCAAGCGGTCCCCCATCTAAGTACTGACCTGGCTCTACGATGCTTAACTTCGGTGATCGAACGAGAACCGGTGTTTTCAGCGTGATTTGACCGTAAGCGAAGACGTTTGCCCCAATTTCCGCTCATGAGTGTCAGTTATCATTCCACGATAACCCTAAAACGGAAGAACCGGTCTGGCTTACAGTACCAGGTGTTCCCAAGCGGTCCCCCATCTAAGTACTGACCTGGCTCTACGATGCTTAACTTCGGTGATCGAACGAGAACCGGTGTTTTCAGCGTGATTTGACCGTAAGCGAAGACGTTTGCCCCAATTTCCGCTCATGAGTGTCAGTTATCATTCCACGATAACCCTAAAACGGAAGAACCGGTCTGGCTTACAGTACCAGGTGTTCCCAAGCGGTCCCCCATCTAAGTACTGACCTGGCTCTACGATGCTTAACTTCGGTGATCGAACGAGAACCGGTGTTTTCAGCGTGATTTGACCGTAAGCGAAGACGTTTGCCCCAATTTCCGCTCATGAGTGTCAGTTATCATTCCACGATAACCCTAAAACGGAAGAACCGGTCTGGCTTACAGTACCAGGTGTTCCCAAGCGGTCCCCCCATCTAAGTACTGACCTGGCTCTACGATGCTTAACTTCGGTGATCGAACGAGAACCGGTGTTTTCAGCGTGATTTGACCGTAAGCGAAGACGTTTGCCCCAATTTCCGCTCATGAGTGTCAGTTATCATTCCACGATAACCCTAAAACGGAAGAACCGGTCTGGCTTACAGTACCAGGTGTTCCCAAGCGGTCCCCCATCTAAGTACTGACCTGGCTCTACGATGCTTAACTTCGGTGATCGAACGAGAACCGGTGTTTTCAGCGTGATTTGACCGTAAGCGAAGACGTTTGCCCCAATTTCCGCTCATGAGTGTCAGTTATCATTCCACGATAACCCTAAAACGGAAGAACCGGTCTGGCTTACAGTACCAGGTGTTCCCAAGCGGTCCCCCATCTAAGTACTGACCTGGCTCTACGATGCTTAACTTCGGTGATCGAACGAGAACCGGTGTTTTCAGCGTGATTTGACCGTAAGCGACTGGTGATCCGCGGTGTTTTCAATGAGACCGTAAGCGAAGACGTTTGCCCCAATTTCCGCTCATGAGTGTCAGTTATCATTCCACGATAACCCTAAAACGGAAGAACCGGTCTGGCTTACAGTACCAGGTGTTCCCAAGCGGTCCCCATCTAAGTACTGACCTGGCTCTCTACGATGCTTAACTTCGGTGATCGAACGAGAACCGGTGTTTTCAACGTGATTTGACCGTAAGCGAAGACGTTTGCCCCAATTTCCGCTCATGAGTGTCAGTTATCATTCCACGATAACCCTAAAACGGAAGAACCGGTCTGGCTTACAGTACCAGGTGTTCCCAAGCGGTCCCCCATCTAAGTACTGACCTGGCTCTACGATGCTTAACTTCGGTGATCGAACGAGAACCGGTGTTTTCAGCGTGATTTGACCGTAAGCGAAGACGTTTGCCCCAATTTCCGCTCATGAGTGTCAGTTATCATTCCACGATAACCCTAAAACGGAAGAACCGGTCTGGCTTACAGTACCAGGTGTTCCCAAGCGGTCCCCCATCTAAGTACTGACCTGGCTCTACGATGCTTAACTTCGGTGATCGAACGAGAACCGGTGTTTTCAGCGTGATTTGACCGTAAGCGAAGACGTTTGCCCCAATTTCCGCTCATGAGTGTCAGTTATCATTCCACGATAACCCTAAAACGGAAGAACCGGTCTGGCTTACAGTACCAGGTGTTCCCAAGCGGTCCCCATCTAAGTACTGACCTGGCTCTACGATGCTTAACTTCGGTGATCGAACGAGAACCGGTGTTTTCAGCGTGATTTGACCGTAAGCGAAGACGTTTGCCCCAATTTCCGCTCATGAGTGTCAGTTATCATTCCACGATAACCCTAAAACGGAAGAACCGGTCTGGCTTACAGTACCAGGTGTTCCCAAGCGGTCCCCCATCTAAGTACTGACCTGGCTCTACGATGCTTAACTTCGGTGATCGAACGAGAACCGGTGTTTTCAGCGTGATTTGACCGTAAGCGAAGACGTTTGCCCCAATTTCCGCTCATGAGTGTCAGTTATCATTCCACGATAACCCTAAAACGGAAGAACCGGTCTGGCTTACAGTACCAGGTGTTCCCAAGCGGTCCCCCATCTAAGTACTGACCTGGCTCTACGATGCTTAACTTCGGTGATCGAACGAGAACCGGTGTTTTCAGCGTGATTTGACCGTAAGCGAAGACGTTTGCCCCAATTTCCGCTCATGAGTGTCAGTTATCATTCCACGATAACCCTAAAACGGAAGAACCGGTCTGGCTTACAGTACCAGGTGTTCCCAAGCGGTCCCCCATCTAAGTACTGACCTGGCTCTACGATGCTTAACTTCGGTGATCGAACGAGAACCGGTGTTTTCAGCGTGATTTGACCGTAAGCGAAGACGTTTGCCCCAATTTCCGCTCATGAGTGTCAGTTATCATTCCACGATAACCCTAAAACGGAAGAACCGGTCTGGCTTACAGTACCAGGTGTTCCCAAGCGGTCCCCCATCTAAGTACTGACCTGGCTCTACGATGCTTAACTTCGGTGATCGAACGAGAACCGGTGTTTTCAGCGTGATTTGACCGTAAGCGAAGACGTTTGCCCCAATTTCCGCTCATGAGTGTCAGTTATCATTCCACGATAACCCTAAAACGGAAGAACCGGTCTGGCTTACAGTACCAGGTGTTCCCAAGCGGTCCCCCATCTAAGTACTGACCTGGCTCTACGATGCTTAACTTCGGTGATCGAACGAGAACCGGTGTTTTCAGCGTGATTTGACCGTAAGCGAAGACGTTTGCCCCAATTTCCGCTCATGAGTGTCAGTTATCATCCACGATAACCCTAAAACGGAAGAACCGGTCTGGCTTACAGTACCAGGTGTTCCCAAGCGGTCCCCCATCTAAGTACTGACCTGGCTCTACGATGCTTAACTTCGGTGATCGAACGAGAACCGGTGTTTTCAGCGTGATTTGACCGTAAGCGAAGACGTTTGCCCCAATTTCCGCTCATGAGTGTCAGTTATCATTCCACGATAACCCTAAAACGGAAGAACCGGTCTGGCTTACAGTACCAGGTGTTCCCAAGCGGTCCCCATCTAAGTACTGACCTGGCTCTACGATGCTTAACTTCGGTGATCGAACGAGAACCGGTGTTTTCAGCGTGATTTGACCGTAAGCGAAGACGTTTGCCCCAATTTCCGCTCATGAGTGTCAGTTATCATTCCACGATAACCCTAAAACGGAAGAACCGGTCTGGCTTACAGTACCAGGTGTTCCCAAGCGGTCCCCATCTAAGTACTGACCTGGCTCTACGATGCTTAACTTCGGTGATCGAACGAGAACCGGTGTTTTCAGCGTGATTTGACCGTAAGCGAAGACGTTTGCCCCAATTTCCGCTCATGAGTGTCAGTTATCATTCCACGATAACCCTAAAACGGAAGAACCGGTCTGGCTTACAGTACCAGGTGTTCCCAAGCGGTCCCCCATCTAAGTACTGACCTGGCTCTACGATGCTTAACTTCGGTGATCGAACGAGAACCGGTGTTTTCAGCGTGATTTGACCGTAAGCGAAGACGTTTGCCCCAATTTCCGCTCATGAGTGTCAGTTATCATTCCACGATAACCCTAAAACGGAAGAACCGGTCTGGCTTACAGTACCAGGTGTTCCCAAGCGGTCCCCCATCTAAGTACTGACCTGGCTCTACGATGCTTAACTTCGGTGATCGAACGAGAACCGGTGTTTTCAGCGTGATTTGACCGTAAGCGAAGACGTTTGCCCCAATTTCCGCTCATGAGTGTCAGTTATCATTCCACGATAACCCTAAAACGGAAGAACCGGTCTGGCTTACAGTACCAGGTGTTCCCAAGCGGTCCCCATCTAAGTACTGACCTGGCTCTACGATGCTTAACTTCGGTGATCGAACGAGAACCGGTGTTTTCAGCGTGATTTGACCGTAAGCGAAGACGTTTGCCCCAATTTCCGCTCATGAGTGTCAGTTATCATTCCACGATAACCCTAAAACGGAAGAACCGGTCTGGCTTACAGTACCAGGTGTTCCCAAGCGGTCCCCCCCCATCTAAGTACTGACCTGGCTCTACGATGCTTAACTTCGGTGATCGAACGAGAACCGGTGTTTTCAGCGTGATTTGACCGTAAGCGAAGACGTTTGCCCCAATTTCCGCTCATGAGTGTCAGTTATCATTCCACGATAACCCTAAAACGGAAGAACCGGTCTGGCTTACAGTACCAGGTGTTCCCAAGCGGTTCCCCATCTAAGTACTGACCTGGCTCTACGATGCTTAACTTCGGTGATCGAACGAGAACCGGTGTTTTCAGCGTGATTTGACCGTAAGCGAAGACGTTTGCCCCAATTTCCGCTCATGAGTGTCAGTTATCATTCCACGATAACCCTAAAACGGAAGAACCGGTCTGGCTTACAGTACCAGGTGTTCCCAAGCGGTCCCCCATCTAAGTACTGACCTGGCTCTACGATGCTTAACTTCGGTGATCGAACGAGAACCGGTGTTTTCAGCGTGATTTGACCGTAAGCGAAGACGTTTGCCCCAATTTCCGCTCATGAGTGTCAGTTATCATTCCACGATAACCCTAAAACGGAAGAACCGGTCTGGCTTACAGTACCAGGTGTTCCCAAGCGGTCCCCCATCTAAGTACTGACCTGGAACGAGAACCGATGTTTTAACTTCGGTGATCGAACGAGAACCGGTGTTTTCAGCGTGATTTGACCGTAAGCGAAGACGTTTGCCCCAATTTCCGCTCATCGAGTGTCAGTTATCATTCCACGATAACCCTAAAACGGAAGAACCGGTCTGGCTTACAGTACCAGGTGTTCCCAAGCGGTCCCCCATCTAAGTACTGACCTGGCTCTACGATGCTTAACTTCGGTGATCGAACGAGAACCGGTGTTTTCAGCGTGATTTGACCGTAAGCGAAGACGTTTGCCCCAATTTCCGCTCATGAGTGTCAGTTATCATTCCACGATAACCCTAAAACGGAAGAACCGGTCTGGCTTACAGTACCAGGTGTTCCCAAGCGGTCCCCCATCTAAGTACTGACCTGGCTCTACGATGCTTAACTTCGGTGATCGAACGAGAACCGGTGTTTTCAGCGTGATTTGACCGTAAGCGAAGACGTTTGCCCCAATTTCCGCTCATGAGTGTCAGTTATCATTCCACGATAACCCTAAAACGGAAGAACCGGTCTGGCTTACAGTACCAGGTGTTCCCAAGCGGTCCCCCCATCTAAGTACTGACCTGGCTCTACGATGCTTAACTTCGGTGATCGAACGAGAACCGGTGTTTTCAGCGTGATTTGACCGTAAGCGATTTGACCGTAAGCGACAGACGTTTGCCCCAATTTCCGCTCATGAGTGTCAGTTATCATTCCACGATAACCCTAAAACGGAAGAACCGGTCTGGCTTACAGTACCAGGTGTTCCCAAGCGGTCCCCATCTAAGTACTGACCTGGCTCTACGATGCTTAACTTCGGTGATCGAACGAGAACCGGTGTTTTCAGCGTGTTTGATTTGACCGTAAGCGAAGACGTTTGCCCCAATTTCCGCTCATGAGTGTCAGTTATCATTCCACGATAACCCTAAAACGGAAGAACCGGTCTGGCTTACAGTACCAGGTGTTCCCAAGCGGTCCCCCATCTAAGTACTGACCTGGCTCTACGATGCTTAACTTCGGTGATCGAACGAGAACCGGTGTTTTCAGCGTGATTTGACCGTAAGCGAAGACGTTTGCCCCAATTTCCGCTCATGAGTGTCAGTTATCATTCCACGATAACCCTAAAACGGAAGAACCGGTCTGGCTTACAGTACCAGGTGTTCCCCAAGCGGTCCCCCATCTAAGTACTGACCTGGCTCTACGATGCTTAACTTCGGTGATCGAACGAGAACCGGTGTTTTCAGCGTGATTTGACCGTAAGCGAAGACGTTTGCCCCAATTTCCGCTCATGAGTGTCAGTTATCATTCCACGATAACCCTAAAACGGAAGAACCGGTCTGGCTTACAGTACCAGGTGTTCCCAAGCGGTCCCCCATCTAAGTACTGACCTGGCTCTACGATGCTTAACTTCGGTGATCGAACGAGAACCGGTGTTTTCAGCGTGATTTGACCGTAAGCGAAGACGTTTGCCCCAATTTCCGCTCATGAGTGTCAGTTATCATTCCACGATAACCCTAAAACGGAAGAACCGGTCTGGCTTACAGTACCAGGTGTTATCATTTCCCAAGCGGTCCCCCATCTAAGTACTGACCTGGCTCTACGATGCTTAACTTCGGTGATCGAACGAGAACCGGTGTTTTCAGCGTGATTTGACCGTAAGCGAAGACGTTTGCCCCAATTTCCGCTCATGAGTGTCATTCAGTTATCATTCCACGATAACCCTAAAACGGAAGAACCGGTCTGGCTTACAGTACCAGGTGTTCCCAAGCGGTCCCCCATCTAAGTACTGACCTGGCTCTACGATGCTTAACTTCGGTGATCGAACGAGAACCGGTGTTTTCAGCGTGATTTGACCGTAAGCGAAGACGTTTGCCCCAATTTCCGCTCATGAGTGTCAGTTATCATTCCACGATAACCCTAAAACGGAAGAACCGGTCTGGCTTACAGTACCAGGTGTTCCCAAGCGGTCCCCATCTAACCTGGTACTGACCTGGCGGTCGTGATTTGACCGATGCTTAACTTCGGTGATCGAACGAGAACCGGTGTTTTCAGCGTGATTTGACCGTAAGACCGAAGACGTTTGCCCCAATTTCCGCTCATGAGTGTCAGTTATCATTCCACGATAACCCTAAAACGGAAGAACCGGTCTGGCTTACAGTACCAGGTGTTCCCAAGCGGTCCCCCATCTAAGTACTGACCTGGCTCTACGATGCTTAACTTCGGTGATCGAACGAGAACCGGTGTTTTCAGCGTGATTTGACCGTAAGCGAAGACGTTTGCCCCAATTTCCGCTCATGAGTGTCAGTTATCATTCCACGATAACCCTAAAACGGAAGAACCGGTCTGGCTTACAGTACCAGGTGTTCCCAAGCGGTCCCCATCTAAGTACTGACCTGGCTCTACGATGCTTAACTTCGGTGATCGAACGAGAACCGGTGTTTTCAGCGTGATTTGACCGTAAGCGAAGACGTTTGCCCCAATTTCCGCTCATGAGTGTCAGTTATCATTCCACGATAACCCTAAAACGGAAGAACCGGTCTGGCTTACAGTACCAGGTGTTCCCAAGCGGTCCCCCATCTAAGTACTGACCTGGCTCTACGATGCTTAACTTCGGTGATCGAACGAGAACCGGATTTGACCGTTTTCAGCGTGATTTGACCGTAAGCGAAGACGTTTGTTTAAGCGGTCCCCCCTAAGTACTGAATTTCCGCTCATGAGTGTCAGTTATCATTCCACGATAACCCTAAAACGGAAGAACCGGTCTGGCTTACAGTACCAGGTGTTCCCAAGCGGTCCCCCATCTAAGTACTGACCTGGCTCTACGATGCTTAACTTCGGTGATCGAACGAGAACCGGTGTTTTCAGCGTGATTTGACCGTAAGCGAAGACGTTTGCCCCAATTTCCGCTCATGAGTGTCAGTTATCATTCCACGATAACCCTAAAACGGAAGAACCGGTCTGGCTTACAGTACCAGGTGTTCCCAAGCGAAGGTCCCCCATCTAAGTACTAAAACGGAAGACCTGGCTCTACGATGCTTAACTTCGGTGATCGAACGAGAACCGGTGTTTTCAGCGTGATTTGACCGTAAGCGAAGACGTTTGCCCCAATTTCCGCTCATGAGTGTCAGTTATCATTCCACGATAACCCTAAAACGGAAGAACCGGTCTGGCTTACAGTACCAGGTGTTCCCAAGCGGTCCCCATCTAAGTACTGACCTGGCTCTACGATGCTTAACTTCGGTGATCGAACGAGAACCGGTGTTTTCAGCGTGATTTGACCGTAAGCGAAGACGTTTGCCCCAATTTCCGCTCATGAGTGTCAGTTATCATTCCACGATAACCCTAAAACGGAAGAACCGGTCTGGCTTACAGTACCAGGTGTTCCCAAGCGGTCCCCCATCTAAGTACTGACCTGGCTCTACGATGCTTAACTTCGGTGATCGAACGAGAACCGGTGTTTTCAGCGTGATTTGACCGTAAGCGAAGACGTTTGCCCCAATTTCCGCTCATGAGTGTCAGTTATCATTCCACGATAACCCTAAAACGGAAGAACCGGTCTGGCTTACAGTACCAGGTGTTCCCAAGCGGTCCCCCATCTAAGTACTGACCTGGCTCTACGATGCTTAACTTCGGTGATCGAACGAGAACCGGTGTTTTCAGCGTGATTTGACCGAAGAAGTCGAAGACGTTTGCCCCAATTTCCGCTCATGAGTGTCAGTTATCATTCCACGATAACCCTAAAACGGAAGAACCGGTCTGGCTTTACAGTACCAGGTGTTCCCAAGCGGTCCCCCATCTAAGTACTGACCTGGCTCTACGATGCTTAACTTCGGTGATCGAACGAGAACCGGTGTTTTCAGCGTGATTTGACCGTAAGCGAAGACGTTTGCCCCAATTTCCGCTCATGAGTGTCAGTTATCATTCCACGATAACCCTAAAACGGAAGAACCGGTCTGGCTTACAGTACCAGGTGTTCCCAAGCGGTCCCCATCTAAGTACTGACCTGGCTCTACGATGCTTAACTTCGGTGATCGAACGAGAACCGGTGTTTTCAGCGTGATTTGACCGTAAGCGAAGACGTTTGCCCCAATTTCCGCTCATGAGTGTCAGTTATCATTCCACGATAACCCTAAAACGGAAGAACCGGTCTGGCTTACAGTACCAGGTGTTCCCAAGCGGTCCCCCATCTAAGTACTGACCTGGCTCTACGATGCTTAACTTCGGTGATCGAACGAGAACCGGTGTTTTCAGCGTGATTTGACCGTAAGCGAAGACGTTTGCCCCAATTTCCGCTCATGAGTGTCAGTTATCATTCCACGATAACCCTAAAACGGAAGAACCGGTCTGGCTTACAGTACCAGGTGTTCCCAAGCGGTCCCCATCTAAGTACTGACCTGGCTCTACGATGCTTAACTTCGGTGATCGAACGAGAACCGGTGTTTTCAGCGTGATTTGACCGTAAGCGAAGACGTTTGCCCCAATTTCCGCTCATGAGTGTCAGTTATCATTCCACGATAACCCTAAAACGGAAGAACCGGTCTGGCTTACAGTACCAGGTGTTCCCAAGCGGTCCCCATCTAAGTACTGACCTGGCTCGGTGATCGAACGATGCTTAACGTTCGGTGATCGAACGAGAACCGGTGTTTTCTGGCTTACAGTACCAGGTGATTTGACCGTAACTTCGGTGATCGAACGAAGACGTTTGCCCCAATTTCCGCTCATGAGTGTCAGTTATCATTCCACGATAACCCTAAAACGGAAGAACCGGTCTGGCTTACAGTACCAGGTGTTCCCAAGCGGTCCCCCATCTAAGTACTGACCTGGCTCTACGATGCTTAACTTCGGTGATCGAACGAGAACCGGTGTTTTCAGCGTGATTTGACCGTAAGCGAAGACGTTTGCCCCAATTTCCGCTCATGAGTGTCAGTTATCATTCCACGATAACCCTAAAACGGAAGAACCGGTCTGGCTTACAGTACCAGGTGTTCCCAAAGCGGTCCCCATCTAAGTACTGACCTGGCTCTACGATGCTTAACTTCGGTGATCGAACGAGAACCGGTGTTTTCAGCGTGATTTGACCGTAAGCGAAGACGTTTGCCCCAATTTCCGCTCATGAGTGTCAGTTATCATTCCACGATAACCCTAAAACGGAAGAACCGGGTCTGGCTTACAGTACCAGGTGTTCCCAAGCGGTCCCCCCATCTAAGTACTGACCTGGCTCTACGATGCTTAACTTCGGTGATCGAACGAGAACCGGTGTTTTCAGCGTGATTTGACCGTAAGCGAAGAAGACGTTAACCCCCAAGTACCAGGTGTTTTCCGGTCCCCTCATGACCTGGTCGATGTTATCATTCCACGATAACCGTTATCATTCCACGATAAAAACGGAAGAACCGGTCTGGCTTACAGTACCAGGTGTTCCCAAGCGGTCCCCATCTAAGTACTGACCTGGCTCTACGATGCTTAACTTCGGTGATCGAACGAGAACCGGTGTTTTCAGCGTGATTTGACCGTAAGCGAAGACGTTTGCCCCAATTTCCGCTCATGAGTGTCAGTTATCATTCCACGATAACCCTAAAACGGAAGAACCGGTCTGGCTTACAGTACCAGGTGTTCCCAAGCGGACCCCCAGCTAAGTAATGACCTGGCTCTACGAAGTCGGTGATCTGACCTGGGTTTTCTACGATGCTTAATTTCGGTGATCGAACGAGAACCGGTGTTTTCAGCGTGATTTGACCGTAAGCGAAGACGTTTGCCCCAATTTCCGCTCATGAGTGTCAGTTATCATTCCACGATAACCCTAAAACGGAAGAACCGGTCTGGCTTACAGTACCAGGTGTTCCCAAGCGGTCCCCATCTAAGTACTGACCTGGCTCTACGATGCTTAACTTCGGTGATCGAACGAGAACCGGTGTTTTCAGCGTGATTTGACCGTAAGCGAAGACGTTTGCCCCAATTTCCGCTCATGAGTGTCAGTTATCATTCCACGATAACCCTAAAACGGAAGAACCGGTCTGGCTTACAGTACCAGGTGTTCCCAAGCGGTCCCCCATCTAAGTACTGACCTGGCTCTACGATGCTTAACTTCGGTGATCGAACGAGAACCGGTGTTTTCAGCGTGATTTGACCGTAAGCGAAGACGTTTGCCCCAATTTCCGCTCATGAGTGTCAGTTATCATTCCACGATAACCGGTCCCTAAAACGGAAGAACCGGTCTGGCGGTGTTTTCAGCGTGATTTTACGAAGAGTACCAGGTGTTCCCAAGTACCAGGGTCCCCCATCTAAGTACTGACCTGGCTCTACGATGCTTAACTTCGGTGATCGAACGAGAACCGGTGTTTTCAGCGTGATTTGACCGTAAGCGAAGACGTTTGCCCCAATTTCCGCTCATGAGTGTCAGTTATCATTCCACGATAACCCTAAAACGGAAGAACCGGTCTGGCTTACAGTACCAGGTGTTCCCAAGCGGTCCCCATCTAAGTACTGACCTGGCTCTACGATGCTTAACTTCGGTGATCGAACGAGAACCGGTGTTTTCAGCGTGATTTGACCGTAAGCGAAGACGTTTGCCCCAATTTCCGCTCATGAGTGTCAGTTATCATTCCACGATAACCCTAAAACGGAAGAACCGGTCTGGCTTACAGTACCAGGTGTTCCCAAGCGGTCCCCCATCTAAGTACTGACCTGGCTCTCGGAACGAGAACCGGTGTTTTCAGTGATTTGACCGTAAGCGAAGACGTTTACGATGCTTAACTTCGGTGATCGAACGAGAACCGGTGTTTTCAGCGTGATTTGACCGTAAGCGAAGACGTTTGCCCCAATTTCCGCTCATGAGTGTCAGTTATCATTCCACGATAACCCTAAAACGGAAGAACCGGTCTGGCTTACAGTACCAGGTGTTCCCAAGCGGTCCCCCATCTAAGTACTGACCTGGCTCTACGATGCTTAACTTCGGTGATCGAACGAGAACCGGTGTTTTCAGCGTGATTTGACCGTAAGCGAAGACGTTTGCCCCAATTTCCGCTCATGAGTGTCAGTTATCATTCCACGATAACCCTAAAACGGAAGAACCGGTCTGGCTTACAGTACCAGGTGTTCCAAGCGGTCCCCCATCTAAGTACTGACCTGGTACGATGCTTAACCGGTGATCGAACGAGAACCGGTGTTTTCGTGATTTGACCGTAAGCGAAGACGTTTGATTTCCGCTCATGAGTGGTTATCATTCCACGATAACCCTAAAACGGAAGAACCGGTCTGGCTTACAGTACCAGGTGTTCCGGTGATGGAACGATGCTTAACTTCGGTGATCGAACGAGAACCGGTGTTTTCAGCGTGATTTGACCGTAAGCGAAGACGTTTGCCCCAATTTCCGCTCATGAGTGTCAGTTATCATTCCACGATAACCCTAAAACGGAAGAACCGGTCTGGCTTACAGTACCAGGTGTTCCCAAGCGGTCCCCATCTAAGTACTGACCTGGCTCTACGATGCTTAACTTCGGTGATCGAACGAGAACCGGTGTTTTCAGCGTGATTTGACCGTAAGCGAAGACGTTTGCCCCAATTTCCGCTCATGAGTGTCAGTTATCATTCCACGATAACCCTAAAACGGAAGAACCGGTCTGGCTTACAGTACCAGGTGTTCCCAAGCGGTCCCCCATCTAAGTACTGACCTGGCTCTACGATGCTTAACTTCGGTGATCGAACGAGAACCGGTGTTTTCAGCGTGATTTGACCGTAAGCGAAGACGTTTGCCCCAATTTCCGCTCATGAGTGTCAGTTATCATTCCACGATAACCCTAAACGGAAGAACCGGTCTGGCTTACAGTACCAGGTGTTCCCAAGCGGTCCCCCATCTAAGAACTACTGGACCTGGCTCCCCATCTACGATGCTTAATGCTTAACTTCGGTGATCGAACGAGAACCGGTGTTTTGATCGAACGAGAACCGGTGTTTTCAAGCGTGATTTGACCGTGATCGAACGAAGACGTGATTTGCCCCAATTTCCGCTCATGAGTGTCAGTTATCATTCCACGATAACCCTAAAACGGAAGAACCGGTCTGGCTTACAGTACCAGGTGTTCCCAAGCGGTCCCCATCTAAGTACTGACCTGTTTCTACGATGCTTAACTTCGGTGATCGAACGAGAACCGGTGTTTTCAGCGTGATTTGACCGTAAGCGAAGACGTTTGCCCCAATTTCCGCTCATGAGTGTCAGTTATCATTCCACGATAACCCTAAAACGGAAGAACCGGTCTGGCTTACAGTACCAGGTGTTCCCAAGCGGTCCCCATCTAAGTACTGGACCTGGCTCTACGATGCTTAACTTCGGTGATCGAACGAGAACCGGTGTTTTCAGCGTGATTTGACCGTAAGCGAAGACGTTTGCCCCAATTTCCGCTCATGAGTGTCAGTTATCATTCCACGATAACCCTAAAACGGAAGAACCGGTCTGGCTTACAGTACCAGGTGTTCCCAAGCGGTCCCCATCTAAGTACTGACCTGGCTCTACGATGCTTAACTGGTGATCGAACGAGAACCGGTGTTTTCAGCGTGATTTGACCGTAAGCGAAGACGTTTGCCCCAATTTCCGCTCATGAGTGTCAGTTATCATTCCACGATAACCCTAAAACGGAAGAACCGGTCTGGCTTACAGTACCAGGTATTCCCAAGCGGTCCCCATCGAAGTACTGACCTGGCTCTACGATGCATAACTTCGGTGATCGAACGAGAACCGGTGTTTTCAGCGTGATTTGACCGTAAGCGAAGACGTTTGCCCCAATTTCCGCTCATGAGTGTCAGTTATCATTCCACGATAACCCTAAAACGGAAGAACCGGTCTGGCTTACAGTACCAGGTGTCCCAAGCGGTCCCCCATCTAAGTACTGACCTGGCTCTACGATGCTTAACTTCGGTGATCGAACGAGAACCGGTGTTTTCAGCGTGATTTGACCGTAAGCGAAGACGTTTGCCCCAATTTCCGCTCATGAGGTCAGTTATCATTCCACGATAACCCTAAAACGGAAGAACCGGTCTGGCTTACAGTACCAGGTGTTCAAGCGGTCCCCATCTAAGTACTGACCTGGCTCTACGATGCTTAACTTCGGTGATCGAACGAGAACCGGTGTTTTCAGCGTGATTTGACCGTAAGCGAAGACGTTTGCCCAATTTCCGCTCATGAGTGTCAGTTATCATTCCACGATAACCCTAAAACGGAAGAACCGGTCTGGCTTACAGTACCAGGTGTTCCCAAGCGGTCCCCATCAATGAACCGGTGTTTTTCGGTGACCTGGCTTTACGATGCTTAAATTCGGTGATCGAACGAGAACCGGTGTTTTCAGCGTGATTTGACCGTAAGCGAAGACGTTTGCCCCAATTTCCAATGATTTCATGAGTGTCAGTTATCATTCCACGATAACCCTAAAACGGAAGAACCGGTCTGGCTTACAGTACCAGGGTGTTCCCAAGCGGTCCCCATCTAAGTACTGACCTGGCTCTACGATGCTTAACTTCGGTGATCGAACGAGAACCGGTGTTTTCAGCGTGATTTGACCGTAAGCGAAGACGTTTGCCCCAATTTCCGCTCATGAGTGTCAGTTATCATTCCACGATAACCTAAAACGGAAGAACTTGGTCTGGCTTACAGTACCAGGTGTTCCCAAGCGGTCCCCCATCTAAAGTACTGACCTGATGCTTAACTTCGGTGATACGAACGAGAACCGGTGTTTTCGGTGATTTGACCGCCGAACGAGAACGTTTGGTGTTCCGCTCATGAGCGTGATTTAACCCTAAACGGAAGAAGACGCTTTTGCCCCGGTCCCCCATCGTACTGACCTGGCTCTACGATGCTTAACTTCAGTTATCGAACGATAACCGGTGATTAAAACGGAAGAACCGGTCTGGCGAAGTACCAGGTGCCCCAAGCGGTCCCCATCTGAGTGTACTGACCTGGCTTCCACGATGCTTAACTTCGGTGATCGAACGAGAACCGGTGTTTTCAACGTGATTTGACCGTAAGCGAAGACGTTTGCCCCTAATTTCCGCTCATGAGTGTCAGTTATCATTCCACGATAACCCTAAAACGGAAGAACGAGTACCAACCGGTGTTTTCAGCGTGATTTGACCGTGTTAAAGACGTTTGGTCCGCTCATGAGTGTCAGTTATCATTCCACGATAACCTAAAACGGAAGAACCGGTCTGGCTTACAGTACCAGGTGTTTAAGCGGTCCCCCATCCTGACCTGGCTCTACGATGCTTAACTTCGGTGATCGAAAGAACCGGTGTTTTCAGCGTGACGGACCCAAAGACGTTTGCCCCAATTTCCGCTCATATGAGTGTCGTTATCAACGATAACCCTAAAACGGAAGAACCTGGCTTACGATGTCCCCCATTAACTTCTGGTGATGCTTCGAACGAGAACCGGTGTTTTCAGCGTGATTTGACCGTAAGCGAAGACGTTTGCCCCAATTTCCGCTCATGAGTGTCAGTTATCATTCCACGATAACCCTAAAACGGAAGAACCGGTCTGGCTTACAGTACCAGGTGTTCCCAAGCGGTCCCCCCATCTAAGTACTGACCTGGCTCTACGATGCTTAACTTCGGTGATCGAACGAGAACCGGTGTTTTCAGCGTGATTTGACCGTAAGCGAAGACGTTTGCCCCAATTTCCGCTCATGAGTGTCAGTTATCATTCCACGATAACCCTAAAACGGAAGAACCGGTCTGGCTTACAGTACCAGGTGTTCCCAAAGCGGTCCCCATCTAAGTACTGACCTGGCTCTACGATGCTTTTAACTTCGGTGATCGAACGAGAACCGGTGTTTTCAGCGTGATTTGACCGTAAGCGAAGACGTTTGCCCCAATTTCCGCTCATGAGTGTCAGTTATCATTCCACGATAACCTTAAACGGAAGAACCGGTCTGGCTTACAGTACCAGGTGTTCCCAAGCGGACCCCATCTGGTACTGGACTCCGCTTTCATTGATGCTTAACTTCGGTGATCGAACGTGAACCGGTGTTTTCAGCGTGATTTGACCGTAAGCGAAGTCGTTTGACCCAATTTCTGCTCATGAGTGTCAGTTATCATTCCACGATAACCCTAAAACGGAAGAACCGGTCTGGCTTACAGTACCAGGTGTTCCCAAGCGGTCCCCCATCTAAGTACTGACCTGGTCATACGATGCTTAACTTCGGTGATCGAACGAGAACCGGTCTTTTTCAGCGTGATTGACCGTAAAGCGAAGACGTTTGCCCCACTTCGCTCATGAGTGTCAGTTATCATTCCACGATAACCCTAAAACGGAAGAACCGGTCTGGCTTACAGTACCAGGTGTTCTCAAGCGGTCCCCCATCTAAGTACTGACCTGACTCTACGATGCTTAACTCAGGATCGAACGAACCGGTGTTTTCAGCGTGATTTGACCGTGTTGAAGACGTTTGCCCCAATTTCCGCTCAAGGAGTGTCAGTTATCATTCCACGATAACCCTAAAACGGAAGAACCGGTCTGGCTTACAGTACCAGGTGTTCCCAAGCGGTCCCCTCATCTAAGTACTGACCTGGCTCTATGTTGCTTAACTTCGGTGATCGAACGAGAACCGGTGTTTTCAGCGTGATTTGACCGTAAGCGAAGACGTTTGCCCCAATTCTGCTCATGAGGTCAGTTATCATTCCACGATAAACCCTAAGAACCGGTCTGGTTGACAGTACCAGGGTGTTCCCAAGCGGTCCCCAGTATCTAAGTATCAGATTTCAGCGATGCTTAACTTCGGTGATCGAACGAGAACCGGTGTTTTCAGCGTGATTTGACCGTAAGCGAAGACGTAGTCGCACTTCCGCTTCATGAGTGTCAGTTATCATTCCACGATAACCTTAAAACGGAAGAACCGGTCTGGCTTACAGTACCAGGTGTTCTCGTTGTCCTGACGGCGCATTTTCGATTCCGGCTTCGATGCCAATATCGGTGATCGAACGAGAGCCGGTGTTTTCAGCGTATTTGGACTGTAAGCGAAGACGTTTGCCCCAATTTCCGCTCTATGAGTGTCAGTTATCATTCCACGATAACCCTAAAACGGAAGAACCGGTCTGGCTTACAATACCAGGTGTTTCCCAAGCGGTCCCCCCATCTAAGTACTGACCTGGCTCTACCGATGCTTAACTTCGGTGATCGAACGAGAACCGTGTTTTTCAACGTGATGACCGTAAGTTAAAGACGTTTGCCCCAATTTCCGCTCGCGGGTGCGTCGGTTATCATTCCACGATAACCCTAAAACTGAAGAACCGGTTTGGCTTACAGTACCAGGTGTTCCCAAGCAGGTCCCCATCTAAGAAAGTACTGACCTGGCTCTACGATGCTTAACTTCGGTGATCGAACGGAACCGGTGTTTTCAGCGTGATTTCCACCGTAAGCGAAGACGTTTGCCCCAATTTCCCGCTCCTTGAGTGTCGATTTATCATTCCGATAACCATAAAACGGAAGAACCGGTCTGACTTACAGTACCAGGTGTTCCCAAGCGGTCCCCAAACAAGTACTGACCTGGCTCTACGATGCTTAACTTCGGTGATCGAACGAGAACCGGTGTTTTCAACGTCAATTTGACCGTTTTAAAAGACGTTCCCCTACGCTCATGATTTAACCTAAAACGGAAGAATCGAACGAGAACCAGGTGTTTTCAAAGCGGTGATTTGACCGATGTAAGCGAAGACGTTTGCCCCAATTTCCGCTCATGAGTGTCAGTTATCATTCCACGATAACCCTAAAACGGAAGAAACAGTCAAATTGGCTTACAGTACAAAGGCGTTCCCAAGCCGTTCCCTATCGTAAGTACCGTTTGACCTGGCTCTACGATGAACCTTAACTTCGGTGATCGAACGAGAACCGGTGTTTTCAACGTGATTTGACCGTAAGCGAAGACGTTTGCCCCAATTTCCGCTCATGAGTGTCAGTTATCATTCCGATAACCCTAAAACGGAAGAACCGGTCTGGCTTACAGTACCAGGTGTTCCCAAAGCGGTCCCCCATCTAAGTACTGACCTGGCTCTACG